AGGTTATAGACGACTACGAGACTAAGAAAGCACGGGAACGTGGTGATGTCGAGGGTGAGATAGCTGTCCCGGAAGATCGCTTGCCGCCCCCTGGAGAGCCTTACAATCGGAATCAATATGTGGCATGGCATGGTGCCAGCGCAGTCTACCACACCAACGCCCCCAGTGTGCCTCTTCCTCTCGCGAAAGCGCAAGAGGCCAAGCGGCGAAAGATTATGGTAACGAGCGATAACTGGATGTTGGAACATGCAAGGGAAGCCAGGTAAGTAGCTCTCTATCAGATGGTCGGACACCTGAACTGACTCATGTGCATAGCCGATTCAACGCGCAATTGACGGCGAACCGACTGGAAAATATTCACGGTCTCTACGACATACACACCAATGTCATGCAGTACCCAGCCCATATGCAACCCACACATGCACGATGGGAAATGGTCGATGATCGAGAGGCCACCCAAGATCAGGAGAAAGCAGGGCGGTTACCTCACCTCGACCCTGTATATGGACGAAATTTCCGGATTCATGATCTATGTCTTGAATCGGCGCCGGAGTCCTGGTATGGGACGCCTGGTACCACTGAGGAAGGAGGCACCCTCTCGTCAATCCCAATGGACATCCTCGAAGAACTTCCTGATGACTGTTTGCGCGCGTTTGAAGAAGCCAAATTACGCGAGCACGAATGGCGGGAAAAGTGGCATACGGAACGGGAAGATGGGCTCAGGGCACGCCTTTTGCCTTCGTTTGAATGGTTTCCGAAGTGAGTCGACTTTGTGGGTAAAGCATACTCTTCGAAGGATTCAACCTCTGCGGATGTCGGATCATTCACACCCAGCACTGATCAAAAATATCTACACACGACCCTCCAAGCCGGCGCCGCTACTTTCTGGACAGGGCCCAATTTACCAGACATCAACGTTCTCCTCATTATTGTGCTCGTCCACGCGACGGCGGAGAAGTGATCCCAAAGATCACTGACTTGGATTGGGTCTTTGGATGCAACCGTCGTGAAATGCCAACCATGTGTTCCTGCCGTTGTCAGAAAAAAGGGTGGGGCCCCAGGGTCCGTGGGCTCTGCAATTCCCGGCCTTTGCGTGCGGGAAGACACTTTATTGGCAGTCCCGAACTCAAACTCGGTGGAAGTCGGGGGTTGATGAGGGGGGATGTTTAAGATGAGCTCCAGAAATTCTCTACCTTGAAGGCAGAGTACTCAAGCAGACCGATTTCCGGCGGTATTTCTGGGAGAGAAAATCGTCGAGGTTGTGATTGGACAAGACAACTCCATCCCCGACCACAACTGGGCAACTTCTGATCCGTTGGACCAATTACCCCATTCGAATATTCAACCCAGTCCCCTTGAAGAATCGACTTGGCAGTCTGCATATGACCGCCGAGAATTTTGTGCCGCGGTAAGCCGACCATTTCTGATGGGCACGGGAGCAAGAAGCTGCAGAAGAAAGCTACGGTGTGGGTGTCCGTCACGGGCTAGGGCTCCTTCTGCAGTTGCCTTTGCACAGACTTCATTGATGGAGATGATTCAGAGCTAGACACAGCCGATGGGCCGAATTGTGTACTATGGAGGGTATACCGTGGATGGGGTGCGGCATCTTATGCAAATGCACTTTGGGAGGCACTTGCACACCGGCCACGTGAGGGGCGGGCGCACGATGATGTCGTTGTGCGTAGGAACCAACCCGTGTTCGAAATAATGGCAACGTCGAAGCATGCACAGCTCTACGAATACGTAGTTGCTGTAGCGGCCTTGTTTCCCTTAGCGGATCGGGGCTTTGTCGGTCAGCAATTACTTGTCCTACGCACATCGATGCTTAGTGACGCCGCATTGGGTTCCTCTACCGAGTAGACACACCACATGAGGCAGGGGAATGCGTAGGGGTGTGAGGAGAATAGGCATCAATATTGGGGCCCAAATGATAACAGGGTAACGCCGTCGCCGTTACGTGTGTAGAGAGAGCCACAGCGGCAAACCATCAGTCCTTGTTGGGCCAAACTCATTCCATATTCATGCTGTCACTTCTGTCATGGTGACGCGGGGTGGCTTTTCTTCTTTGCGAGTGACTACTCTTGGCCCTGGTCAAAGAATTTGAACAACCACCAACTCGTAACGGGTGGCGGATGTTAGAGCCAGTTGATTGTGCTCAAATCATGTTGTCAGGTTGGAAGTGGCAAGCGGCACAATGGTGGGAAGGTTTTAAAGGAGCCGAAGAGTGGATGAAATATTTTGCACCGATATACTCGTATGGAATGCTAAACTCTTTTTTGTAAGGCAACACCAGAGGCGGGTTTGACAATGATATCAGTCATTGCCAGCAATTCGAGGCCCGGCCGAGTCATGACCTATGGTGGCTTGTCGATCAAAGCAAGCCATGCACCGACGAGTGATCATTCCAATTTGGGAGTCTGTACCCAAGGACTGGATCGCATGGCTGAAGGCTGAGGATGGGGGGGGGGTGTGAACAGGGGTTATTGATGGGTGTCGGTGTCGTCAGTGCTTACCCTTCGGCGGTCTCGAGCGTTGCAGTAGGGGATCAAAGGGATTTTCCTTAGGGGGGCGAGAGGGCGCAGACTCGCAGTGCAATTGCAGAATTACGAGTTAAAAAAAAATAAAAAGAGGCCAAGGCGGTGTTCGGACGGACCGGAGAAACGCAGTTAGAGTGAGCACCAGTCAAGGCTGTCAAGCCATTGGCTGGCACTTGGTCGTAGTTTCTTCAGTTAATGATCGAGGCCTGACCCCAACTTTTGGGCCACTTAAGCCACTTGGGTCCTCTTGGAAGCGACTAGTCCTGTTTGTCTCCTAGCGAGTCTCTCAATTATTAATGGCTCTCTCACTGTGGTGCTGTGGTGACTGCTGGTGTTGCTAAAACCAAACAAAGCCCCATGGAAATTTGATGCCTAGATATGTAGATGCCCACTTTGACTTTGGTTCTTGGCCCAAAGTGAATGGCAGAAGGGACTCTTTTCAGCTAGTGATCAGGGGCTGTCTCAACCACGACACCTGCTCGTACTTCATAAGTATCAAACATCGTAAAGACATATACGAAGGAGCCTGTGTGTGGGTGTGTACCCCTGTGTGATATTGTCATAGCTGTTATGCTCATTGCCTCCTCAAACCCAAGCAACAGCACAATCAAGTCAGCCCACCACCTAGAATGCTTTGGCCAGGTCTTCTGACTGGGCCAAAATCCCCTCGTGCAGGTCCCTTGCCCTTGCCCGCGTGGCCAGCCAACGGGCCTATGGGCGGCTGTGGGTGCCTGTGGGTTGCTCTAGGGTGCCTAGAGGGTGGCTCTCTACAGCCCTTCTGACGAATTATCCGGCGCTCCCTTCCTACTTTTTCCCTGCCCTTCCGACTCCTCTTCGCTGCAGCCGCCTTTACCCAACCCAGCCCAGATTCAACGAGCCTAAGCTCGCTTTGAGCCCTGGCGTCGCCCATCGTCCTGCGCCCATCCTCGGTTTCGCCTTTGGCTCACCCGCGCCCTCTTACCTCCGCCTTTCCCTTCCTCTTCCCTCCCCCTTCCCTCTGGCCCTCCTCCACTCACACATCTTCACTCGTACGTTGCTGCCCTCTCTCAGAGTTTCTTCACCACTCCTTTTTCCCTTTCCCTGGCCCTCCCCTCTCTCCGGCTGCTGTAGCTCAAATTTTCGACCTCATTCATCTCCATCTCCCTTCAGTCTTTTTTCTTCCCATCTTCCACCCTCTCTTTTTCCCTCCTCCCTGAAATCTTTCTCTCAAAAACCTCTCACGAAAAAAAGCGACCGGTCACCAAACCCCCAAAAGACCCACGGTCTGAGTCGTTGTTTGTTGGTGCAGCCACCATTGCTATTCTCGGCGGTCCGACAGGATTTTCCCACGCCCACCCAGCCCTTCGAATTGTTAATTTCGGACTGGGGCCCACGTCCTGCCTCAAGTGAACCTCGTGGGTGACGACTCCTTGCGGTCAGCTTGATTGCCACAATTTCCCACGGCACCACTGTCGCCAGGCTACCGATATTTGGTCTTGCTTCGCCATACCAACTACGTCTCGCAAGCCTTGCGTCGTCCCAGGCACCGTTCAAACCATTTCGTTTGCGACTTGGTGGCCAGATTGGAGGTTTTTGTTTTTCTGACCAACGAACATCCAGTCACGAGTCCGTCAGAGCCATTTTTTCCCTGGCCCTTGCCTGCGCTCCAGTCTTTGTCGTTACCTAGTGGCTGTGTGTTGCCAAATTCGGGGCGTACCCGTCTGCCCACGCTCAAATTCTCCGTCACAAAACCTCTGTCTGTACTTCCTCTCAAACAAACGTCCAACATCGAAAACTGCTACTTCATCGCGATAGCAGTGCATCGTGGATTGATTTGGAGTGATCCGGCCACACCTCGAGGTGTCACCACTAGGTATGCTTATACCCCATCTCATGTCTCTTGTCTGTGACAAACAAATGCCTGATCCCGACATCGAGCATTATTGATCTTCGTGGATGCTCATGTTCTGACTGCCTTTCGCGCCTGCAGGTTGTCCTTCGAACGAGCCTCTCATTACAGCACCACCTTCCACTTCGCCACCGCCAGATTCAGCCATTTCGACGAGCTTTTCACTAAGTCTTGTCACCCATCTCGAGCTTTGCTCAACTTAGATTAATCTGCAAGGTTCCTGTCTGCCAACCACTGTCCACCGACAGTCTACCATCAGTCAACGCAGATTGCTACGACTACGTCGGATCGACCAGATACCTGTTATCACTGTTTCTATCATTCAGTTTGCGATCCCTCTTGCAACCGCTACGTTTGCTAAGACAAGAACACCGACTCCATCCATGACCTGCTTTTGAGTGGGATCAAAACAGCAGCACCTAAGCTCCGGCTTCAACGCCTAGGGCGTGGCCGCGCAGTCAGCGGAAGCAGACAGGTGAGTTATCTATCCTAGCTCAAAGAGATGTACCGTACTTGATGCTGATAATGTCAAAGCCCACGGCTTGTCTGCTCTGCTCAACCCTCTTCGACCGAGCATGCCTTCCTATCACAGCTGGGGCGCAGCCCCCCAACACGCGCGACTTCCCCCGACGCCGCCGGAGTACCAACCCACTTATCTCACGCCCTTGAGTGCGGTGTCTGATCAAGGCTTCTATCATTCGCAAGGTTATCACTCTCGTCGATCGCTCTCATCGCGAGACTACAACGACAGATACCAGCCTCCCCCGGCCTACACAGCTCAGCCATCTTTGGCAGGACAGGTGTCGCGAATCGGGCATGCTCACCCGTCACAAGAATATCCATATCCACAACCCTACCATATGCATGGCTCGTCCTACTGGGCAAACCACGTCGGGGCGCCTATTCTCCCTCCTATCCGTGTCACCGAGGCTTTGGATCAGTTCCCAACACATTATGGAGCACAGCACAATGAGTCCAAGCCTAAGGAGGACAAGCCGACAGGAGGGGTAGCGCAACACTTGGACTACGATATGGACTTGATGTCCAGCTTCGTGGCCGAGATGTCCCAAAAACTGTGAGTACCGCAGATTCAGATCCAACAGGCCACGCTCTAACTTCGTGCCTCAGTGTAACACCAGAGTCCGCACCAACATCTCAGTTCCGCAAATATGTGTCCCAAATTCTGTCATCTACTCGCCTGCCAAGCTCTACAATCATGCTGGGGCTGTATTACCTGGCTTCACGAATGAAGCAGGTGAATGAACGCGGGCAGTCAACTTCGTCCTCCGGCACTGTCTATCGCATGCTCACCACTTGCCTTCTTCTCGGCAGCAAGTTTCTTGACGACAACACATTCCAGAATCGTTCCTGGGCCGAAGTCAGCAGCATTCCAGTGCACGAGCTGAACATGATGGAGCTGCAGTGGTTGACAGACTTCAACTGGGAGATCCACGGTATGATGTACGACGAGGATGATGGCTTCTTCATGTGGGTTGAGCACTGGCATGCCTACGAAGAAAAGGCTCAGCTTGCCAAAGTCAAGGAGCTTCAAAAGCTCGCTCCGATCGAGACAAACCTTCATCGCCATCATCCCATCCAGAATCAACCCTTGATGTCCCCGGAAGGACCCATTCCACCTCAGTATCAGCAAGGCTCGCAATACGATACCCGTTGGGTTCGTGCATATATTTCGGAATATTCACCTCCATCTGCTCCACACAGTGGCCCACCCACCCCTGATTATTACAATGCTTCCTGGACGTTCACACCGGGTGCTCCTCCAGCATATGGCCGCCAGCAGTACCATTCTGATGGTGCGTCGGCATACTCAACTCAACGCAATCAGCTGCCTACGTACTCTCAGACGTTTGGCTATGGGTCCGGTTTGGCTCCGAATTGGGTCTCTCACGGTCCCAACTGCGGCTGCAGTCTCCATGCCAAGCACTCGGATTATTACTTCAACCACCCGGGATACGCCATGCAAACTGTAGTGGGTTAAATTGTTCACACTCCAGCGTTCAGCGATATGGGTCCGGCTCAAAAAGTTCTTGAATCATACCGCGGTGTTCGGTATTGTTTTTACCACCGTCGACCTTCTACGTACCTTCAAAAGAGCCAACGTCGGGACTATTCGAGGGGCGGGCCCATCATGGTTGATGGTGCCATGGTCAATACGCTCCTCGTCAACCAAAATTTCTCTAATCGAGTTCCCAATCTAACGACCTTTTACGACCGGCACTTTCTTGTCTTTCGTTATTCAGCATCTAAAGCGAGCAACTCTCCCAAGAATAGATCAAAGTTTCCTTTCTCTATACATTGACGATGGGGATGCCCGGGCGGCGCTTTCATGGCAGGAAAAGTCACCAAAAGTTCCGACTCAGGACAGAGTTTATTACCGGGCTGGCGTCGGGGTTAATCAGCAAAGGGGTTGTCACACGGGGGCCTGTTTTTCTTCCATTCAAAGACTTTGTTTGCTTCACAGTTTTACACCGTGTTTTTACGAGACTTCAATCGACACAAAAGGATGCCAATGGTTCATGGCTTGCGCGTGAGAGATTGCATGGCATGGCATCGCGGAGGATGGTGGATTGTCCCAAGAGGTTTGCTGCATCATCATTCTTGTAATTAGCTATGTGAAATGAGGTGGTGGGTTCAATGAACGAGGTTGAAATGTGCTACATGGCTGTTCGAGTTGGTCCAACAGGGCCATTATCACGGTCAGAGTCTGCCGCACGAAAACATGAGGCACCTCCTGTACGGAGTACGGTGGTGGTGGTGGTGTTTGGCCAAAAAGGAAACACAGGACACATCGGTTGACGTTGTCACGGACCTTGTTGTCGGCCTCTTTTTCTTCTTTCTTTCAGCGGCCGAGATTCGATACTCGGCAGGTATATACCCCCGATAGACTGCAATGGGCGCTTTTTCGTTCGCTTTGAAAGATCACAAAAGCTTTCCATAGAGATAATTTGTCATCAACCACTTTCTTGTCTGCTCTTCTACAGTGATGAACTTGAGCTGTGGAAGGGACCAGGACCACCCCTTAGAAGGTTGATGGACAACCTATAAGACGATATGGCGAGATGCAAGGTAGGCAGGCTTGAAAAGAACATGGTAAGGCTGATTATTAGGTAGGTGGATGCTTTAAGGACAGGCGTGCCAGGCTGCGAAGAGTGACGCGGTAAAGAATGGTGCCAAGCCTGGAACCGCGGTTTTGCCGCAGCGACTCTCCAACCTCAACTGCGAGCTTCCATCTCGACTCCACAGGATTGTAATCAATTCAGTTGCCCATAAACCCTCAACATAACACTTGACTTCCACGTTTCAACCAACCTCCTTTGCCGTGATTCCTTATTACAAGAATCATCAGCACCCTAGTCCTAGTCAGAACCAAGGAAACTTCTCATCAAAAGGGGCTCCATCATGTCGACGTTAGAAGATCTCGATGACCTGGAGCGCGATGAGAAAGAGCAGAGAAAGGACGGCGATGACAAAGACAAGAAGCCTAACTCCAACGGCGATGCCAAAGATACCGAGATGAAGGACGCGGAATCGAAGAAGGATGAGGAGGAACAATACATTGATGACGAGATTCTTCAGTCAAGTACAAGAGACATCATTAACCGGCGGCGACTCCTCGAAAATGAAATGAAGATCCTCAAGAGCGAATTCCAGCGGCTAAAGCACGAAGAGAGCACAATGAAGGAGAAGATCAAGGACAATTTGGAAAAGATCGAGCAAAATCGGTAAGGTTTAGTGTCTTGTTTTATTGTAATAACTCAAAGAGCTGTGGCTAACACGAAACGTATCCAGGCAATTACCATACCTCGTGGGCAATGTTGTCGAACTCCTTGACCTCGACGTCGAAGCTGAAGCAGCCGAAGAAGGCGCCAACATTGATCTCGACGCCACGCGAGTGGGCAAATCAGCCGTGATCAAGACAAGCACCCGCCAGACTATCTTTTTGCCTCTGATCGGTCTGGTTGACCATAATAAACTGAAACCTGGCGATCTAATCGGTGTCAACAAGGATTCATACTTGGTCTTGGATACCCTGCCGGCTGAATATGATTCCAGAGTCAAGGCGATGGAGGTAGACGAGAAGCCGACAGAAAAGTATACCGACGTTGGTGGGCTGGACAAGCAGATTGAAGAGCTCGTGGAAGCGGTGGTCTGGCCGATGAAAGAGGCAGAGCGGTTCAAAAAGATCGGCATCAAGGCGCCCAAGGGTGCGTTGATGTATGGACCTCCCGGCACGGGTAAGACTCTTCTCGCTCGTGCCTGCGCTGCCCAGACCAATGCAACCTTCCTGAAGCTCGCAGGTCCCCAACTTGTGCAGATGTTCATAGGTGACGGTGCCAAGTTGGTCCGCGACTGCTTCGCTCTCGCAAAGGAAAAGGCTCCGTCAATCATTTTCATTGACGAGCTGGATGCTGTTGGGACAAAACGATTCGATTCAGAAAAGAGTGGCGATCGCGAAGTCCAGCGGACCATGTTGGAACTGCTCAACCAGCTTGATGGCTTCGCTTCAGACGAAAGAATCAAGGTTCTTGCCGCCACGAACCGCGTTGATGTCCTCGACCCTGCTTTACTTCGATCTGGCCGCCTGGACCGGAAGATCGAATTCCCCTTGCCGAATGAAGAATCCCGTGCGCAGATTCTGCGGATTCATTCGCGAAAGATGACCATCGACGAGGGCAACATCAACTTTGACGAGCTGGCCCGGTCAACGGATGAATTTGGAGGTGCACAGCTCAAGGCCGTCTGTGTCGAGGCGGGTATGTCGTTGTCCGTTGTCCCTGTGTGGCCCAGTTCGCTAACTATCTCTTGTCAGGTATGATTGCGCTTCGCAAAGGGCAATCAAAAGTCAATCACGAAGCATACGTGGAAGCCATTGCGGAGGTGCAAGCGAAGAAGAAAGACACGTGCGTCCCTCTGAATCCCATCTGTCGCTTACCATAAGACTAATACCATAGTTTGCAGGGTCAATTTCTACGCATAAAATCAAGCAGACACTTCAAGTCAGCCTCACTGGGAAACTTATGGCAGAACACGGCATGTACAATACTCAAGCAAGGGGTGACGTCCTCAAATAGATGACTGCCGTGCTCGGGCAGTTCTATTATAAACCTTTGGATTCGTCTTTGTGTTGGTGCTTCTTCAGATTCCTCTGTCTTCGTAGACCTGGGCTGTGCCACTCACTGTTCCATCTGTCTAGCTGCATGTAGTCCCACTAACTCTTCTGCAGGACGTATTGCTAGATCTATCACAATTATGACCGAGACAACTGAATGCAGAAGCACCAAGCACTGAGACACTAAGGGTACGACGAGGATCCTGAGTCTTTCGACCCTTTGGGGGACGTGAAAAATGGATTCCTATTGGACAAGAATGCAATGGCTTCCCTGTTTCTCGCGCCCACGTCCTATTGACATCCAACTTTTACCTCAGGTACTTTTCGTAAACCCAGCCACGCCAACCTTTCCTATGTGCCTTTTTGTGCTCCTAGGGACTATTGAATGAATCCATCAGTGATTCTAGTGGATCTTGAAAACACCCATTGTGTCGAGTTCGCTGTTGTATGGGCTTGGAGAAGAAGGTTACAGAGGGATATACCAACACTTGATGGAAGTGGTAGCAAGATATGCCCAACTTGGCCGCCATGACCAGCCATTTTCTCCTCCGGTGTTACAACCTCGGTTGACACCACGGTTGAGGATCAAATCTCGCTCCTCAACACCGACGGCAAGAGTCAATTGGCAGAAATTGCCATCATCGATCCTGAAGCTTGTCCTAGATCATCTCAGGCGTCTCCATTTGGATCCTTCCCTGCGGTCTTCATCCTGCTCAACATGCTATATGAGGGATTTGACTGCGGTACAGTTAACGTGCAAAGCCTGGTTCTCTGATGCACAACGAATACTGTAAGTCTGTCCTTCCACCGATGGAAAATTCTCCTCAAATAGTCTAGGTATACCAACATACAGATTGTTGGCAAGGATGATCCCTCGATGCTTCGGAGATGGAGAGTCTCGCGGGCAGTACGGCTGATACGTTTGCGGTCGACGCTGCGTTCAAGACCCCTTCTCGCTGCTCTGGTCAGGACGCTCCACGTGCCAGATCCAAACATACCGCTTTACTCGGCCAGTGGCGATCCCAATCCCGAATATGACGCATATCTTTGTACGATAGCGTCCGTCGTCATGCAATGCCCCAACCTGGAGGCCTTGACGGGATTCGTGGCATTCTACAATCACACCTTCGACAGGTTGACGCACGCCTTGTCGACGCGAACCCAGCTTCGCCAGCATGTTTGGATCATTGCCGAGAATGAAGATGTGAGTGTGCGAAGTCAGACACAACTCCCGCCGGGCCTTCTGGACGAACACCAAACCTACCAGTTTGAGCTTTACCACCAGCGGTGGAAACGCCTCGAAACCCTCATGTTGTCTTCACCAGGCGGTCTCGGAGTCATCGAACATGAGCTATTCATTCGCGTCCTCCATTCCTTACCGGCATTGCGTAACTTGTGCGTATCTTCCTTCGATCCTGACGACTTCCACGATAACACGCTCCTGTCGCTCCCACCGTGGGTCACGACGCTGCGCTTGGAGGAATGCTTGGGGATCACAGATGCAGGGTTGACGCAGTGGGCAGCGAACCCAAACGCAGCGCAGATTGAACGACTGAGCCTGATCCATCAGAATGTCACGAGCTTACTGACCCTATCGAAGATATTTGCCAGCTTGGGTCGCCTGTGGAAATTCACCATCTTGCAGACTGACGTCGTGCTCTCCTGGCCCAAGGAGCTGGGAGTCCTGTTCCAACCAGTGCTTGGCTCGGGGTCCTTGAGATTTCTACATTGGGACATTCAATCTTTATCGCCAGAAGCACCTGGTGATCGCGACGGCATTGTTGCTGAAGATAGATTCCAGATGCCAAATGTGCGCCTTGCACTCTCCATCTCGCATACCGGGTTCCCTTCGTTGAGGCGCCTGCGCGCCCCTCGAGATACCTGCCCACCCGGCGCTCTACAGTCCGTGTGCCAAATGGTGGCCAGTGGAAATACTACGTTCTCAGATGACAGCTCCATATACCACCAGCAGGGCTCGACCAGATCGAATTCCTTACACGCAGCGCGTCTGCGGGCTCAGAAGATAGCTTGCCAAATCAGCACTCAGGGCATGAATCACATACTGCCGTGCGCCCGTCAATGTCCAGGGATGTCTACTTCGAGCCCTAGGTCATCACATTTGGCACAAATCTCCAACATCCAAGTGCCAGCTGTTTCCCGTGCTTGCAACCCAAACAGAAACAACTTCAGTGCTTCTGAAAATTCTGTACACGAATTGATTTCGCCCGTTTCTCCCGAGACGAACCCTTTTTCGCCACTTGCTCCGGACGATGGCATCATCTCCCCAATCACTGCGGACAGGGAGGAGAGGTGTTGGTACAACCGGGATTCCGACAAGGAGGTTATGGCACCACTGCCACAACGGCCACACATGTCCTCTGAGGGTATTGCAAATCCGGAGTCTCGCAGGCGTCCTAGAAGTGAGCAGGGTATGTGCGTTTGCGGCGGTTGGGGATCTCAAAAGGTTGAAGAACTCAGGGGTGGTCTCGGGCCGCCACCTCGTAATCCTCTCAGACTCGCAGCTGGTGGTCCCAGCCTTGCTTCGTCTGTCCAAGTCGATTTGCTTGGTGGCAGTTCTTCTGGACTACAGCCGATCGATCGGAGATGGTCTCTGGTGCCGGATAGCACAACAGGCTCCGAGCAATACTCTCGTCCTGCCTTCTATCTCCAGCCAGATATTCCCGGACGAGATGATAATGGCGGTTTGATCGGATGGGGCGAACTCTTGAACGTCCATGAAAAAGTAAAAGTACGCACGAATGACAGCAGCAGCGTGGCGATGGAAGTTGGTACTCTATCCCCAAACATGTGCACGGGCACGGGCAGCTGGGACCAATGTCCCGGCTCTGAGGAACAGCAACCGGGTGAACTCAGCGCCATTGTTAAAGTGCTGTCAGCGCCGCCGCTGCCGCCGCCGCTGCCGTCCACAAAGAAAGACAGACCGAGATCGAAGTCGACATCCAAGGCATCCTCCAGGTTGAGTTTGGCTTTGGGTCTTGGAAGCTCAAAGGAGAAGATACCCAACGAGAGTGCATCGAGACATGTGCCACGGCCCAAGGGGGATAGAGGTGGGTGTGTTTCTGTGTCGGATTTCTTCTAGCTGTAGCTGGATATATATGCGAGAGGTATATGAGGATGTATGGTACACATGCGAATTAGACAGCGACGAGAGCAACTGCTTGTCGCTCAGTGTCTACCCTTGCGGCGCTGAAGCTCAATCTAATTCTGCAGAACATGACAACATCCTTTGTCTCGTATGTAGGCAGTCGGAATCGTCGCTGTAAAGTATAGGATCTGACTGACCAGAGGTTTAGGGAGCCTTATGGGGTATCGATGCGGAAAGGGCCGATTCCGCTCTGGGCCCCATGTACCGACTGCGTGATGGTGATGTAATACGTACTCGGTACATGCAGGACGCGTCTCCTACGATGTAGAGCGACCAGCAATTCCCGTACCCCACCACCCACCACCGCATTCAAGTCCAATCATGTAAACGCCATTGGCAGGAGCCATCGATGCTGGTTCGTTGCGCTTGGCGGCAGGTGCGCTGTCCAGGAAGAGTCGACCAGTCACCCGGACTTTCTTTCACCTGGGATTCAGCCTCAAAAGAAAGAGTTGAATCATGATCGACCAAGGACACTGAAGACAGCTCCGAGCCTTCCACTGCGTCTAGATCTATGTTTCTTCGCAGTCTGCCGGGCCGATCTTCCTACACAGAGAGATCTGGGCTGTTGAACACTGTACCCTGAAAACCAATCACAGCCTCATCAACCCTCCAACAATAACTCACCTGCATTATAAAAAGGATGCCTCTGAAGCGCGTTTTCTCCCCAGCGACGAAACCTCCGCCAGACTCATCTTTGCCCCGTTCGGACTGGGCTCTGCGACCTGTCTATTCGGCTGCTTCGAGAGTTGACCTCGAGAAGGAGGAATCCGCCTTGAGCCTGTTGAAAAACGATAGCGACCTCAAGGATGCCGACATGGTGGCTGTCGTCATGGGACCGACGGGGGCCGGCAAGTCGAGGTTCATTGCTGAGGCCTCGGGGCTCAGTGTCGACATTGGCGACTCTCTCCACTCTGGTGGGTATAACCATCCTCGCATTCAGGTCCTCGTGGAAGAAAGAGTCGTGACATCTGCTCAGAAACGAGAACCGTCCAAGCATATCACTTTGAGCACCATGGATCTCATGTGGCCCTGGTTGACACGCCAGGGTTCGATGATACCCACCGCCCTGATACTGCCATCTTCCGAGACCTTTCAGCCTGGCTCGCCGCGCGGTATCAGGAGAAAACTCGCCTCATGGCAATCATCTACATACAGCCCATCACATTGACAAGGGTGTCTGGCAGCATCCTCCGGAACTTGACAGTGATGAAGCGAATGCTAGGTGTCCAAAGTTTCCCTCATTTGACCTTGGTCACTTCCATGTGGGACACTATCGATCCTTCTTTGGGCGAGAAGCGTGAGGCAGAGCTCCAAGCCAGTTTCTGGTCTGATTTGGTCCAGTTTGGAGCCAAGACCGCTCGATTCAGTGGTGATGCCACCTCTGCGGCCAAAGTCCTGGATACAGCGTCGTCCAAAGATGAGATTTTAATGACCATCCAGCGCGAGCTCGTGGACCAGGGTCTGACTCTGGATCGAACCGCCGCCGGTACTTATTTGGACAGCGAGATTTTAGGTCTGATTGACGCTGCTATCCAGGACCCTTCCCGGAAAGGCCTTTCTAGCCGCCTGCTCAGCAAATTGGGCGGGAGGGGAAGCGAGCCTGGGAGAGCTGACAAGCAACAGGAGCTCGAACAACTCGGCCCTCAACGCTATCTCAAAGCATCTTGGGATCCTGACTACGGTTCTCTCTGGCTGGAACCTGCCGCGCCTCCACAGCCCATATGGGACGCCGGCATCTACACAACTCTTCAAGAAGACCAGTTCCGCCTCATCGAGCTCAAGGCGGGCGAGGGAAGCGCGCCGTTGGAGATAGAACTTGTCGTTAAGAGCTTCTCTCAAGCTTCCAAATATGTGGCGTTGTCTTATGTCGTGGGGACTGACCACAAGCTGAAGCAGCTCGGCTTGCGGTTTCAGAAGTCCCTATTCAAGCATGAGATTGCCGAAAACTTGCATTCTGCATTGTCCCACCTGCGGCAGCCTGGTATAGATATTGCAATATGGGTGGACGCTCTGTCCATCAATCCTGCCAGCCCTGATGAGAGAGCCCGGCAAATCCGCAAGATGAGTCGTATTTTCCGGCACGCTGACAATGTCTGCATTTGGTTGGGCGAGGAAGACGAGAACAACAGGAAAGCCATGGATCTTGCCCAGGGAATCCTCGATTTTGACTACTTTGAAGCCGCACTGAGCGATCCCTCCGTCACCGAGAATTTTCTCCAGCTCGCCAACCTGATGGGCAACCCCTGGTTTCGCCGGCGTTGGTGCGTCCAGGAGATCCTTCTGGCAAAGTCGGCCACGATCCATTGCGGACATCGAGTGATGTCTTGGCTCGACTTTGTGGATGCTGTCACGCTGCTCCGTCCACGATGGATCGAGATCCAGCACCGCGTGGACGGCAAAACTCGACACAGGCTGGGGCATGCATATCTGATTGGGGCTGTCGCGTTGATTGAAGTGTCGGCCAAGATACTCCGAAGGACTCCCAACGGCGACGTGATTGATAGACTGCTCGATCTCGAGACGCTTCTGTCAATGCTGCCCACGTTCGAGGTCACCTTCATGCACGACACCATTTACGCCATCTACGATCTCGCGCGCGACGTGGCGGGGACCAATAGGCTTCAGGTCGACTATTCCAAGGAGCCGCGAGATCTGTTCCGCGAGGCCACAGAGTTTATTGTCAAGAGTTCGGGCTCGTTGGATATCATCTGTCAGCCGTGGGCGCCCAAGGCCGGCCTCCCCTCCTGGATCCCCACTACAGAGAAGCTTCCATACAGCCTCAAACCGCGACCCCAGGGCACGGTAGGGAGTGCTGAGGTTCTGGGGGCGCTGCGCAGTGCTGTGGCGGCTGGCAAGACGCTCACTGGCTTCTCTGCGCAGAGCACTCTCCCGGTGTACATTCGCAAAAACGGTTGTGTGCTCGTGGGGACGCCTGACTCGCGAAGCTACCGTGCGTGCGGCCACTATTCGTCGCGCGGCCATGTCGAATTTCGCGCCGAGGGCTCACAACTGGTGCTCTCGGCCCGAGGCATTCCCATCGGCACGGTCGCCGTCCACGGCGGCGAATGCATCAACGGCAACATCCCTTCCCGCTGGATGGAGCTGGGCATGTGGGACGAGCTCGACACGCACCCTGTTCCCCCAGTGTTCTGGCGCACCTTGGTCGCGGACCGCGGACCCGACGGCTTACCCGCGCCTGGGTGGTATAAGCGGGCGTGCGAGTTCGCGTTCCGCAGAAACGCCAGCGCCCACATCGACGTCGAGGAGCTCTATAGCCTGACTGAGTCTTCGCACGTGCGCGAGTTTCTGCGACGGGTACGCGACGTGTGTTGGTCGCGGGCACTGGTGAGTATGAGCCCGTCCAATGATCCCACAGCGGTAGGGAGGTCTTGCGGTGGTGGTGTTGCCTCGTCGTCACTATCGCCGCAACCAGCACCGATAATCAGTCTCTGCCCGCCCGAAACCAGCATCGGCGACGTGGTCGCCATCCTCTACGGCTGCAGCGTGCCCGTGGTGCTCCGGCCCCAGGTGTCATCGTCGTCATCATCGTCTTACTATACGCTGATCGGCGAGTGTTTTGTATACGGTTTCGTGGACGGCGAGATCATGACCGACGACAACAAGAGCCGACTCTGTTCGCGTGTCTATGACATTATCTGAGAAGTTGTCATCACTTAGCCTTCCCCTTTTTCTGACTCCCGTTCCGTTTTTCCTGGTGTTTAGTGAGCGGCCAAAAGGATCTTCTACGATGTATATACCCCTAGAAAGTACGAGCGGTGTTTATTTGAGCGTATTGTGATTTCACCACCAATGACAGAAAAAGGTACAGTCGGTAGAAAGAAAGATTCTTCAGAGATAATTCTGAAAAATACATACGGAATACCAGCTTCCGAGAATGTCCAGCAGGGGCACGACAAAAGGTACACGGCCCTGACAGGCCACCCTCTCCTTGGGCACCTTGGTCACCTAGGGGACCTACCTACCTATCTATGCATGTAGTTGTACATCCAAATCCAATTAAAACGAGAGGGGTTCGGTCAATAAAAAGAGGAAGAGGAAGAGGAAGAGAGAGAGAGAGAGAGAGAGAGAGAGAGGCTGGGGAGAGGGCGAGTATTATCCTATCCTATCCTTCCGATTCTGACTCGTCTCGACTCGTCACGATGATTCATGTAGTATAGTCGAGGTGAATTATTCAATTTGCCAAATCCCCCCTGGATTCCTACATGGTCTCATTTCAAATCATTATTCTTGAAAAGTTTCCGTCGCCGCCGAGGTTCACATCCCCGTTCGAGTCCCGCCTTCATTCGTGGTTTCATGGGATTATCCCAAGGTACCTAGCCTAGCCTAGAAAAGACTCTCTGACACTGGGAGAGGAATAGATGTCCAGACAATGCCCTGAGAGGGAAAACCCTTCCTTACTACCATTATTTCAACTCTTGAGTGGTCGACGGGCGGGGAAAATACCCATCCCGGCATCTCGGGTTGGAATCATCCGCTCATTCATCGTACAAGAGATGCAGTGTGGTCGGGATGGGCGACTCCTTGGCATTGGCGTCGAGATAGATCTTGGCCTTGACGCCCGCGATGTCGTGCTCAATGACGCTGAAGCGGCCCAGTCGACCGGCGGCGCGGCGCAGGTTCTTCAGCCGGAACACCTCCTTGAGCGTGGCGACCAGGGCGGGTCCGACCAGTCTGGCGCCGAAGCAGTAGTGCATGCCGTGCCCGAGGAGCGTGTAGGACGACATCGGGCGGTGCGGGTCGATCTTTTCCGGGTTGGGGAAAGCCACGGGGTCCATGGCCGCCGAGGACGTGGCGATGAGCACGTACTGGCCGGCCTTGATGTCGACGGGGCCGCGGGCGCCGTCGTCAAATGTCACGTCCCGGGAAGCCACGCGGGGCAGACCGGGCACGACGCCGGCGTGGCGCATGCCCTCGAACACGAACCCCAGCAGTTCCTTGTCCGAGGCTTCGTCGTCCTTTTGCGCGAGCTCCACGATGCGCTTTTTGTATTGCGCGTATTCGTCGCGGAGGTAGAGATCGATCAGCAGGGATGCTTGTTGCGTGATGTTACCCGCGACAGGGGCACCCATGCCGATGCAGTCACCCACGATGTCGCCAATGTCCAATCCTGTCTTGTTCATGGCGTGGTAGAACCGGTCCGCATCCGGCCCAACTTCATACGCAGAGCCCTTGGCGAGCCAGTCCACAATGTACTCCGTTACGCCCCGTTGGGTCCGGAGATGGGCTGTAAAGATCTGCCTCAGGATCGGCGCAACCGTCTCGGCCGTCTCCCTTAGCTTCCACTCATTAACCGGCAAGATGTTGAAGCTCTGGTACATGAACAGCACCAGGTAGATATCAAACAGCTCCGGAAGGGTAACCAGGCCGCGTGGATGGGCGGCGTCCTTGATCGGAATCGCGAAACGGCGGGCGAGCCACATGATTGGCGTGACGTTGCAGACGTCTCGGACAATGTCAATCGACCGTCGATGATCCGGATACTTGAGCGTGCTCTTGTGGATCAGGCTTCTGACCGTCTCTCGAAAGTATTTTGTAAGATTCGCCTCAAAATTCTCTTCGAAAAAGGCCTTGTGGAGGATGACAGAACGTGGGTCGTGGCGTTTCTGATCGTCCCAGCCGATCATGAATTCGTGGCCGTCGGTGCAGTTGCGGATCGCGGCTTGATACATGACGTGGAATGTTTCTCGATCTTCAAAGGCCTTCTTGACACCTTCTTGAGTGTGAATACCTACTAGCTTCATCGCATTTGGTCGAGGTCTCGCAAGGTCATACTTGGCCAGCACTTTGTTGCCTTCAAGTATGCCCTTGACAGCCTCAGGCGTGTAGAACGGCAGCAAAGCATAGGTTGATGTGCCGGTAAACTCCCCAGGGAGGCCGTTGAAGATGAGCTTGGACAGTATGCCTCCGTACGCGCCTCCGGGGAGATCGGCAAGTTTGGACACGCCCCAATTGGTGAGGGTGTTGCTATTGAAGTCGTAGGTGAGGAAACGGTCGCCTCGCACCAGGGCCACGGCATCATCCAGGATGCCACGTCCAGTGGTTTGACCTGGACAGACACCACTTCCAGGCATCGGTGGCTTGGTGCACTCGGCCTGCAGACCCGGATATAGTTCGAGATTGTCGATGTGGCCATACAGAAGCTCGGCTGCTCGAGAAATTTCCGGGTCATCATTCCACTCCGAGAAGCTCTTGTACGCCGTCAAGTTGAGGTATTTCCGGAATCTAGCAATACCTGTCAGCATATCTGCAGTGGTCACATCAACAGAATCTCGATGGTGATATGCTCGGACTCACTCGTTCAACGTGCAGGTGTTAAATATCTCCCTCGCCTGAAGCTGGCCCATGAGATCCACCACCTTCAGGCTTGCCGGTGTGCCCTTAGCACCAAATGCGTGGGCTGGCTCCTCGATGCAGTCTTTGATGAGGCGGCCAAGATCGGCGTCGTCGAACCTTCCATCAGGGCCACGCTTTAAACCTCCAAATGTCCATTCGCTGGCAGGCTTCGACATCAAGTCCGTTGTGATTTTCTCCGTCATCTGCCAGAAGAGCCGCGGCGTCATCTCGTCCACGGACTTGATCTGGGAAAGATTCCGACTAATCACATCATCCATCCATTTCGCGTCGGCGGCGCTGAGTGCGGCGTGCCAGTGGTAGAGAACTGCAAACTCCACTGATACGACATTACCCGAGCCTCTCTCTACTCGTCCCTGTGCAGACTTGATCTCCTCACCCAAGTTGAGAGACCACTCGGAATTAGCCCGTGGCGTATTCAGAATGGCGGCAACGTAGTCTCTCAGCACGACGGAGGCGAAGAAGCCGATGTTGATGTTTCTGCTCAGCTGGAAAATGTCTTCGTCTTGCCTGTGGGGTGTCAGTCAGTTGTACGACCTATCACCGTTACCATCTCGGCGAGGCGAATCTCTTACGCTTTCTGTTTTTCTTCTGTCAGACTATCCCATTGACCATAACTTCCCTGCTCATTGATGGACAAGAGCGTTTGGGCGATGTGATTGTGGTTTCTGGAAAACATCATCAGAACAGCAATGACGCCCGGTGGCATCAGCATGATCCTCTCCGAAGCGATCGAATCTGGGTAGATGAGTCCATTCTTGTACGTCCGCACTCGCTTCTGCTCCTTGCTCGTGTTTCCGTAGAGCGTGCTCAGGTCGACGTAGCTGGACGTCTCGTTGACCCATTTATTGTCCCTTGAAGTTTGGAAGCACTCATGAATGACGACTGTGGCGAAGGAGAAGAACAATCTGTTCAGGCCGGATGGGTGCTTGCGGAACTCTCCTTCTTTCCGCCTAAGCAGATATTCAAAGACTAGTTCCACGTCCGGTAAGTTGGGGCCCTTTGGTTTCACGGGCGGCACGCTTCGGCTGTAAGGGGACCCTGCCTTTCCCAATTCAGGGTCCCAGAGATTATTGTTACCTCCGTCGTGCCTCCTGTATCTTGTCGTAGGACCAGCTGTGGTACCTGGTGGGTGAGGCAAGTCATCCCACAGCATTTTGATGAACCGACCAGCAGCATTGGCACCTAGTCCGCTGTTGGCAGGGAGAGACTGAAGCATGTGCACGCCATGTTCGAGTAACAGCTCTTTGTCATTAAGCGGTTCTCCTGACACCAATGTGTTGAAGGCCTGAACTAAAGTCGCCGCGTTGTCTCGTCCAAGGTGAGTCAAATCATGGAGTAGCGACGTCTGCTTCACCGAGGGCGTTGCTGCAGCCTCAGCATCGGACCGGCCATCTGGGGCGGTCGGAGCATTTTGAAAAATGGTTGCTTGTAATTTGTGCAATTGTTCCATATCGGCAGAGTTCTTGTCGGGACGCCTCAGCTTTCAACCTTTAGACGAGGAATAAGACGACCCGAACGACCTGAGTTGCAAAGGTGGGAGAGCGGGGATAAATACGCTCGGGCAGAGGGGAGCAGCCATGGCGGAATGTTCTGCATGTGCAGCTGAAGGAGGACATGCGCAATAGCAGATGAGTGGAAGAAGGTATTTCTCAGACGTGTCTAGACTGACCGAATCCGGTGAGGGTTGAGGTTGTCCATGACAATCTGGGCGTACTCACGAGGAATGGCATCCAGTGACGGGACAGCTGCATGCCGGTTTCCTGCTGGTGTGATGGTTTGATGTCAATATTGCCCTATGGGAAGCTCGACAAACATCGCTAGCCCAGAACACTTTTCAGCTCGGTGGACCAGCAGGGTCTTTTGAGTGGCAGCAGCAGGTCACACAGGCAGCCACCCAAACAGTTGTCCAGAGGCAGATCGCACGATCAAGACGCAACGGAGCGTTTGGAGCTCAACCAGCGGTCAGTATTGACTGAGTGATCGTCTGTGAATGTTCTGTTTTCGTTTGCGGCGCCCATTGTCACGCGTCGGAGCGAAAGCTGGTACGGTTTGACTGAATTCTCGCAGGCATTTCATGTATGTTTCCTCTAGCTCTTCCCATCTTCCGCCACAGGATTCAAGCACCGCAATCCTTGTCCCCACAAAGCCTGATTCGTCTCTGAGGAAAGGGGGCATTGGAGCCATGATCTTGTTCGCGTTAAGCAGCTTCGGCTGTCGACTCGGTTCGCTCCGAAGGTCTTGGCTTCGCACCAGTTTGTGAGGCGAGCGGGTGATCCCTGGGGATTGGGCATTGGTGAGACGACAGATGGGTAGCAAACATCGCTTGAGCTGCAAATGCGCAAGGGGATGTCGGACAGAGACAAATTTGTGCGGATGGGGTTTGCATGTCACAATCTCGAATAGGACATTGATGTTTGAACATGAAGGCCACAGACTCTCACCACGCCACCGATGATGAAACGCAGAGCGACGTGGGATCCAGAAGGTCCTGTTAAGTCAGTGAGGTGTGTTGGCATGCGGCGTGTTCAATCCACTTCACGGCACCCCGCAGCCACTGCCCCCAAACCCCCATTTTATCTCAAACCGCCTACAATATCCAAACAGAGAGGGTTTGAAGATTTGAATGTCTCAGCCACTGGGATTTCAGAGGCCTATGCTAGATACACGATTGATCTAAATAGATTCGTATCGAACAAACCCGATGCAGTGGCTTTTTTAAGTCTGCCAATGGCACAGACCTCTTGCTCCCCGCCATCGCTTATGCACCAACCAAAACACCACGACCAGCTAAATTGATCGAGACAGCATTGCCGTAGAGGATGCTATTCTGGCATTGGAGCAAACCGTGACATCTGCCGCAGCTTCCGCCCGTATCTGTAGAAGAGGAATGGAGCCGGGATCGCCAGCACGCACAGAAAGCCGAGGACGCTCGTCGCCCATGGCGTACCCAAAGATTTATACATGCGTGGTGCCGCCAAAGGGAAGCCGGCGGCCACCAGGCTCCTCACGATCGTGCTTGCCGCCATCGCACTGGCGGCAGACTGGAGGTAGATGTCCACGAGAAATGCCACGGCATTGGTGAAAATGAGCATGATGCCACTCCCAATGAAAAACCCTGCGATGATTTGTGGCACGGGGGAGATGTGGCGTGACGAAGTCCAGGCGAAGAAGAAAAGGCCGACTGGGAGAATCAGGCTACCGAGCATGACCAACGGTAAGCGGTCCTCAGGCAGGACCGAGCCACGAGCCAGCAGCCTGGGACGATAGTATCGTTTCGAATACACCGCCACCCCAAGTGAGGATACCACTACACTCGTCAGAATGCTCAAAAACGGGAGGGACCCGGTACGAGGATCCCAACCTCGACCCTGGACGAAGCTGTATGGAAAGGCGAAAAAGGTCAGATAGAGGATCCCATAGACGATGGCAATGTACAACGCCATGACCATGAGCATCGGCTCGACGCAGAACATGATTGCCGGCTTGAACATGTACTTTCGGACGAACTCGGAAAAGGCTGGAGCTGGCTTGCTGATCTGTCTACTCAGTGCTGACGAGTCTTGTGCCAGTCTGAGTTTCTTGTTTGCTCGTTCTTGGAGGGTTGGCCCGTATGTCTCAGGGACGAAGAGGAATGCAGGGATTCCCACGGCGACGCCGAGAATGAGAGAAACCCAGCCTGTCCAGTGCCAACCAAGACTGCTTTCGGTGAGAAGGGCGCCAAATATGGGCCCTAGAGTAGGACCTACGTAGACAGCCACTGAGTAGACTGCGGTTGCGACACCACGCTCCGCGGGTTCCCAAAAGTCCGCGTAGGTTGCACCAACCAGGACCTGTGGCGAGGCTCCGAAGCAGCCGGCTAACAAGCGACATACCAGCAGTGCAGGGAGGTTGTTGACCACTCCGACCGGGATTTGGAGGAGTGTCCACACGAAGAAGGCCGAGAAGAGTGGTAACCGACGTCCTTTGAATTCTGACAAGGGTCCTTCAAATACCACCACCCTCAGGTCAGCACAACTCGAAAGAGACATAGATGACAGGAGTCTCAATGGACACGGAGAGAAGAACATACCCCAAACAATAGGACCCACGGCAAATCCCAAGACATAAAGCGACACCCCCAAGAGTGACACCGTTTCACTGACGTGGAACTCCTTGGACGTGACGGCGATAGCTGAAGACCACACCGAGCTGGCAAACGTGACGGCCGTGGTCATCAACGCCAGAAGAGTGGTTATGACCCATTTGCGCCATACTGGGAGATCGAACGGACTGTCAAACGGTGCGAGGGCTTCCTGGTCGCCGTCGTCTTTGGCAGCGTCTTTCTCATGCGGATCGTGTTCGAGGCGTAGAGTAAATGTCCCAGTGTCTTCGAGGTCGACTGACATGCTTTGCTTCCAGACAATACATATTGACACACCACAGACACAACTGTTTCTTTTTGAAGGTGTAAAGAGCAGATTTGAAGTCGTAGTTGTCCGCCAGATGGTGCTGGTGCTATCCTGTTTTTGGAGGTTGGTGCCGTCTTAGCCGGCAAAGGGCGCAACGAGCATTCTCCACGCCGAGGCAGATCACCAATTGCTCCTCACTGAGGTCCAGATTGACTTCGACGCCACCAAGAGGGGGGATTGTGCGATGAGTAAAAGACGGTCTGTCGGTGCCGAGTTTAATAGCCGGTGTCGCATTGCTAGGGTGCCAGGATATGCCCCGGTTACATGTACAAGAAGTTTCGGTGTCCGGCCGACATCACCGCTTCGCTCCAGATGGTACGCGGACTTGTCGAGAGGATGACGAAATCGGCGCCAAACTTGGACGTATACGAGATAGTTATACCGTTTACCAGTATAGGAATCCGTGGGTGGAACTGTGCCACGCCTTGGCTGATCCTTGCGGCGGGGCCAATGAGGCTGATGAAGCTCATCAGCCTCATTCACGACTCACTCACTACCTTGATTGGCTTCAACTGATCTCTGTACTCGACTCACTCTACCCCGCAAACGACAAGCCAGCTCGACTAGTTACGATGCCTCAACCTCCTACCTCGAACAAGAAACCCCTAGAAATTTGACCCTCTCTGTTGTGAGGGCACCACGCGCAAACCGCGCCCATGCTACTGTACCTTCTCACCCAAGATCCCGAGTGCGGACAAGACTCTGTCCAAATTGAAGGACGTTATTGGAAGCTGGCTGCCCATGACTTGGACGCTCCTGATGCTGAAGACATACGATTCACCTGCGTCTCCTACACATGGGGTGCGGAAAGAGAGCGCAGTCCATTTCACCGCGACTACCAGATTTCCGACCGCACAATACCAGCATTGAGTGCCGTTATTCAGCACCGCCCATCTTGCACTCGATTTTGGATTGATGCATTCTGTGTACCTGTCGACGCGCCGGAGAGGATTCACACCTTGGAGAGCATGGGATTTATCTACTCCCGGGCAGATGAAGTCATTGTCGTCCTTTCCACGGCCGCCCGCCCTGTCCTCGAGCAGATGAGCACTTCCGACCGCGTCGATTCGGTCTATCTCGACGTTTTGGAGAAGGAGGAGTGGGTGTCGAGGGCGTGGACGTACCAGGAGGCGGCGAACAGCAAGGTTCTTTCCATCACTTGCGAGGAATCCTGCGGGGTCATCGTCCAAGGCAGTCATTTCCTGAACTGCCTTGGTTACACCCTCACTCACCTCGACGACTCGGCCTCTGTTGCCAACGATAAGAGGGAGAGATACCCACGTCTCGACGCGTTTGAGGATCTCATTGCCGAGCACATGATTGCCGGGTACCTGGAACGCCCTGCTTTGCAGGTCATGTCGAACATGGACCGTCGCACCCAACACCGTGACGAGGACCATTTCTACGCCATGATCGGCGCCATCAGCACCGCGCGTGCCAGCTCCTGCGCAAACTTGGATCCTTCCGAGGCATTCATGTCCCTTTGCGAGAGGAAGGGTGACTACTCCTTCATCTATTCGGTTGCAAAGCGTGACTCGACGCCGTCGAAACGCTGGCGTCCTGTGCCAGGAGATCTCCCTTCCATTCTCCCCTGGCATTATTATGGCGAAGGGCAGCCGGCTCACGAGGAGGCCGGCTCGTTATATTTGGACCTGATGCTTCCGCTCGAGATCTCGCCAATCAACGAGGACGGAAAGAAGTTTGTGCAACAATGGCTTGCCTCGAGCAAACTCGGTTCTACTGGGCCCCACGATTCGCTCCAAGAATCAGCCTATGCTGCCCTTCGAACCATGGGTTTCCAAGGCAGTCCGGAATGCGTGACCACTACGCACGGCTTCTTTTTTCCCGCCGACACAATCCCCATGGAGGAGGAACCCACCATCTTGGTCGCAACTGGGGTCCGGTGGACTTGCGGTGCCCCAGGCCTTGCTCGCTGCATCGGAGATGTAGAAAAGTATATCCCTGGGGTGTTTTTCGGCCGCGTCGACGACGCAGCTGCTGTCTCAGTCAAGGTATCCTGAGTGATGGATCGTGAAGATGTCAAGGATCTCGTCGTGTAAGAGGGCCGAAAGGTGCTGACCTGTCTAGGTAGGCTCTGTTTGAAGTGATTTACCGTGTTACCTCCATTGTCGCATGGAAGCTGCATCGTGGCGTGTTGGCCTACCTGGTCTTGTGCCCGCTGTATAATCTCGACAGACGTCCCGGGAATGTCAGCAGAAGGCAAAGCCCATCCACAGCAGGTCGACTGAATAGATTCCGTGGCTCCACCACATGCCCATGCTGACGACACGGATGCATCTACAAGACGCACATGCAAGACACAGACAAACCCCGCCTTTCGGAGCCATGCCTCCGACTCGGATCCTTTCCCCTTCGCTCTCTCACTCACATGACAACCTTGATTAGAGCCCGCACATCTGAATGTATAGGTAATCAACGACGTTAGCGCTGGCTCGTACGTCAATGCCACACACGGCGTCTGGGACGGTTTGCGGTTTGTGGTTGTCGCGCCAATGATTGATTCCCTCATCTCTCGTAGATTTATTGGACCATCGATCGCGTACCTATTTATGGACTGGGTATGATAAGGGTATAGGGTATAGACAACTCCATTATCCTGTAGACCTCTCGGTCCTGCGGAGTGACTTTCCATCCTGCCCTTTACACGGCGTTAACTTCTTCCCCCGTGTCTCTCGTTTCTGGCCTTGTCTCTCTTTTCTCGGGGAAGTTTTTGAACCAGAAACTATATGAGCTGCATTCTTTAGTGGTGATCAGGGCCCTGCTCAATAAAGATGGTCTCCACGAGCGACATCCTCCTCAACAACACCTCACTGCTCAGTCCCGGCAGCGGCCCCGTCTGCGCGCTGGTCGGGTGCACCGAGGGAATTGGGCTGGCGACGCTGCACGCGGTGCTGCGCCACACGTCGGCGCCGACCATCTACCTCGTCGGAGAAACTGCGCGCCTCGAGACGCTCAAGACTTCGGTCCAGAGCCTCAACGCGGCCGCGAACATTGTCCCGATCGCTGGCGGTGGCGCCGTCTCCGACGAGGACTCGAATCTGGTGTCATATGCGCAGGATGCTGCGCGGGAGATCGTCGCTTTGAACCCGGCCAGGCTGGACCTGTTGATCATGTCTTCGACGACGTCGTCGTCGTCGTCCCTCACAGGAAAAGGCATCGACCGCATCATCTGCGCCGAGTACTACGCGCGCATGCGCATCCTGGTCACACTGCTCCCGCTCCTGCGCCTGGCGGCGTCTCCTCGCGTCGTCACCGTCCTCGCCGGCGGACGAGAAGGGTGGGTCAACGTGGACGATCTCGGCACGACACGGACGACAGAACCCTCCACCACAGCCGCCGCGGCGACCATGACGACGCTGTTCTTCGAACACCTCGCCACACAGGCCGAGAACGACAAGATCGTCTTCCTGCACGTCAATCCGGGCGTTGTCTTCGGGGGTATCGACACGAGCGTCGACGAGGCTGGCGAGAGAGTCCTCTTCGGCGCGACGAACGGACGGTTCCGCCGCGTCCGGGACCCTGAGCGCGCAAGGGGCACGCTCATCCAGCAGGGCAGCAATGGCGTCTTGGGTAGCGGCGTGTATCTCGTCAATGGGGACTCGAGCGTCGTCGAAGGCGGCGGGAACGAGGAGTTGAAGAGGTTGAGAAGTGACGCAGGTGGTAATGCCGCGCACAAGGTCTGGAAGTATACCATGGGGCCGAGTGTGTAGGGATTGAAGAAGTCCGTTCTGTAAGAGAATCGTGATCTGTATGTGAATGACAGGGGGTTCTCTCATATACTACCTAGGTACCTACCTAGTAAGTATTGGTTTGGATACCTATATAGGTAGGTAGCTAGCTGGACAAGTCACGTTGCAGACACAGATACTGACACCGTGGGCGCTGGTTGTTTAGCTTCGCAGCACATACACCGCTCGATAGGCAACACACAGTATATACGTGCTAACTTCTCAGCAGGACAGTGCCCCCGTCACTTTGCGAGGTTTGGTGTGGAGCAGTACCAGGCACCAGGTACGCACCGTATAATCGTATAGGATCGTGAGGCGCGTGCGTGGGTGAGCCGATAGGAAAAGATTTGAAGAATATTTCAAAGGATCTTCGGGTGATGCTCTTATGCGAGATCGACTACTGCTCAGGGGTCAATAGATTCATCCCACGCACATCGGTTGTGCCCGAGGTCCTTTTCACACAAGTCCAGCACGTAGTCACACAAGTTGATCCAAAAGATGCGTAAGATCGTATCATATCATTCGCCTACGCCAAAAGACAGACTGTACCAGCAAAGCACAGACATCAATCCAGCGTCGCTTCCTGAACAAGATGAACCTCTCGCCAGTTGCGCTCGATCGTCCCGGTATCCATATTCGCTCTCCAGACACTCAATTGCCATCGGGGCGACCCGTCCCGCGATGTTTCTGCCAAGTGGAACTGGATGGGGAAGACGAAGAACATGCTATAGGCGCGGCGGCGGGTCTTCTGGTTGAATGCCTCCAGCACCGGGCCGTATCCATCCCTGGACTCCAGCACCTGCCACACGTGCAACATGACATTCGCGTCCGAGAGCTGGTCCGAGCCCGCCTGCTCGGGAATGGTGATCGTCCAGCCCTTGGGGTTCGGCGCGAACGTCGCCGTCTGTAGATTGGGGAATTTGTCCAGGTTGAGTTCCCACGTCGCCTCGAGTTCAAAGACATTCAGTCGCACGTGGCGCACGTGGCTCAGACTGTGCAGGGCGTTCATCCTGTTCACGAACGAGTGCAGCGCTTGCTGGCAATGGAGCTCCCACATGGCCATCTGGATAAAGACATGCTGAGCCTCACGTCTCACTTGGCCTGGCGGCGCAGACCTCAGCAGCCACTGGTGGTCTGCGCGGTAAGGCCCCGTCGCGTCCGAGAAGCAGTAGCAGCCCGACTTTGCGGTCACGGCGACCCGGTTACCATTGAAAGCGTGTGCAAAGACTTCCCATCGGATTTCCGCAGGCAGCTTCATCAATTGTGAGATTACATCTGCGAGCCGCCCGTCGCGAGTTTCCAGGGGAAAGAAGTATGGCCGCGCATTGAGGGTGTGGAAATATGTGGTCTCGGCTACCGCTGACTCGGACATGGCGCTGAAATGCTGACTACAAGAAGTGGCATGGACATTCAGCTGTTACATCGTGGTCGCACCGGAGATGCTTGAGCTGTGAAGATGCTGGCTCCGGTATATCATGCTATGGTAGTGTTGGGACGAGGTACAGAAGAAGGCTGACTGATAAGGACAAGACGAGGCGAATATGGTGCGCCGTAGAACCTGCTACGGTGACGCAAATGACCACAAATAATCACGTGACATAAGCCAAAAAGAGTACCAAGTATGTATCATACATATAGATACTTGATGGTAGACTGCATTTGAATATTGATACAGGAGACACACCCAATCCTGCATAGATAACCCGAAAGTCTTTCTCTATTTCTCATCCATGGAGATCTATCCAATCCGTCCAGCCAGAGCCTGGGAGTCGAAAGATGATTCGAGAGTCGCGCCCCCAGCCGAAGATGATTGTGCTTCCCACGTTGATAGTACAGTTGAACAAATTGCGTAGATACCAAGCTATAATATGGCGAATCCGAAAGTGTTGCATAAACTTGCGGACAGTCCAAGTCGTGTTCCACCATGGCTTCATTCAAATCATGGCTCGTAGCATTCGGAGCAACGCCCATAGTAATCATAAGATTTGACGTTGGTAATTCGCAAAGAGGACCTGCCCCTTGTTGTGCATATTGGGCCATCCTTCAGCAGCGTAGCTTCAAGCACGAGATACACTATACACCTCTTCTGCCGGAATATAGATCTTGTCTTGACCGACTGTGTGAAAGAGCCTTCGGGTTGTGCGGGTGCCTCATGTGATGGAGCTTGTCGTGGAAAACATCCTCGTCATAGTCTATTGTCTTCGGCAGACTGTCGACACGAAGTGGACGTCCGCCAGTAGCAGCAGATGACAGATGACTTAACATGGCAATGTCCTGACTGGATGGCTTCACAGCGGTCGAGCGGTGCTTTGGTTTGACAGAACGAGACTCTCTCGGTACGGCGGGCACTGGAGGCAGCTCTCGATTCGGGGGCGGCTTGGAGGGTGGAGCGGGAGGCCGAGGAAAGTACTTCACCCCCTCATCTGAGGAGGCGCTCGTGCTGTAATTTAAGTAGGTGAATGCGCCTGTCTCGATCGACTCACCGAACGACAGTCTCGGGTCCACTTGACTGTCGTTATTGTGCCAGTTATTCCAGTGCTTCTGTCGGGGTGTGTCCAACTCATTGCTCCAAGGTACCCGATTGGCAGGGATAGCTACCTCTGCGCGTCGAGCACTTCGGTGTAGAGAATGATCGCGGGAGCGCGGACTGTCTGCCACCACCGTGTCGGAGACGCCATCAAAATTGAAGGACAAGAGTGAACTGACGGAAGTCGTGCCGGGGGTCGGGGTTGTGCTTGGAGGGGTATGACTGAGGGGCGAGTGAATTATTGGAACATCGAGAAGCATGGTTTGCTCTTGAGGCTGCCTTTCCTCTCTTGCTGTGGGTCGTCGATCTCGAGATCCTTGACGAAGGGTCCTCCCTGGACTGTAGTCATTAGATCGTCCTTCAATAGATTTTTCTGAAGATTTCTTTTCCCGGATTGGCGTATTCCTAGATCCTGCACTGCTCTCTGCTCTCTGTTGAGCTGCGCAATGGAGTCTATCGACACTGGCAAAGCGACGAATAAGGTCACCTAGTTTCTGCTCGAGCTGAGCGCTAGTCAGACGTGCGAGCGGATCTCGCTCGAGGCACTGAAGAATGAGCTGCACGATAGGGCCGACGGCATGATATACCTGACCGTCATTCTTTTTGGCTTTCTTTTCAGCTTCATTTTGGAGGCCTTGGGCCCAGAGGAAGACCTGGCCAAGGTTGGCGTGGAAGCTCGCATCAGCCAGGCCTCCGCCACGGCCAGCCATCCGATTTTTGGCAGATCGAGCCCGCGAGAATGAGCTATAGCTACGCTTGCAGAGAAGGTTCAGGATGTCCATTATCACAGCCGCAAGTGAAAACACATCCGAGGCGTACATGTCGTGCTCGACCGACTGCCAGGTCTGAACAACAGCGCTTCGGCCTTCTGGCGCCGAGACGAAAATAGGACTGTTAAGCGAAGGAGCCTTCCGGCCATTCGAACTGGTAGAAGACAGAATCGAGGGTGCCCTCCCTGGGACGATCGGATCATAGGTAGGCCGTGCTGTATCTTGGGTTACCACGGATCTGGTGTCCGTTGGAGACCCCAAGTCCCTACCGCGACCAGCAGACTGAGGCGGTGCATCAGGACCGATCGCTGCGCTCAAGCGAAGCCTTGCATAGCCTCCTTTTGAAGTGGGTTGAAATGTATAAGTTGCTCCCGACGAAGCCGACCTGCTTCTCGCAGAATTGTTGCCGTCTGAATGGTTCTGTCTTGAAGGGTTTCCACCCGCCTTCCGGCCAGATCGTCCTCCAGATGGAAGCGAGAGGGCAGCGGAGCCAGTGCTTTGAATTGTGACCGCTCGCTTCCATCGCTCGGGCGGACCGTATTGATATGCTTCGATGTCGTCATGGCGAGGTCTGTGACGAAGCAATCCGTCTCCGTCCAGCAACCCCAAGGAGATGGAGAAGGAGTTGTCAATTTGAATATTGGAGGGGCGGATACCTCCGTGGAATTCGCCGTTCTCGTGCAGCCATGCTAACGCGCTGGCAATGCAGTGTGGCCAATTGATCAAAATACGTCGTCGCTCAGGCTTTGGGAGGGCACCAAAGCTTTTAGGTGTATCGGTGAGGAATGTCTTGAGGGTCCATTCGGCTGCTGGGGTGGAGATGACATTGAACACCCCTTGATAGAGATAGGAGCCATAGACAGACACGATGTGTTCGTGACACAGCCTTCTGCTCGCAGCGATTTCATTCAGAATGTCCTCCTCGCTGAGCGGTCCCTCGAGGAGGATGCGGCGGCGTACAAAGACCCTCTGATTGTCTGACGGTAACCGCACTCGATCGGTGCCTTCGTGACTAAATGAGAGAACCACCGATTTCAAGCTGACAGGGACGACAGGGACTGCCTCTTCATCGGCATAACGGATGTGCTCCCCCTCTCCAACAACACGTGTAAGGAAGCGGAACTGGTTCTTGTAGAAACGTTTATCCAAGGACCTATCCGGCTCATAGGATAGCCGAAGATCGGGAACCGCTTGCTCGATGATGGGTAGATCTTCGTCGTCGTACGAATCGTCGATGATGCCAAAGATTTGATCGGGCACACCGGTAGCTACCAGTATGAGGAAGAAGCGTTTTGCCCTGGTCAAGATCCAGTCCAAGTAGGTATCATCGGTCAGATCGCCTCCGAAATACAGAGGCCGCTGAAGATATTCCTGTTCATCTGCGCGGAGGTGCGAATGAACATATGCGGAGGTGACGGTTTCGTCCACACGCTCATCTGTCCACAGCGACATGATTCAGACGCTTTGTCCTCATGAGCAGGTTGACAGGAAGAAGGCCAACGTGAGGTTTTGAGTCGGTGACTAGTAAGGAAGCCATAGTCTTATCGGAGAGCATCCGGCTTCGAAAACAGGGGCTTGTCGGCAAACACGTGGAAAGTGGGCAGCAGTCATCGTTAGCAGAAACCCAGCAGGGCTGTCAGGAACAGAAAGTAGCTGCAGTGCTTACTCTACAGGAGATGAAACCGGGGAATAGGCAGATATAGATCGAGGGACGGGAAATCCATATGTCTTATTTGGCTCAAATTGGGAACGTCAGATCGCTTGGATGGGGTGTGGAGTTCGAACGGTCTCGCATGGCCAGTGGCGGCGCCAGAGAGGAAAGAAGATAAAGGCATGAGCAAGGGTACAGGAGGAGGTAGGATGTCGAGTGGGGGGTCTAACCGACTACTCCAGTAGGTACGGGCGAAATACCTACTAGTAGATACACAGTTAGCAGGTCGCTGATAACATGAGGGGGAGTAAGACGGGGAGGGGACAAACAGCAACACAGAGACACCACAGACACACACATACACACACATCCTTATCTCGGCTTGAACAGGGGCAAAAGCAATGAGAAGCCCGTCTCTTTTGATCAGTTGATCCTTGCCGGCTCCCGGAAAGGATGGCATCTCCCTCCAGTGTATGCGTAGAAAGTAGATTTTGAGTTTTTCTCACCTCCTCCTTTTTTCATTCTGAAACACCTCTCCTCGTGCGCCGCTGACGGAGTGATGATGGAGGAGCGACAGAAGGTGGCCTGAAGTGAACGGTGTGCCAGACCGAATCGCAATGATTCCAAAGTCTATCTGGGGGTCGAGTGTTGGTGACAGGTGGACAGTGCTGTGACGAGGTCCAAGCTCTATCCAGGAGAGATCATGTCGTTTGCTCGGACTGGACGGATTGCGGCGGCGGCGGCGGCTGCATCGGTAGCGGGTGATATGATCAGGGGAGGGATGGACGGAGAGCAGACGATCGGATGCGGGATGGAGGATCGAGGATGCATGGCTCCTGTGGAAAAGGTGCCCAGGGCGCATTTGACTGGTTGCTTGCCAGCCTTATCAGGCATGAGAATGGATTTAAGCCTATTATCAGTTTAGTTACAAATAAAAGAAATGACAAAAGTCTCAGGGCCCCGAGTCGCGTGGGTCTCTGCATCCTGTTGACAGAAGCAACTTTGGCTCCCTTGATAACAGCATCACCGCATCACTACTCCTCGTTCCAATACTCGACAGGACGTCTGCCTCATACTAGTGATCGAGGCGACTTCCGCCTTCCCATGTTGTGGAGCTACGAGCACCATTACTCGGCACTTGTCCTTAGATCCTCAGAAAGAGAGTGGGACGATGGATTGACAATCCCTCCTGTCCTCTGAATCGAACACCACCGAGTCCTTTCCCTCCTATAAGACCCTCAACGGCCCGACACGTTTCTGGACTGAATTCCAAACTTTCTTCCCGGTACAGAGTTTGGCAATATTCTATAAGGCCCTCCGTCACTCTCCTCCGTACAGGGATCGCCTCAGGGAACAAACACCCCGCAGGACCTGAAACAGCATAGCAAACATTTGGACCAATACCAACAGGATATGATGTACGAGTAAAGAGCCAGGGGAATTATCACAATACGCACCTCATCACCGTTTACCGTCTCAGATATTGCTCACCGCCAGTTGTTACTTTGCTCACCTCTATATAGTTTGCCGAGTCTCGCTGACCAGTCTCCAGTTGTCATTGTTTTCGGCTCTGGGCAAATTCAAGTATCCCTGGTGCTTGTTTCTTCCAGTCCAGCAGTGGGAGCGCCACCCGCCTAATCATCGCGACCAAGAGAACTCAAAATGGTGCCATGGTGCCACCTGGAGTCTGAAGATGTTTAAGTCTCGCAAAATGTATCCTTGCAGGCCTGAAAACACCCCACATATACTTCCTCCCAGAGGGATGACAGGATGACAATTTAAGGGATGTCCCCCTCAACTTTGTTCCAACAAATACGTGCCTGAGGTATGGGTGCACCCAGCTTTCTTCAACCTCGAAGCTTGGCACAATTATCCATGGGGTGCACGAAAGGATCTTGAGGAACCAAGGTTGGAGGACTCCGTGGTTTTCAAAATATGCGGCGGCTGTGTTCAGGTCGCAGCACTGTGCTTGCTGTCCATCAACCCGCGGACGTGATCAAATCTAACCTAACCATCAAGCATGGCACATGATGGTCGCTCTGAGCTGCACAGACCATCCAGTGGCCGCTGCTCAGGTACAGACTGAGGTTTGCGACAACAAGATTGTCAAATCTCAGCCACATACTCTCCTCATGCACAGCATCCATCGCGAGACGGAAAACGGGTGCTCCCAGAAGTTGTGAGGTCCGGCTCTGCCCGGTGCTCGAATCAGTGTGACAGCCGTGCTTTCTGCACGGACAGCAGCGCTGATGATTCGTGACCCTAAGACCTTGCTTGCACAGACGCGGAAGACGCATGCTGATGAAACGCCCACACCCCAAATCCTCGAGAGACTTTGGGTGTCCCTGCTGTTGCCTGCAGGAACGCTACGAGGTACGAGGTACACATTCCTTCCACATGGCCTTCACCGCCCGTGCAAGCAAGGAGGAATGATTCGAGGAGAGGCTGAGGAATGCCCGAGTAGAAGGCTTTCCATGACAGATCATTGCCAAGTCCGCAGGCTTTGGCAAACTGGGGGGAGATTGGGCCCCCCTGATCGACAACCAGAGAACAGTCAGGCGCGAAGAATTTTCTTCGCAGTTCTTCTGATTCGACTATAGGGCTTAGGCACAACCCAGCTAACGTGTCAGTGCAAACAGCGGTCTATATGGCACGGAGACTACTGCGGCAGAATGTCCCTCGCAGAATGTCACACGGACCATGTGCAATGCAGCGACATGCAAAGCTCGTCCAAGCCTTCGTATAAGTCCAGCCTGATATCACCAGAATCACCGTATTCCTGGCGCCACCAGCGCCGAGCCCAGAGCTTTGTTCGGCAAATCAGGCAGTTCATCTGAGAGAAGCCGGATGAATTACGGTCTGGTCTACCGCCACAGGATTCCTCTGGCGCCTGGTTGCCCCAGCTTGGTGCTTAATAATAGCATCTCTCAAGGCTCGACACCGGTTACGAAGGCTCTCGTACCTAGAAGTCGTAAGCTCTGGGTTTATAACGGCAGAAGGCCAGCTATGCAAGGCCGAGGGATGCACTGGGGCAAAAAAAGAGCATAATTGTCTGGATGGGAATTCCCAGGGCACGGACCATCGAGAGGAAGCAAATGCCGCCCAAAGCTTACGGGCTTGAAGGTGATAAGTCGAAGTTTATGAGCTTTAGGTAAGTGCCTAATGGATCTCCAGACGGAGCTGTTTCCCCCCCTGCGAGCGGCCTACTACTAGGTACCAGACATCCATGACAGTATTTAGTACTTCGTATGTTACTTCGTACTGGTGAAGACGAACAAAAAACCCTAAGACACCTCATGCGCAACGGCCCAAGATGCTCCACTGGCATCGCTAAGTGCCAAAGTCCACCCCCCTCTTCTTCTCCCACCCCCCCTTTGCTGGACAGATGGACAGAAGAATTTTGAGGCCATGGCTAAAACAATAGAGTTTCCCCTTCTGCTGCCGAGGCCCCTGTCGTGGAATTGTGGCTCGTACGATCCACGAGGGTCTAGAACACGCCAACTGTCATCCTCAACCACCCCAATCCCAGGGATTGGCAACTCCACTGCAATGTTCTGCATAGCCAAACGCCTGTGCCTAATCCTCTCTTGCTCGTTGTTGGGCCTTGTTCGAGGTGCCCACGTAACTTTGGAGCTCGAAAAAAAATGGCGCGAAGGCTACGGTGTTGTACCTGCAAGTGCTCCAACCGGGTCTCCTTGACCGCGCCTCGCCCGCTCAAGGCCATCTGAGAAAGAAAATAGACCCTCACATCTGGTCGTACATGAGTCTTGTGGCCCGACACAGCCGAGTGCTTCCTCGACATCTGTTCTTCTTTGTTCGTTCACCAGCAGGTTTCCGTTTGGTCCAAAAGGGCTGTTTTCCAGAGCATTTGGTTGTGTGTGAGAGAGTGTGGCCAGTTCCCCTTGTCGTTACTCACTTTTAATTCTTGTCCTTCATTATTCATATTCCTCTCCCAGCACCCAGGTTAGGGTTCTTGCTTGCACTCTCCCCCGAGAATCCCAAACGCACCTTGGTTCCGATCGCCTTCGCCTTTCACGTTCTTGCCACGAGCGGATCTTCATGGGCTTACGATCTCTCCCCTGCCAATGACCTCCCAGCCTCTGTCGCTGGATAATGGCGTGGCCACTGTCTTCAAACCGCAACCGGTAGTTGTGCGAATACAAGAGCTCTCCCTATGTCTGTCAAGCGGAGACCGGTGCGATGAACCCACGCAGGGAGTTGTAAAAGTGTTCGGAAAATCGAGAGACGGTCTGAGGAATGGTTCAAGATCCATGCTGGACGGACTAGGATTGAAGAGACCAGACGAGGATATTGGGCAGGGTCAACAACGAACTACCCGACCCAAGCCACGGCGGAGGTCGTCGTCGTTAGGGTCACTGGAGGGTTTCAGCGTGGGCCATGACGACTACTTCAGTCGCAGGATTCAATCAGCAAGCATCTATAAAACCAGAAGTTCCGATGCCGCGGGGCCTTTGATGGCGCGGTCAGAGAAAGAAAAGCACTCAGAGATCTGTCACGATGTCATCAGAGATCGTTCAACGCTGCTAGACATTACTGCCGCTCCTATCAAAATCTCAGAACCATTACCCACGCCTGGGTGGTTCTACCCGTCCCAGATCCTTGGACAAGCGTTCAACGGACCGTGTGGGATTGTACCGCCCCTTACGCCTCCAGAGGATCTCGACTCTTTCAAATGGGAGACACCGTCACAGACAGATTCTAGTGGAGGTGCCCGCACGGTGTCAAGCTACGAAAGCGATTCAGGGAGCCAGAGACAAAGCCAGCCTCGCACAAGTTCCACATCTCGTCCGTCAGAGATACGAATGCCAGAACCGTCAAACATGTCGCGGGACGAATCGAGCCGGTTGAATTGGCTTGAACGAGCTTGCCAGCATCTTGGTATGTCCTTCTCACTTGAAACTTGACGTGTTTACTGACTGATTTATGTGCAGTATCCTCTTCGGGGGATTCCACCAGTCAACAACAAATTCAAATGGTCGTCCAAGCTCTACCTTCCCAGCCAAGGTCAACCCATATGAGACCCATTTACGACAGAGTGGTTGAAGACGTGCAGAACCACTTCACATCCCCTCCATACATCACCATCACACACGCATATTTCCAAGCAATCAGCATGGACGAAGTTCCAGCCTCGCCTCCCGCAACACCAAATACCAACTATCCGAGCGACGATTACTTCCAGGATCATACTGTCTTTACGCATGCGGCCGTTGTTCCAGCGTATCATTCCCATGTGGCCACTTTCAGTGCCGTGGCTCCACGCCCATCGAACATTATTGCGGCTCCTAGTAGTATACAGATTTCGATTCTGGAACGGTACATTCCGCCTACGACGCCTCGGGAAGTGGAGGACTTTTTCACGTTGAGCAGGCGGTCTTATTTGGCGGACAGGCTATTGGAACTATCTTCGAATGATGGCTCGCTACTACTGATCTACCCGACGAAGCTGGGCGGACAAACATTTGCGAATCGATATATCGGACCGGTTATCGAGCCATTTCTGCGGCAATTTATCCTGCTCAACAACCTCTACACAGATATTGCGATTCAATTAGGTCGAATGGACGCGGTCGCAAGTATGAAGAGCTTTGAGGAGATGCAAACCATGCTATTAGCCATGTGCGAAGCTCTCAGTCATAGAGCCCCATCACGAGGGCTCCCAAGTCGATACCAGATTATCCACGCAGAAACCGCTGAGGTGGTGCTCGACCGCACCCTGTGGAAAGAGTGGTACATTGAGCAAGAGCAGCCGCGTCTACGACAGAACTTGGTGGATTATCATAAGAGTGGCGGGCGTATGCCAGCGAGAAGCGGTCGCATTGAAGTGACACCCGGCATGCTTGCAAGAGAAGTGGTTGATGGGATCCGCCAGAGTCGGGAGACAGCAGGAAATGTTGGCGTCGAGGTAGCCGTGTTTGTCGTTCGACGCACGACTGTCGTGTAACGTTCTGTCGCGGCCAGAAACCCGCATTATCTGTGGCCCGGGCTGGATGCTGGGTCTCTCTCTCTCTCCCCCTCAGAGCATGCATGGCAAAAATGTAATTGATCAAAGCAAGGCGTTGCGGGCTGAAAGTGAGATTTCGCGTGGCGCGGGTTTGGGGTCACAGGACAATGAATGAGCCATGAGATACCCCACGGATTGTGCGATTCTAATGAAAATAAGGTCGATGCACACCAAAAAAGAAAAGGGAATGAAAGAGGCACTTCTCAACTGGCACCATTGATCCGTATAACTGATCCATACGTTCTGTTCTCAGTACTCGTATTCACCATCGACGTTCACGACTTCTCGTACAAGAACCACCCTCCACTCCAGGAAACCCTCTCTATCAAATTAGCACCGCCACCACCCGCGATAATGAGGATGACGTGCGCAGTCAAGCGAGATTGTACATGTTTCAGAAATCTTATCACACTGGCCCAGGATTAGGATAGTTCCCGATGGCTTGCTTCGAGAAAACAGGAGTGTCGGTCGCGGCATCTTAGAGTTCCACGTAACCTACTGGAGAAGGTTAGAGGGTATCTACCTAGCGAGTAGTACGAGTCAGTTCAAGGATCTCAGAAGTCTGGCGTTAGTACGAGGTACTGGGTAGTGCATGAACCAAAGGAGCCGTTGAGTGAAGGTGCCAGTGCTTGGACTCACCAGCGGGTAGCGCAAGGGGCCAAGGACGCGCAGCCTACAGGCCAACCAACCAGCCAACCATGCTTTCCAGGTACCTTATAAGCCACTCAAGCCTGACAAGTCAAGAGCAGGGCAAGCCCGGATAAACTCTCCGGGGGTGGTCAGGATCCTCCAGAGGTACCCGGTATTGACCACGGCCTTTCCAGATGTGCCGCCACAGTTCCCTATCTTGGTGCTTGACCACCTGCAGCAAGCCAAGTACGGAGTAGATAACAGATAACGGACAATCTTGCAACCATCGTTGATGGCCAATTCCGTCCACGACTTTCCAATCTGCGTCATCGATTCGACAGCGTAGCTTGAAAAATGGAGATAAAATGATGGACAATGCATGAAACTTGGCCGTCTCCCACGTCTCCCGCACACGCTATGGCCGAATTCTATTTCGCGTCTTCCCAACTACCTGTTTCCTGGGCTTGCGATTGACTAGGTTCGGGGGGCAGCGTGCAGCGGGAGGCGACCTTGAACTCTACAATCCTGTTGCACGCTTCCCATCGTCGCCAAACGGATGCGCAAATGTTGGTCCTGCGGCTGAAATTGAACCATGTTGAAAAAGCTCTCCGTCGGGTCGTGTCGTCGAGATTTCACCACTTTTTATCATCATCCCCTTTCGCGCCTCCCTGCCTGGCTCTGCCATTGTCGTTGCTGGCGTCGCTCGCCATGTTTGTCGTTGTTGTATGACCTGCTTCCTCCTCTCTCGTTTCTCCTGGCTATTGTCGCGCCTGCTCTGTGAAAAGAGAATTGTGACTGCCCGTCGCTTTTTTTTGGTGCTCGCACGCTCCTGCTGCTATCGTTGCAGCTCGCCCCTCTTTATCACCCAACCTTCACTTCCAGGCCGCAGAGTCCCTCAAATCACGTCGCCTTGGGGACGAGATCCTTCTCTTCTTTTGCACATATTATTTGTCACTGCAAGTGGTTGGTTTAGACCCGACCTCTAGCACAGCTTGCTACTTTACCACAACTCCCAACCCTTTGGTACGTTCGAACTCTAAAGGTCCTGACTTGCTCAGAATCACCAAAGTGTTTTGACATCAACATCGCTCTTCGAGTTGCCTCTTTTCATCCCAGACTTGTTCGCCTCAACAAACCATGGGTGCTCCGTCGACCTTGATTTTCCTGGTCCTGGCGGCCATCTGTGCCACGATCAACGCAATTCCCACCATCTCAGTAGTCGGTTCAAAGTTCTTCACAAGCGATGGCAACCAATTCTTCGTCAAAGGTACGGGTCAAGTCGGCGGAAGGGCTGTTGTTGATCCTGGCTGACTGAGGCGCTTCTCGTAGGTGTTGCGTACCAGCTGGTCGAAGACGACCCTCTCGTCAACACCACCCAATGTCAACTGGATGCCACACTCATGCAGCAGCTAGGCGCAAACGCCATTCGTGTGTACCATGTGGACGCCTCGGCCGATCATGCCGGTTGTATGAACGCTTTTGCCGCTGCTGGGATTTACCTGTTTGTGGATATGGACAGCTTCAAAACATACATTCGATATGTAGGGCAGATAACAATAAACCAGACCACGGCAGGGGACGGCGCAGCTGACACTCGGCCAGGAATCTGACTCGTCGTGGACCGCGAACAAATCGGCTTCGTATAGAGCTGTTATGGACAACTTTCAACAATACGACAACACCGCTGGGTTTTTCGTGGGCAACGAGGTGCTCAATGTTTGTATGTGACACATCAGTCTCGATTGGGGCTCACGCACCCACTAATAAGCCAACAGTGGCCGATTCTGGCGCTGCGCCCTATCTTCTCTCCGCAGCTGCCGACCTCAAGAGTTACCGAGATGCCAAAGGCTACCGCAAGATTCCTATCGGCTACTCGGCGACTGACACTGCCGTTCTCCGGCCTATGCTTCAGGACTACTTGGTGTGCCGTCCTAACGTGACTGAGCGCCTCGACTTCTACGCATTGAACAGCTACGAGTGGTGTGGATCTACACCTGATTTTCAGACTTCAGGATACATTGGACTGCAGGCGCTTGCCGAGGATTACCCAGTACCTATTTTCTTCTCCGAGGATGGCTGCAATACCGTACCGCCGCGCACATTCAACGATCAAGCTGCCATCTTTGGACCGCAGATGGTTGACACCTGGTCTGGAGCCATCATCTACGAGTGGATTCAAGAGATGAACAATTATGGACTTGTGTCGTATGGTCCGCAGGTGGGACCAGACGTCAACCAAGGGTCGACCATAATACAAGGGTAGATATGATGGCTCACGAACCCACGAATTTCCGAGGCCGATCGAGCTGACCGCGTTAACAGATTCACCCGCCAAGGAGTACCGACTCCTGTATCACCAGATTTCAGCAATCTCCAACAACAATGGAAGACCCTGAACCCTACAGGGGTGAGATCAGCTCAGTATGCGGCGACAGTCAAGACCACGCCACCACCTTGCCCAAGTTCGACCGCAGGAGGATGGACGGTGGACCCTAGCGCGCCTCTCCCCACGGTTGGAGTCGGTGCCGTCTCAGCAGGTATGCCAAACGGCGTGCCGAAGGGCAGCATTACAGTGGACCCTTCTGCCGCCAGGACCCCTTCTCCTTATACTTCGCTCTCTGTTTCTGCTCTTTCCACGTCGCTCGCATTTTCGACTTCGCAGACCAGTAGTACTTACAGCTCGACAGTCACCCCATCGTCGATGACCAGCAGCACGGCATCAGCGGCCACCTCGCAAGGAGCTGCTGGCAGAACCGTTTACGGACCTCCCTCGTTCAAGGATGCCGGGCTGGTAGGTATGGTGCTTGCATTGGCGTCTGTGGGCGCTGGGGTGATGGTGTGGCTGTGAAAACATCAGATGATACCTCTCAGGGACCTCTCGGAGATGGATGTGGTTGATCTTACGATTCACGAAAAGGATAACAGCGAGTTTCGATTCGGGAAGAAATGCAGCAACACGATCAAAGTATTGGGTGAAAGTGAAAAGGTAGACGATACACAAAGTATGATACGTGACTGCAACGAGGAAACAAAAAATAGATTTAATGGTAATCCCAAGAATGAATGATGGGCCTACTTACACGTCTAGTGTTCACCGACTGTTGCTTTACAATAATAATTGCTGGTGTGTAGTTCGCGTTCCGATTCATGCTGGATGCTAGCTAGTTGATGGGCCACCTCGATCTGCCTAAGCGAGCCCGCCTACGGCATCGGCTGATGACCGGGACGCCGTCCCCTTTAGGAGTAAGAGTAATTCCCATTTGGGAAAGATCTGAGTTTGAAGAAAGATGATGAGTAAAGCTGCAACACGGCAAGATTCCCACATATGGTCAGGCGAGCGGGAGAAACTTTTAAGGATAAGAACGACAAGGGGTTCTGGTGGAAGGCGTACTGATATACAGGGCTCGTGTCTACGCGTACCTAGCATAGAATAATACGCGGTATTTGGCTGGCGTCATCCGGTAGAAGGGATGGTAGTCCTCATCCACGGTGCCACGGCGTTATCTTTTTGGCCACACGAATACTCCACGGCGTATCCCGGTAAGATATATTTTGCCCGACACTTCGGCCGAAGAATACGGGGGAAGCAGGCAGATCTGGAGAGTGGTATAAGTAAGGACAGATACAGACTTGCAGCTGACATGTATCTGATGGCATACAGAAGGACTATATTAACCTCTAAGGCAAGGCAGGTAGAGAAGGGGAGATAAAAAAGGTCGGAAAAAGAGTTGTTCGGGCCTCATAAGTCCGGAAAATCATCCATGATCCGCTGTTTTAGCTTACAAGTGGCTTGGCACCCACACACATTGGCCCTTTGGTGACTCGAAGCTTCCTTCTATCTAGTATCTAGCCTCACCTCGTAGTGTGATTGGACTAACCTTTCCCTGACCTCACCGAGAAATTTCGATCTTTTTTTCTCCAATGCCCTGCCCAACGTGACGACATTATCGTCCAAACCATTTGATTGAACCATTCAATCCATGCCGTCAAAGGGGAAGAAAGGGGTCTTGTTGATGGTGACATTGCCCCCCTTCAAGCATTGCTTACCCAGCTGCATGGAGCAGTCAAAACAATCCGTGTGGTTCGGACGAAGAATCCACGTCAATGACCCATCCATACACAAGGCGTATTCCTTTCCCCTTCCTTTTTCTTTTCCTGCTCCCAACATGCTCAAGGCTTATAAATCCATCCTCCTCCACGTGCTTCGCGGTTACTTGTTGAGCTCCGTAATGTCCGGCCCTCAACTCGCCATTGGTATGGATTAACTGTCTGGATACAGTGTGCCTCTGTGAAACCTAGCGGTGTAGGGCCGACTGTCGCCGTGTATCTCCATTCGTTCGCTTCACTCTGTTCCTCTCACTCTACTTCAATATCTTCGTCACCCAACTCCCCCCTTCCAAGCCTTTTCACGACCGTCGTTCTCTTTATCTTTGCGGTTCAAAGCCTTGTTTCGCAGCAATTTCCGGTCCGTCGGTCCGACCTACCGGACCACTTACAAAGCATTTGACCTGAGAGTTAATTGACCTTCGACGAGGGACAAGGGTCATCTGCATATTAACCTACTCACAAAGGACTTCACCTCCCACAGAGCTCAAGAAGACAACGAGGCAAGATGTTCAACCAGCACAGTGGAGAAATGTTCCGTAGGCGGTACGGCCACGACGGTGAGTTCTCCTTGATCCAGGGCATCAACATGTGTCAGAGCGCTAACTTGTACAGAACCTCTCGCAAACTTGCACAATGTCGCCTTACCCGGGGAGCTCTCGCAGGATACAAGCGCAGTGCCTTCGCCGCATGGGTCCGGAGAGCCTTCGAGAAGTCAGAGCCAGGAGCGCGAGGGGACATGGGGCGAACGCGATATCGGAGGCCCTGTCAGCCGAGAAGAGGCTATGGCCCAGTTTGAGGAGATCCGGAGGGAGATCTCCAGGCTCAGCCTGCAGCGTACCGCAACCCGTGATTCCGGTGCCGAAAAAGCGAGGACTTGGCTCTCCAGAGCTCGATCTCGACCGTCGATGGCTCGGACCCGCACAATCGCTTCAAGAGCCAGCAGTGAGGCCACCGATGCGACCTGGGACAAGGAGGCTGGTCCGGAACCGGTCGAGGAGGATGACCTGGATCTAGGCGCTTTCCTCAAGGACGGTCATTTCGAGAAACGCACCGAGGCAGGGGAGTCGGCCAAGAAGGTGGGAGTAGTGTTCAAGAACCTGACCGTCAAGGGAGTGGGCGCTCAAGCAACCTTCACAAAAACCCTGCCAGAGGCTATCGTGGGCACCTTTGGACCTGACCTCTACCGCCTCGTGACCAGATTCGTCCCTGCTTTGAAATTCGGCAAGCCACCTCTGACCAGGGATTTGATCCACGATTTCACTGGCAGTGTCCGCGATGGCGAGATGATGCTGGTGCTCGGTCGTCCAGGGTCAGGCTGCTCCACATTTCTCAAGGTCATTGCCAACCAACGGGAAACCTTCGCTGGTGTTGAAGGCCTGGTCACTTACGGGGGCATCTCGGCCGAAGAACAAAAGAGAAGCTACCGCGGCGAAGTCAACTACAATCCCGAAGACGATCAGCACCTCCCTACTTTGACCGTGTGGCAGACTTTGAAGTTTGCGTTAATGAACAAGACCAAGAAACAGGATGCTAACACCATCCCCATCATCATCGACGCGCTCTTGAAGATGTTTGGCATCTCCCACACGAGAGACACTTTAGTGGGAAACGAGTACGTGCGAGGTGTCTCCGGGGGTGAACGAAAACGAGTTGGTATCGCGGAGACCCTGGCAACAAAGTCAACGGTGGTCTGTTGGGACAATTCGACGCGTGGTTTGGATGCCTCCACCGCTTTGGATTATGCAAAGTCGCTCCGCGTCATGACTGACATTTCGAATCGGACGACCTTTGTCACTCTCTACCAGGCAGGTGAGGGCATCTATGAGCTCATGGACAAGGTCTTGGTCATCGAACAAGGCCGCATGATCTACCAAGGTCCGGCGAAGCAAGCACGCCAGTATTTCATTGACCTGGGATTCCATTGCCCCGATCGACAAACCACAGCAGACTTCCTGACTTCAGTGGGCGACCCTAACGAGCGGCAATTCCGAAGCGGCATGGAAGCTTCGACACCTAAAACTGCACAAGAGTTGGAGGCGGCGTATCTCAAATCGGACATTTACAGAGCAGTGCTCGCCGATGTCGAAAGCTACGAAAAGGAAATCCAGGCTTCCAATTGCTCTGATACCAGACAGTTCCAGGCAGCCGTTCAGGAACAAAAGAGCAACAGTAAACTCATCTCACCCCGGTCCAGCTATACCGTCTCCTTTTGGCGGCAAGTTATGGCTTGTACACTGCGCGAGTTCTGGCTTTTCTGGGGTGACAAGTCGACGCTGTACACCAAAGCCTTCATTATCATTTCAAACGCTCTTATCGTCGGTTCCTTATTCTATGGAGAAAGCCTCGACACCAGCGGCGCATTTTCTCGAGGTGGCGCTCTTTTCTTTTCCATTCTGTTCCTTGGCTGGTTACAACTGACAGAGTTGGTGAGGGCGGTCAGCGGCCGTGTCGTGATCGAACGACATCGCGACTATGCGTTCTATCGGCCAAGCGCTGTGGTTATCGCCAGAGTCGTTCTTGACCTGCCGGTCGTCGCGGTCCAGGCGGTCGTCTTCACTGTAGTGCTCTACTTTATGGCTAATCTCGATGTCGATGCGGGCAAGTTCTTCATCACTCTCCTTTTCGTGTACATCAGCACAATTTGCATCACAGCACTCTATCGGATGTTTGCGGCCTTGAGTCCGACCATTGACGACGCGGTTAGATTTTCCGGCCTTGCACTCAATCTCTTGGTCATCTTCGTCGGTTATACGATTCCAAAGACCATTTTGACTGGCGATGTGATCTGGTTTGGTTGGTTGTTCTACATCAATCCGGTTGCATATTCGTACGAGGCAGTATTGACGAACGAGTTCCACGGTCGATTGATGGATTGCTCTCCTTCCAACTTGGTGCCCCGCGGACCCAACGCACAACCAGGTTATCAAGGATGTTCACTTTCCGGAGCGACTCTAGGCAGCACCAGCGTCAGTGGCGATGCTTACTTCGAGAATACCTTTGGCTATTCGCACTCACATCTCTGGCGGAACTTCGGAGTGGTCATCGCCTTTACGGTTCTTTACATATTGATCACAGCCTTCGCTTCCGAAATCTTCTCGTTCGTTGGAGGGGGAGGTGGTGCTTTGATCTTCAAGAAAACCCGCAAAGCAAAGAGGATGGTGGGCGAAGAGACCAAACATACGGATGAAGAAAAGGCTGTGACACCTGCGGAGCCGGGCTCGAGCGGCACCTCGGAAATAATGAAGGAGGAGCCGGGCGCCATGGTGGATAGCATCGCCAAAAGTAAGAGTGTGTTCACGTGGGAGAATGTCCAGTACGAAGTCCCATATCAAGGTGGCACGAGAAAACTGCTCAACGGGGTCAACGGATACGTCAAACCCGGAATTATGATTGCGCTCATGGGTGCGTCGGGGGCCGGCAAGACAACTCTGCTCAATACCCTCTCGCAGCGGCAGACCACGGGCACTGTTTCAGGGGATATGCTTGTCGACGGACGTCCTCTTGGGATCGAGTTTCAGCGAGGGACCGGCTTCTGCGAACAGATGGACTTGCACGATGAAGCTGCCACCATTCGTGAAGCCCTCGAGTTTTCGGCGATCTTGAGGCAAGATCGGCATGTGCCAAAGCAGGAGAAGCTTGACTATGTCAATAAGATCATCGAATTACTGGAACTCCACGACATCGAGGACGCCATCATCGGCTCTCTGGGTGTCGAACAGCGCAAGAGATTGACCATTGGGGTGGAACTGGCTGCGAAGCCGGAGTTGCTGCTGTTTCTCGACGAGCCGACCAGCGGGCTGGATTCTCAATCTGCCTTTTCGATTGTCCGCTTCCTGAAGAAGCTCTCCCAGGCGGGCCAAGCCATCATCTGCACCATTCACCAACCTTCTTCGATGCTGATCCAGCAATTTGATATGGTCTTGGCCCTGAACCCGGGCGGCAACCCGTTCTACTTTGGTCCCATCGGGGAGAATGGAGCCGCTGTGATTGAGTATTTCGCCAAACGAGGTACCCAATGCCCACCAAACAAGAACGTGGCCGAGTTCATTCTCGAGACGGCTGCGAAAGGAGGCAAGAGAAGAGCAGATGGAAAGCGGGTCAACTGGAACAAAGAATGGCTTGAGTCGGAAGAGAACGCCGCCATGCTCAAGGAGATACAGCGCCTGAAGGAGGAACGGTCCAAGGAGCCGCCGAAGGAGGTCAAGGAGCAGCTCGCCTTTGCAGCTCCTATACCACTCCAGACCTACGAGCTTACGAAGCGTACCTTCCGCTCTTACTGGCGGGACCCGTCCTATTTGTATGCGAAGCTCTTCACCAGCGTCCTCATCGGCATCTTCAACGGCTTCACCTTCTACAATCTTGACGACTCAGTTGCGTCGCTGCAGGAACGGTTCTTTACTTCTTTCCTGATCATCATCATTCCGCCCACCATCGTCAACGGCGTCGTTCCCAAGTTCTACCAAAGCCGCGCGTTGTGGGAAGCGCGTGAATATCCATCTCGCATTTACGGATGGTTCGCATTCTGCACTGCACAGGTCGTCGCCGAAATCCCCACGGCTATCATCAGCGCTGTCATCTACTGGCTGCTGTGGTACTATCCGACGGGACTGCCACGCGACAGCGGGACCGCGGGGTACATGTTCCTGATGACCATGCTGTTCTACTTCTTCATGTCGTCTTGGGGCCAGTGGATCTGTGCGTTTGCCCCTTCGTTTACGGTGATTTCGAACACGCTACCGTTCTTTTTCGTCATGGTCTCCATCTTTAACGGGATCGTGAGGCCTTACAGCCAGCTGCCCGTGTTCTGGCGGTACTGGATGTACTACGTGAACCCGGCCACGTGGTGGCTGCGTGGCGTGCTGGCGGCGACATTGAAAGACGTGACAGTCCGCTGTGCGCCGGGTGAATCGACGCTCTACAACGCCCCACCTGGCCAGACCTGCCAGTCGTACACGCAACCGTTCATTGACTCGTCAGGTTTGGGTTATGTGAGCACTCTAGCGAACGGGACGTGCGCATACTGTCCATACGCGACGGGGAGGGAGTATCTCGCCACGCTGAACACCAAGCCGAACGAGCAGTGGCGTGACTTTGGCATCTTCTTGGTCTTTGTGTGCTCGAACTGGCTGCTCGTCTACTTCTTCATCTATACCGTGAGGGTGAAGAAATGGAGCTTCGGGATGCGCCATGTCTTTGGCACGGCTGAGAAGGTGATTGAGGCGACGAAGGGTTTGGCGAAGAGGAACAAGTAAAAGCGAGCCATGGCACATTGCTTTAGAGCGATGTAGCATCGTGTTTTGTGCCGGTGGGCAAATCAGAATCTGGTGAGAAGGAGAAGAATAGCCAGGAAGTGACGAGCCCTCGAAGACGTGTGGTCTGGTTGAGTGCGAACTGGAAGCAACTGGCCGTGCAAGAATGATCTCGGACGACTGGTTTGAGTGGATGGGGGGGAGAGGAGGTGGTAGAGAGAGAAGTAAGAAGTAAAAAAGCCAAAAAATGGAAAAATGTGCGAGGTGAAAGTCACACTATAGATCTAGTCCTGTGGCATCTGAATCCCTGGATGGTGAAGAGGAGGTTCCGCTGGAAAGCATTCGATCCTCGATCCTCCAAAAATAAAGTTCACTGCTGAGCATCCTCAACGCCCACGATTTGACAACTGACCTCCCACAACCTCTTCGCGTCGTCGACGTCGTAGCACCAGGGCGCATACCCCGGAGCCCAGAGGACATCGGTCTCGCCCTCCGGGAAGGGCGGACTTACCGCGCAGTCGTCGAGGAATTTGCCCCCGGTCCCTTCGAGTTCCTTGTCGACGGCGGCGAGGATCCCGGTGGCCGCGCCCTGCGCGACGGATTTGAGGCAGCGCTGCACTTCGGGCAAGGCCACGATGGCGGACACGTCCATGTGCGAGGCGAGGCCCGTGTCGATGATCCCCCCCGGGTGGAGGGACCAGGAGTGAATCCCTCGAGTGTTGTAGCGCCGCTCGATCTCGTTGGCCATGTAGACGTTGGCCGTCTTGGATTGTCCGTACGCCTTGTAGGGGGTGTACACGCCGGGGCCTGACAGGGTGAGGTCGTCAAAGACGATGCGCGACTGGCGGTGGCCGATGGACGAGACGTTGACGACCCGCGACTGGAATGCTGGGGAAGACGCCGCGAGCAGCGCGGGCTCGAGGAGACGGAACAGCAGGAAATGGCCGAGGTGGTTGGTCTGGAATTGCACTTCGTGGCCATCACGCGTGAGTTGCCGCTCCGGCACGGCCATGACCCCGGCGTTGTTGACCAGCACGTTCAACTTGGTTTCGCGTGCGAGGAACTCTGCCGCACAGCGCCGCACGCTCGCAAAGTCCGCCGTGTCCAGCAAGAGCAGTTCGACCCGACCGCCGCTTTTGAGCAAGTCGTCGCCCAGCGCCGCGCGTGCCTTGTTCAGGTTCCGCGCCGTCGCGTACACCTTGGCCCCCGTGGCCGCGAGCGCCCGCACCGTCTCGACCCCGATGCCGGCTGACGTCCCCGTCACCAGCATGACCTTGTCGCTCAGCGCGTTTTCCAGCTGGTTGTCCGCGATGATTTGGAGGGCTGTTGGGCGTGAGTCGCCCGGCCCGGCGAGCTTGGACGGGACGTGCGCTTCGGCGTAGCGGGTCGTCATTTTTAGCAGGGTCTTCTCAAGATGAGATATTGTCGTGTTGTTCAACTAAGAAATAAGGATGAATGGAAAAGGGTGGGCAGGCTGTGATCCTTCCTGGGGGTGGAGATGGAGGGTTGGATTCAGTGAGGAGAAAAAGCGTAGTCTTGCGAGATGTCAGAGGTGTCAGAGGTGTCTGTGCTGTATGTAGTGTTTCTTGTATATTGTATACTTGACCACGGTTCACCACACAGATCAAGATCAAGTCAAGATCAGGTCTTCCGTGCCTCCTTTTATATCACAAAAACCAAAACAAACCTTTTCCACGGGACCGCTCACTGGATCCTATCTTCTCTCCAGTGACGTTTATGCATGCTCGCCTTGCTGCAAGATCGAGGAGATACCTTTTCGTTATTTCCTCCCTCCTTGTCCGAAATTTAATGCATCTGGCACGCTGGGGGAAAACTTACCTAAACACCGATTTATGCATTGAGCGTGCCTTACCTTGGCTTTTTGGCGCCACGGATCGTGTGTCAAGTTAACTTTTCGCCTCATGTTTATGGAATGAATGGGCGTGGGCGTGGCCTCGTTGCTGGGGTTGTGATATTGACCAGGCCCGGGGGTATCAGGTTGTGTCCAATCAGAATAGAAGTGGACAGATTCGTCACTACTATTCGGGCGAAATGGTGCGGTTGTACGTTGAAGCTGGATGGTGAGGCTCGTTCCAGGTCCCCAGATGTAGGGATAGATGTAGGTTGCTTACGGGGTGCGAAATGTCGGAGAAAAGAAATCCCCGGCGGACAAAGGCACGGCCATGGACGGACCAAGATTCGGAATTCGGTCTGTCTCTTCTGTTCATTTATTAAGGCAGGACAGGAACCTCTATAAAGTCTGTCACTCCCAACTGATGACCCTCTTTTCCGACCAGAATTGCCCATTGGCACCTTTAATGTCTCCAATGGCCAACAAGACGGGCGTCTGCGCTCCTTGGTCGGGCGTCTTCACTCCCCTTCCTTTGGTCATGTCCGTGTTGACGTAGCCTGGGCAACAGCTATTGATCAGGACTTTGCTACCCTTTTGCGCAGTCTGCCTCGCCATCGCCGCTGTCATTCCTATCACGCCAGCTTTCGAGACACCGTACGCAGATTCGGGCCAATTCTTCTGGTAAGTCCCGTTCGACACCGCCGTCGAGAACTCTTCCATGAGTTGGGTGATCTCTTCGGGTGTCTTCGCCTGCAAGAACCGAGATCGGATGGACCTCGAGTACCTGGAGTCCAGTGAGCCTGCCGTGCTGGCCACATTGACCAGTCTGCCGCCATCCTTGATATGTGGCAGCAGTTTCTGCGTGACATCCAACGTCCCATAATAGTTGCAGTGCAGAGTCTTCCGGACCACGTTTTCGTCGAATCCATCCATCGCGATGGCGGCGTTGTTGATCAAGAAATCTATGCCATCGGGGTGTTCTTGCGTGATCTTCCCTGCAAACTCCTCGATGCTCTGCTTGCTGTCGATGTCCAGTTGGAGAAACTTCACATCCGTAAGCCCTCCATGAGATCGTAAAGCTTTCGCATGTTCTAGTTGGGGGTCTGCCTTGATAGACTCCAGAGCCGCCTTCCCCTTCTCTTCGTTCCGCGCAGTCAGGTAGATGAGTAAGGGGCCACTGTTCAGTTGAGAGTGCGGATACTGGAGTGCGAGCTGGCGGATAATGGCAAGTCCGATCCCTTTGTTGGATCCTGTACAGGCGCCCACACGCGCATAGGCCGTCATTTTGATAGTTACTAGGTAGAAAAGCGCAAAGAGGATGAAGCACCTAGATAAAGCCACCCATGAGTAAAGTACATTAAATCAAGGCCTCACCTTATCCGGAGTTAGGGGGCAGTGCAGGGGATGCGTGTCATAAATCCGCCTGATGCTCCGATAAGGCGCTGCACAGAGCAGCTACAAGACATTGCACTGGTTGGGAGGTCCATTGTTGCAAGATTGTACACAATGCTTCAGAACTTGATAGAGTAGAGCTTACAGTGACAGCCCCAGAGGCGACAGTTGACAGAGAAAACAGAGCTAGACTTTGACGGGCAGATGGAGAGAATGATTTGCATTGCAGGGGCATCCATTGGTGGGCGATTCTCGTAGCCGAGAGTTTTTGCAGTGGTTGAACCCTAGGGCCGAGGCCAACCGCTGTCGATAGTGACGTCTTTCGCACCGAGAAGTTCAAATCGCCGAAGCATTTCCATTCAAACCTATCGCTTCAGGTCAAAAACCACCGTCGTCCCCAGCTTCCCACCGATCTTGCAGACCGCCAGACCTCGCAATGGCCTCGAAATTCCTTCCTAGACCTTTGTTGCGGCTGGCGACACCTGCTCAACAATGTCGTTTCTACTCCAGACCCTCCGCTTCGATATTCAGAGCTTCCCCCGCCTCACGTCGAGCTGGTCGCAGCCTGTCACGAGCCACACGACCACTTTTTGTTGCAGGCCAAAGGCGATCCATTTCTGCTAGCTTGCAGCGACGCTACGCCGATGTCGAGGAAGACGAAGGCTTCGACCCAGCCTCCGTTGAACGCGAATCCGACGAGGTCGATGTCTGCATCGTCGGCGCTGGCCCAGCGGGACTGAGTGCTGCCATTCGATTAAAGCAATTGGCCAATGACGCGGGGAACGAAGAGTTTCGCGTTGTCGTCCTGGAAAAAGCTGGCGAGGTTGGTGCACATATTCTGTCCGGCAATGTGCTGGAACCCAGGGCTATAAATGAGTTGATCCCGGACTGGTTGAGTGAGGAGAATGAAAATCGATTTACGCAGGCCACACCTGCCGGGTCAGATAAGATGCGATTCTTGACAAAATCAAGTGCAATTCCTATACCGGCACCTCCGCAGATGCACAACGAAGGCAATTACATCATTTCTCTGAGTCAGTTTGTCAAGTGGTTGGGTGAAAGAGCTGAAGAGGTGGGCGTCGAAATATATGCCGGTTTCGCGGGTGCCGAGATTCTCTACAACAATGAAGGCGCAGTCAAGGGGGTTGCCACAAATGATCAAGGTGTGGGAAGAAATGGAAAGGCGAAAGCCAGCTTTGAGCGAGGGATGGAGTTCCATGCCAAGGTTACGCTCCTGGCCGAAGGATGCCATGGCAGCCTGACCAAGCAAGTGTCCAAGAAGTTTGATCTGAGGAGGGACTGCCAGCCGCAAACATATGGGCTCGGACTCAAGGAGGTCTGGGAAATCCAACCGGAAAAGTTCAAGAAGGGGCAGATTTCTCATACCATGGGGTATCCGCTGTCGAAGAACGTTTATGGTGGCGGATGGATGTATCACTTCGGAGAAAACCTGGTGAGTCTGGGGTTGGTCGTCGGCCTCGACTATGCCAACCCCTGGATCTCTCCCTACGGCGAATTCCAGCGCATGAAGCTCCATCCATTTTACAAGTCCGTGCTGGAAGGCGGCAAGTGCATTGCATATGGCGCTCGCGCTCTCAACGAAGGTGGCTTCCAATCGATACCGAAATGTGCGTTCCCCGGAGGTGCCCTGATCGGCGACACTGCTGGCTTCCTCAACGTACCTAAGATCAAGGGCACGCACACGTCGATGAAATCTGGCATGTTGGCTGCTGAAGCCGCGTATCAGGCTCTCGCAAACAACAGCGAAACAAGCACTATCTTCCTGTACAACTATGAGGACGCCCTTCGGGAAAGTTGGATCTGGCCTGAACTGAAAGCCGTGCGCAACATGCGACCCTCTTTCCACAACCCTCTCGGCCTTTATGGTGGTATCATGTACTCTGGTTTGGAGGCTTTCGTCTTCCGTGGCATGATGCCCTGGACTCTGAAGCACAAGCAACCCGACTGGGCGGCCACTAAACCCGCCGACCAATTCAACAAGATCGAGTATCCAAAACCTGATGGCGAAATCACCTTTGATATCTTGACTAGCGTCTCACGGACTGGAACCAATCATGAAGAGGATCAGCCTGTGCATCTGCAGGTGAAGGATTGGGATGCACATGCGCAAAAGGAGTGGCCGAAGTACAAAGGCGTCGAGAACAGGTTTTGTCCTGCCGGCGTGTATGAATATGTCGAAGATGACACCAAAGATATCGGGGTGCGGTTTCAGATCAACTCTCAGAAGTAAGTCCCCTGTACCTTGGCACGCGGCTTTTCGATATCATACTTACACTGACGCTACTAGCTGCATTCATTGCAAAACATGTGACATTAAAGTACCAGATCAAGACATCAACTGGCAAACTCCCCAAGGTGGTGAAGGGCCAAGCTACAGCATCACTTGAGAGGCTTATTGATTGATATTGTGACGAAGAAGCAGTGACTCGGCCCGGTCAATTGCCTCAACCAGAGGATTCTCCCTCGCGTCGCGCGGCAGGGTCCGCGTGTGATATGCTTGAGTTCTGGGCAGCTTTTTATAAGGCCTATGCTTTTCTAAGCAGTGTGTGAGAGACATTTTGGGGGGTTGATCTCATGACAGAAACATACGGCCATAATTCCTGGCGGCAGCAATGACTTTCGATAGACACACCCAACCAACCAACCAGGGTCTGAACAACAGGAGAAATGCCATGGACGCATTATCAACACCAACGGGGTGGCGGCGAGAAGACAGAGGGCTGGAGTGCCAGGGAGAAGAAATACATGTATAATTTCAAGGGCATTACAGGACAAAGACAGCCCATCACCTTTCCCGACTGCACATGTTAGTCAAAGTGAACATAGCATTTGATCTCCAATGAAAATTGCAGTAACCTGTTTACCCCGGGTTTGGTAAACCCAGCCAGTCAAACCAATTGAAAAGTCCCCTGTACCAGTACAAGTGGGCGTACTGTACAAGTAGAGTTGATGTACAAGTACCTACAAGTACAAGGGAGGTCTCATCTCCACTCTTCGATGGACTGGCTCTCCAGGTCGGCTGAGTGTTCTTCTGTACCGCGAATCTCAACGAGCTACAGATCAAGGTGTCAGGCAAATGAGAGACCAGCCAGACTAATCCATCACCTTTCTGTTTCGTGATGTGGTGGTCGCACCCTTGAATAGTGTGTGGTGACAACACTGCAACCTTAGTAATGAGGCACGTGTGAGGCTTTCGCTTACAAGGCTGAATGACCGGAATGGGCAGGCTCTCCGAGAGCAAATAATTTCTCGTACTTGTTGGTGGATAAAGTTGGCACTCTTTCGAGCTGGGAAGGCACGAATGGGTGGGCCTCGTATGGATCCTTTCGGAAAGTGCCACCAATTTATTGGCTGGAGTGACACCGGTTTGGGGGATTTTTGGGCGACCTTTCGGGACACGGTTTCCCGATGGTGATTGGCTGACAAGGCCTCGTCATCCCTGCCGCCAGCGACATGCCAAGCCAGCATGTGAAACAAACCGACCTACCGATCGCCCAAACCGCGTCAGGTTCGTGACTCATTTCCGCATCTCACCATTTTCCTCTTTTCTTCCCTTGCTCTTTTTCTTTGCCTTCACACTTCTCTCTCCTCCTTCCTTATCACCCATTCCAGAACTGGCTTGGGTTGTTTGCCATTGTGGGAGCCCGCAGTCAAACGGCATTCGACCGCTTGTCAAAACGCAGGTGTGTTTGACAGCTGACTGCTGAATTTCCAACAGCTCGGCCAGACCATGTCGCAGGCAAATAAAAACCCCTGGATGTGGGCGGCGGCAAACCCGACCTCTCCTAGGTACGAGGTACTACGGATGCCACTGCAACAACTCTCCAGCAGAAAAAGCCTGAACCACTGAGTCCGTCCAAGAAACACGTGAGGGCGACCCACGTTCCGGAGTTCACTTCCCAATCCTGCCAACTCCTTCCGAAAAGGTGAAAATCCTGTTTCACACTCTCCCCCAGTGTCTTTCCATGACGCTTCCAGGCTCTGGAATAACTCGATAGCAAAAAAACGTTGTGTTTGTTGCATCATGCATACCTTAGTTTAGGGGGCGCGGGAGGGCGGATTAGGCAGGAATGCCCAGCGAGTGGCATGCAGCAAGGCAGAGGGAATGAGAAAAAAAGGGGCAGATAAAGGTGCAGCAGGGCAGGGCGCAAAAAAGTTGCAGGGGGGGCTGCACGGGGGCTGCAGTGGTCTGCACAGGCGAGTTGCTGGGCAGATTCCTGGTGGATAAGGGCGAAATGTGGGCTTGATTGCAGCAAGCTTGGGCATTTCGATGACACCAGCTAGGCTTATTGTAGCGTAGCGCCACTGTCCCGGCGGGGCTCCCAGTCTGCTCTCTGTGGCGACGGCCTGGGACTATAAATGCCTCCCTCGCCCTCTTTCCGCGCGAAGTGCAGCCGACCTCTTTCTCCTGACATTTTTCGTTCTTGGCACTCCCTCCTGCCAGATTCCCATCCACCTCCCCCTCATTCTTCGCACGGCATCAGAGCGCATTCTTGCCCAGCCTGCGATTGATCCTCCTTCTATCTCCCTCCCACACTGACATCGACTGGCTCTCTCACATAGTCGTGTCGCACCATAAATCTCCCTTGGGCGCACCCCCCGCAAACCAGATCCGCAAGTTCTTGGACAAAGACCCAAAGATCTCACCTGCGACCCGCGCCTGCCACTCTCTTCACAAGGGCAAAAACAAAGGAAACAAAGAAAAGAAACCAAGCCACAATAGACTGTCTGCACTTTCCGCTCTTAGTAATTCGCAATCGCAAATCTACGCACTCTTGCTTCCTCTTGCTCCTCCGTTCTGCCAACCTCGTCGTCGCTCCTCAAGGCCAGACGAACCAAAAAAGTTTCTCGACGGACCTGATCTGAGAAAGAGCCTCATCGGTCGACGGGACTCATTGTCAATTGGAAGTAGGGCAGTTGTGTTGTAGGGGAGACATTGAGTTGTTCATCTCCCACATATCGGTACGAACACCACCGCATCCATCTTCTCTACGTTTTTCTCCTCAGGTCGATTCTCCGATCTCAAGACCCATCGTCGTCGTCGTCGTCGAGTTGATACCGCGGCTACCTCGTGCTGGTCAAGTGAATTCAATCAGAAATTCACTTTGACCTTGAAAGTCGAGCCTCGCACCGACCGACGCGACCGATCGCCTCTCTCTGCCGCACCCTCGCCACCCGCACAAAGTCACTTAGCGATTCATCATCCTAACCTCTAACATTTAAATTTTTCTCCAGACTGCTTTCATCCTTCATCGATCTCTCACATCGACGAGGATATACCAATTGCGACCGCTTCACTGCGCCGCAACCGAAGATCTCACACATCTGCAATCATGGAGTCTCTTACCACTCACCCGTCCACGGCGCAACAGGCCAAAGCCTTCACGTCTCCCGCGTCCTTGTCGTTTCCTGGTGGCGCTGGGGATTTGACACCGCCCTCCTCTGAGAAAGATGGACAAAACCTCAATGGTGGCTCATACGCAGATGGGAAGCTCAACGGTCAGCAGGGAGGAAACGCCGTTCAGGCTCCACAAACCCCCGGCGCAACGCCTGGTGCTGGTGTGAGTGGTATTGTGCCCACCTTGCAGTGAGTATTGTCCCTTTGTTGTCCTTTCCTCAAGGTCAGCAGAGGTTAACATTCTCTGAAGAAACATCGTTGCTACGGTCAACTTGGACTGCCGTCTTGACCTCAAGACTATCGCACTCCATGCTCGCAACGCCGAGTACAATCCCAAGGTAGGCATCCCCTTCGCTGCGTGAGATGGCTGGCACTTACTGACTCTCGCAGCGTTTTGCCGCTGTGATCATGCGTATCCGTGACCCGAAAACCACTGCCTTGATCTTCGCATCTGGCAAGATGGTCGTCACTGGCGCCAAGTCGGAGGATGATTCGAAACTTGCGAGCCGCAAGTACGCTCGGATCATCCAGAAACTGGGCTTCAATGCCAAGTTCACCGACTTCAAAATCCAGAACATTGTCGGTTCATGCGACATCAAGTTCCCCATTCGACTGGAAGGTCTTGCCTCCAAGCATCACCCCTTCAGCTCGTATGAACCGGAATTGTTCCCTGGTCTCATCTACCGCATGATCAAGCCCAAGATCGTCTTGTTGATCTTCGTCAGCGGCAAGATTGTGCTCACGGGGGCAAAGGTCCGCGAGGAGATCTATCAAGCCTTCGAACAAATCTACCCTACACTATCAGGTGAGTGGTCTTTGATGAGTTGTCCCAGAAGCAGTCAGCTAACGTGGGTTAGACTTCCGCAAAGTCTAGATTTGCCTTACGCGGGACGGGATTCTCCCGGCAACCTTGTATCAACATTCAATCTTTTCCTCGGCCGCTCCTCGACAAAGGTCACATTGTCGCGGGCAGCAAAGCCGACACGCTCAAGTGCTGCATATAGCAAGCCAAGCGTGACTGAAACTACTTACCAAATCTTACCCTTTTCTTTTTCGCCTGTGTCACGACTATCTATGAGCATTGCATGGCGTTTTTGAGCGAAATCCCTTCATTTTGTTGCGTGGGGCAAAGGCATTCAAAATGGCTCGGGTGCAGTCGGCCTGCTTACACCTTATTAGACATTGGGTCTCATCGACAAAGGGGATATCAGCTTGGGGGACGGTATTCGGCGCTGGTCGATTTCGCATACCGTCTTGTGTGGAAACATCTCTTCGATTTCCTCTGCGCTTGGTCATGTGGTTGTGAGAGAGAGAACATACCATTGACCAGTTGCTGGCTAGCGCGCACGGACAGCTTTACCAATAAGGGGAGGCTTAAACATTTCAAAGCTTGAGTTCTCCATCCATGAGTGGAACATTGTCAGTCATGGAAACCAAAAAAAAAACACAGATGGGCAAGTGAGATCCTACCCGTCTGCTCAAATTGTTGTTATAGAAAAGCAGCAGAAGATGCTCGAGTTGGACTCGGGATGGAGTCAACGTCAGGAGGGTTGACACGATACCTTGATCGTGGTCAGTAGTGCCCACGACTGCATGATGATAGCTCAATATGAATTCTCATCCCTCCATCTCTGTTGGACTTGTTTTGTAACAGTATTCCACGCCACTGCACGTCCATACGAGAAGAGGATATCTCATTGCTCGTTCCTATGTCGTGGCCGTCCCCCTCTTCATCTCCTCGTCGAGAATCATGCCCTTTTCCCCCGCCCGACTCCCGTCTTCACATGCGATGAACTCGTCTCCGCCATTTTTGATGACCTCCTCCCTCAGGTCCTGCGGACTCCTCCACCGCCAGATGTGCGCCAACTCGGGTTCCAGTCGGCCCTGGATCGCCGCGACAATCTTGTCCCCGATCACGGGGAAGAATTTGAATCCGTGGCCCGAGCCGCCGGTGGCGAGGAAGAGGTGCTTGAGGCGCGGGTGCGAGGTTATGAGGAAGTTGCCGGTCGGGCTGTTGTTCGGTAAGTACATACGAGGTAAGTAGTTAGGTGGATGAGGTAGGGAGGAAGGGTTGAGCGAGTGAGGAGGTTGTTGTCCCAAGTGTTGCTTCGCGGTACAATAGAGTAGAGTGGCTGGCTACAACAAGTACGGGGTGCAGTGGGCTGGCCAAAAACAGGCACGAATAAAGAATGAATTATTACTTACGTGTCGCAGTACCAGCATATTCGCGTGCGCGTGAACGGTCTGTCCGCCATATGGGGCAGAATCTCGCCAAGGGCTTCTCGCAGGGCTTCTTCAGCTTCGCGCGGAATGGGGATGCCAACTTTGGGGACGCTGACTGCCACGGACCCCGGGTCGACGCCGTTCGAGTTGTCACCACGAGGGTCGATGATCGCCCTGGATATTTCAACGGGATTTCGATATCCATACCCATGTCGCGCGATTTTGAGTTCGTTCCCTCGTGGAGGAATGACAAACATCCCTCGACTCATGTTCATTATCGTCGGGCGGTCTGCCATCGCAGCCTGTTCTTCAGGGGTGATGTCCAAATATGCCATCGTCTGGCCGGTCGCCAGACATCGGCCTTGAAGGTCGATGAGGCTGGGACTCCACGCACCGGCTGCCAACACGGTCAGGTCTGCCTGGACCTGCTCCCCTCCGGCCAATTCCACGCCCTGGCAATCGTCTCCGGAGAAGACGAGCCTGGCGACCTGCGCGCCTGGGCGAACGCTTACACGGCCGGCACCCTCGCGCTGTATCCTCCTCAGGGCATAAGCGACACACGCTTCGGCATCGGCCCATCCTGAGTTGAAGTTGGCGTAGCCATGGTCCCCGCTTACATTGTCGTAACCGGTCGCCTTTCGAATCTCGTCATATCCACGCAATTCCCGGATCTTGCCCAAGTCTACGTCGCCGTGGTTCTCTTGTGCCAGTCTCCTCACATTGCCCAGGGATTCTTGCAGGTATGCGTCCTTGTCCTCGTCAGCCGTCAGCACGAATCCGGGCTCGTGGTATCTGCCTTCCCCTCCCCATGCTTCTGCCCTCGTGTCCCGCCAGAGCCGTTGCGCCTCAGAGGCCAGCCGAGCATAGTGTCTATCGGCATAGTCGGCGCGGACGATGCGGTTCGCGTCGACAGAAGAGCCCGAGGGGTTCGGCAAGGAGGGGGAGCCGTCGATGATGGTTATGCGGGTGCCATTATACGAGGGGTTGGAGAGGAGCGAGAGCGCCGTGGAGAGACCAAAGACGCCAGCGCCTATGATCAATATGTGCTGCGGAACTGAGGCGTTAGACATGAGGGGGAAGGAGGAGACCAGACCTGTATATATATATGTATATGTATCTGCTTTGCGAGATCAAAGAGAATCCTTGAACTTACCGACCGCAGCACATCGAGATACGAGGTCCTCTTAGCCCACCTTGACCCGGTTAAACCAAAGTTGACGTCGTTCTCCGCAGAAGAGAGTTGCGAGTCTGGACGGCGCGCGCCCTTGAAAGCCCGAGGTCGGATCAATCTCGGCTAAAGAGGAGCACAGACATTCTCGATTTTTGGGCGCAGCTTGACAAGGCACAAGTAAATATCGTTCCTCAGATCTAGAAAGCTCCAACATAGATGAGTCGTTGATTTTTGAGCGCGAAAGACTCATGGCGGAGGTCGGAAGGCTATATCTCGAGTGTTCGAAGATTCCGCACCTTGCACTCTCCATTGCTGCGAAGCGCGCAGCGGCCGCTCGTTCCACGTCAACATGCCTCAATCAGCGACGGCTTGTTGTTTCGCAGCCAGTCCGGCGGTCTGTATCTGTGCTGTCAGAGCCTTTACAGGCCGCTGCGAGAAGAACCGCATATAGATCCTCTTCCTCCTCGCGGCGCAGATACGCCTCCTCTACGACGAAGCAAACCCTCCCAAACCCCAACATCCCTCGTCCGGTAGTACAGTCCCCATCGCAACACAAACCCAGACCGACGCTCCTGGACCGCGCCACCGCCCAGGATGCGCTCGACGCGCTCGCGGCCAGGAACAGGAGGCAGCGCATCCACATGTCCTCCAACACGTACTTCTGGGTCACGTCGCTGTTTGGCTTCCTCCTCTCCACCTACGTCGCCTACACGTACATGTCCTACGCGCGGTCCGTCAGGGAGTCGGAGCGTCTCGATCTCCCGCAAAACGCCGACGTCTCGTCCCGGTGGCTGGACCTCTCGAGGAACTTTGACGACGAGGTCGAGTTGTCCGAGAAGCTCATGTTTCTGCGGAGCAAGAGGGAGAAGCTGTGCAGAGAGGCGCGGGGGAATGTGCTGGAGGTGAGTGCCGGTACGGGGAGGAATATGGAGCTGTACCGCCTGGATCCACTGGTCACGCCGGAGGACAAGAGAGTGCAGAGCTTGGTGTTCAACGATTTGAGTGGGGTGATGCTGTCACAGGCACAGAGGAAGTTTGAGAAGCTGCAGGAGAAGGCCAAGGAGAATAGACGGTTTTCAGGACCTGTGCAGTTCGTGGTTGGTGACGCCGGCGACAAGGGCCTGATCAAGAGGCCAGAAGGGGGGTTTGACACGATCATTCAAACAATGGGGATCTGCAGCGAGACTAACCCGGTGGCGTTTTTGAGGCAGCTGGGAGAACTGTGCAGACAACCCGGGGAGAAGAGCCAGGGGGTCGACGCGAAGATTATCGAAAAGGAATCTCAGCAACGTCTTGAGGATCTCGGCAAACGAAGTGTTGTCTCGGACCCAGAGCAGAAGAGGCAGCAAGAAGACGAGGATGCACTTGTTGCCGAGTATGGAGGTGACCTGGGAGGGAGGATTCTCCTCCTCGAACATGGCCGATCATACCTCGGATTCATCAACCGGGTCCTGGACAACGGTGCCAAAATGCACGCTGATCACTATGGATGTTGGTGGAACAAAGACATTGACCAAATCATCAGGGATAGCGGTCTGATTGTGGAGCGGAAGAGGAGATATCACTTTGGGACGACGTATGAGTACGTGCTCAGGCCGAGACCGAGGCCGAGACGTGGAAGTGAGGCAGAGGATGAGGAGGACAAGATGACAGGTGCAACGAAGAATGCTGTAAAGGATTTGGATTCGAGTCAAGGTGAGCAGCAGGTCAAAGGGCGGACGGGAGGATGGTTTCGCAGGAATTGAATTGAACGAAGACAATATAAGAGGGGAACTAGAGAGAGGAGATACTCGCTGAAGAAAGATATTGTAATTCATCATGTACAACGCAGCGCAAAGCGACCAATTCAACTCTTGCCCCTGGTCTTTTTTTTTGGTCTTCCTCAAGTTAAGGTATCCGGTACTTGTCCGTAGTGGAATTTCATTGACGCTGTAGGAAGTGGGAAGTGAGAAGACATGTACCAAGTACCGCGAGGCGAGGCTGAGGAGAAAAGGAGGGGGGCTGCACCGGGAGGACCAGAAGTACATACCGAGGATACCTGGGGTAGGAACACGTGCCTACCAACCATACCTATTTGTTGGTCCTGGGGACTAAAGTACAATTCGTACCCAAATTCATACTCGTACATGACTTCGTGGTACTTACATCACCTCTCACGGTCTCCCCTCATCGATCCCTCGACCCATCCATCAAGAAAAGCCGATCGGTTTCTCGCTTGAGGCCGTGCGTGAGAAAAGCCCCAGCGGATGCGTCACCCAAAATCCTCCTGCATGGGGATGTTGGGGGGAGATACAACCATAATGTGACAACGTGGAGGCAGCAGGGTACTGGAAGGGTACCCAAGACTGGGTACTGGGTACATGAGAAGGCCCGAGTACTCAGTACCACCGTACTACATCGAGTCAGGAATGATGAGCCTTGATGTGTTGCCAGGTGCCGGGGGTGCTGAGGATTAGGTTACAAGGGATTGAGGGGATGGATGGAGGAATGGATCCATCGTCAATAGGTGGATGGAGAGAGGGATGTAAGCGAGCAAGTGATCGAGAGATGTTCGCCAACACTACCTAGGTAGGTAGGTAGATCAAGACCGGCTGACTGACTGACAATCAGGGGTTGCTTGTCCCAGGAATTGCCTGCCCAACCTGCCCATCTAACCTGAGCGGGAAGTGTTCAACAAGTTCAACCAGAGTAACAATACGAGCACGGATGGATCGTAGATCCGGCTCAAGGTCCCGCGAGAGAGTTGAAGGTCAGGGGTGAAGAGGACTCGAAGCTGCTGTTGGGAACGAAGTTGGAGATGTCACAAACGCACATGGCTGGCTCTCCGCATGACTGCCAACTCTGTACGAGGTATTGCATCACGATATTACTTGGGCTGCAGATAAAGGCCTTCGCTAGATTGGCGGGATTCCAATGAGGCGCAGAGCGGTGTACCTAATCGGTACCGTGTCGCCGTGCTTGCAGCAGACTGATGCGAGGTGTGGATCACAAAGGGGTGAGAAAACGAGGGTATCACGATAGCAAACACCCAGATTCCCAACCGTGATCTCATAGATTTGCATATCCAAGCACCAGGAGGAGCGAGAAGGATGATAGTGGTGGTGGAAGACAAGTAGGATACAGGGTTGACCCGACCTGGATTGTACGGGCTGCCCCACAGGAATGACTCGCTGTGATGCGGGTGAGTCTTGCCTCAAAGCCTGCCGTGTTATGAGTTGGTCTTAGATTCACCAGCTTCGGTTCGTCAAGATGGCGTCGCTCCCGCAACTCACAGCACCCAATCACTTGGTCCAGACACCAGTAGTCCCGTGTTTCAGGTGGTGTCTGTTGCAGCTGCGCAAGCCATCATCTATTTCACATCGCGGGGTTGGGTGGTTGGGCGTGTCTAGACTCATGTCTGCTCTGACCGCCTTGTTGTAGACCAATCAATCACCCAAAAAGATGTACTCAATGCGCAGTGCTCATCCTTGCCACCAAAGTGGACGTTCGGACAGGCGAGGGTGCAGACGTGCAGGCTCGACAGGGGCGCATCTGGCCTTGGGGGCTAACCGAGTATCACGTGAAGATAAGGGCTGGACTTCGGCTGTAATAGACGGATGGAGCGGATAGTGGAGGCTTCGCCGCAAAGTCTGATTTTTTTTTCTGACGCTTGGTTCACTGACGTTTTCACGTTGCGCTGAATACGTCAGTCATGATGGCCAAAAAAAAAATTGAGCACTGTGGAGTTTTGTAAGGGAGAACCCGGCTTGAACTTGTCGCAAGCGACTCGAGTAGACATCGGCGTTGTTTCTCTACGGTGCGAAGTAAACAAGACCAGCTCGGGTGTATCAGGTACTGCCAGATGCAGGAGAAGTACGAGGTGCTCGTATCACCATCCAAAAAAAAGAGCCTGGGTAACGTCGCCTAGAGCAACGAAGCTTCTCATATGCCGTGCATCTCGATTGGTGGTGGAAAATGCAGGGCGACTGGTGATGGGCCTGGAGAACTGCCCGATGTGGCAGGATCCGTAAACTCAGGGAAAAGGAATTGTGCGGCACGAAAAAAAAGTGAGAGAGACAAAAAAAACTAAAATTCGAATGGGGATGGAGGGGCAGCGGGCCGCTAATTGGCGGAACGATGATCCTTGCTTGCCTGGGTCGGTGGTCATCGAGCCACCCCCTGGAGACTGCAGCAAAACTTAACTCTTACAGACATCGCAAGCGCATCCAGCTGCCTCCGGGTAACAACCTTGGCTCCAGAGCCGGGCTTTTCCAGAATTTTAGGGGCAGACAAGTTGAAGATCACTGTTGGGTATTCTGGTGTCAAGATTGACGGGCCTGCTCTACAACCTTTTTCCGCAGCACCAATACCCAGACACTGCCAGACCACAAGCGCTTACTCGAGATGCGGTTACAGAAACTTGGCTCTGGATTACCGATGTTATATGAGTCTTTCCACTGGCGGATGATGCCCGTCAATTGTCGGCTCGATTAGTGAGGGTATCAGAGGGGATGAAGAGACGAGAAATAGGGTTTATCGACATTTCCGAGATGAGTAAAGTGGTGTTGCATAGCTACAGTACGACCAAGTAGTTAAGTGACGGGCGGGCACATCACAGTTGACGGGACATGGGTTGACAGTGACTTGACCTTGATGTCTTGTTAGAGATGTGGAAAATCACACCACAATAAACTCTAGCCATGCCGCAACGGACGGAACAACAGCCTGACATCCCAATCGGCGATGGGTGCAGGCTGAATATAGCATTGCGCTGGTTGGGTCATGTTGGGCCGTACTGGATATGGCCGATGCAGCCATGACAACTTCACGACGTAACAGGTGGAGGCCTTTTCTTGTACTTGTACATGTAAAAGCAAGGGGTCCGGTCTGACTGGCGTCGGGCAGTGGTTTGACAGCCAGAGTCGGGCAAGTGCATCCGCGAGTCCAGCAGGCAGTTTATAACACTGTAAGGTCTTAGGCGCTCAGCGTTGCCTCCAAAGATGCTAGCCTGGCCCGGATAGAAGGGGCTAGTAGGGCTAGTGAGGCTAAAACAATGACACCGAGTTGAGCTTGGCGACTGGTCAACTGGCGCCTGGTGGGCACTCGGATCTCTTCTACTAGATACTTACGGAGTGCCCAGTGAAAAAAAAAATGGTGAGCAAAAGGGACTTTCTAGGTAGGGTCCTAGGTATCGAACTTCGCCATTGCTCCCTTGCTTGCTAGGTGACAGTTGGTGGCATTTTTAGGACTCAGACCCATTCTCGGAGTGTCTAAGGGCCCAAGTGTCCAAGCCGCCCACGAGGGTTTTTGCTTTGGGGTTGTTGTGGCGTGTTACCGCTCTTCCCCTTCCGCCCCCCCTTCAGAGTACTGCAAGTCTCTTCCTGCGCATTCCTGGCACCTCTCACCACAACTTGGTACACCAGCTCTTCCATCCCCTCCGTTATTACTCGTATCTCTTCCCCTTGACTTCCTCTACCACCATCTTGTCTCACTCATTCGCATTGTCCCTACTCCGGCATTCAGCACCTTGCATCTATCTATCTTGCTCACTTTTCATGCCACGGACCATAGCCCTACATCCGTTTGACAAACCGCCAAAAATCAATCTGGTCCGACCCACTTCCGCACACGACCATCTCCAAGCAAACAACAAAAGGTCTCCATCTCCATCTCCAGGACCCTGAGTTGCCTGAGCTACTTGTGTACCGAAGGGCACGGCCGCCTAGCAGGCTCCCATTACCGCCATTTCTCGCTTCTGCAGTCTCCCTGTTCATCATCACCAGAATACTCTTCTCCGTACAAGTCGTCGCCATCTGCCTGCTTACCGCCGTTTGACCTCAACAAGTCAAGTGGTCAGGACAAGATCTTTTTGACGCAAGGAGGCGAGGGTAGACCAATTGAAGCTGGGCCCTGCTCCATCTGGGAGAGTTTTCATTGCTCCACGATCCTAGCACCCTTGGTGCACCTTGCATTGCAGCCACGCATTCCAGCTGCCTCCATCCTCCAATCATCGCCTCGCCATCCACCCTCCCTTCTGTCACATCTTTCGCCCTCCCTTGTCCAACGCTACGCAGCTCGGCAGCACTAGTCCATCCCTCGACTGGTGTCGCCGCAGCCTGAATCATCATTCTGCCATTCGACAATTCCACCCTTCCTAAAAACAAAATTCCCTGCTTTCGGCGCTCCTCTAGGTTACCAGAAAAAAAACCCCGTTTACTGTTGTACACGACTCCCTCACCATCCATCCAACCCCCCCGGCCATACAGTGTGTCGCGACTTCATCCATTGTCCTGTTATACAACAGTGCACCGACAACATCTTCTCGTACCTCACCAAGCGGCAAACATATGACATTCCCACCATGGGTTACAATACTCGTCGGAAATCCCTCTCTTTGCCTTCGCTGGGCATCCATCTACCCAACGCCTCTCGCGCTCACCGCCCAATTCTGAAGACGACAACACCTCCTGCTGATGCCTCTGCGTCTCCTCCGCCTCCTACCAAGAAACAGAAGCGCTCTCATGATGGCGACGAACCTCTGTCCCCTGTGTCCTCTCCGCGCTCTAAAGTCGGCTCACCTGCGATCGACCTCCCAACATCGACCACATTAGCACTTGCTACTGCCGTGGAGCAGACGCCACCCCCCTCTCCAAAGCTTGGTACCCCCGTTCGAAAAATCGACACAGATGGTATCCATGATGACATTGTCATCTCGGTGATTGAGCAGTTGGAAAAGACGGGGAATCGCCCGCATCTGATCAGGGATTTGGCGACTATACTGGCTTCCACGAACGCCAGTATCGCTCAGTAAGCTTCTACGAATCGATCGTTGACAAGATTCTGGCTAATTTGCTCTTACAGTTCTGCAAACCCCGCGGCTTTACTTTCCTCGCGTCTGAGTCTCTACCTGAAAAGGCCATGGACTGCCTTGTCACCGTGCCCGTTAGCGAAGGAACTAATACCCGTTCACCCCCGGAAGGTCTTCTTCTTTCTTACAACACAACCGCGAATGCCTCTTCCTGATTCCTCGGATGACATCCTCCCTCCACCAGTGATCTCGGTCAAAAACCTGACCCCGAGCGTCTCGGATCATAGCCAGGTCGATGACCTGGACCAGCGAGACCGTGCCCGACTATCTCCCAGTCCGGAGGTAGAGTTGTACTCTCCCGACCTTGATCACGATGACCCAATGCAGCCTCCAACCCCAGGCGACCACTTCAGCGCCAGAAGCAGTCTGAATCCTGACGGCACGCCTGATGTTCGTCGTAGAACTAACCGCGCCCCGAGTCCTCCACTTGAGGAGGACGAACGCGGGTTCACTGAGACAGCCACTGCGGTTCGTGCCCGTGGCATGAGCCTACACAATCCTATCGTTCAAGCATCAATTGAAGTTGATGAAAAGACCCCGGCTGTTGAGGTGTCAGAAGAGACACCGGAGCAGCGTCAGAACCGTGATAGAGAGCTTGGGTTTGCCCTCTTTGGTCAATCTCATCAAGCCCTCCATGTGCCGGAGCAGAAGCTGTTTTCAAGCAGTCCAATGATTCAGGCGAAACCCGACCACCAGGCACCCGTGACCAAGACGAACTTGACTCTTGACCTGGATGGAATTGAGATGGGAGTGGCTGCCTGGAGCATGATGAGCCCCGAGCAGATCGACGTCGAAGAGCTCGACGAGATGTTTATGGGTTTCTAAACCCTGGCTATTGCCGCGACTAAAGTTGCTCGACGCCAGGATAGGCTCTCACCTCGATAGATTTTGTTCACCCTCCTAACATCTCGACTTTGGCGTTGGCTAGCGTTTCCAATCACTGCCAGCCAAGAGCTTCTGTGGTTGGCTTGTGGTGAAATGGCATGTTATTACTTTCGGTTTGTCGTCTGATGTCTGCAGCGGACAAAGCCATGTGTTGATAGAATTCCCATCTCATGAGAAGAAGAGATTTTGTAGCATTAGAGCTGGGATGTCGGAGCTGAGATTCTGGAAAAACAAGTGTATCATGAGCAATCAAACAAGCCGTGTATTCATTCTTCGCTACAACCTGTGGTTTCTCAACGCTCCCTGGGGAGTTTCAGCCCATCTTTGCTTTGTCAGCGACCAGTGTCCATTCCGGACTAACTGTTTGCAGTTTGATCACATTCATATGCCTCGTACCTCGTATCTTGAGTAACGTTGCGCAGTTTCCCCAGCCACGTTCAATTCAGTTTTGTAATCAGGACACTTTTCTATCTCCCTGTCTGCCTATCTGTTCCATCTGACGCTCACCAAGACGGAGAACGAGTGAGAAGAAACGAGTACATTAGGTGGTAGGTCTTTTGGCACTCGTAGCGTGACCTGATGCTTAGTAGTCATCGTTTGAAGTTGCAAATTTCCTACATTCTAGAGGAGCGCGAGGGCGGAACCAGGAGGGAACCTCACTGAGAGATCACTATCCATCTTATTTGTTGGTCATCTCCTTCAATATCGGTATGTGTCTGTCTGGCTTTTGGGTGGTTGGTTGTGAGCCGGAATCTCCGGTTTCCTTAGTTACGTTACTGACCTCAGAGCCAGAGCCCCAGAGCGTGCTCGGACATGGTCATCTGTCGAGGCAGAGGTTGACAGGTTTCTTTCTCCGAGGGTTGAGGAGAGGGAAGGGGAAGTAAGCCAAGTCTGTCCGGGAGGGTTGGTCAGTGGTTAGTGGTTATTCACCTTGCATACCCGTATTAATGTATACTACCCAAGGTAGGTGACTAGATGGCTAGACGACGGCAAGCTAATGAACAAACTAATGACTGGCTCATGACAGCCAAGACTGTCAAGTGGATGGATGAGTGGACGGGTTGATAGGGTGATATAACCAACATTCTAGCATACTTTTGAGCCGGCCGGTCGGTGCCTTATCTTATATGATGGTATGGTCCGGTCGGGTCGCTCGTTGTAAGAGATACGAGGTAAGTAACCCTCGGTGTCGACGGACCTTTTCATTTGCCGGCGATGGCGGCAGCGGCAGAGGCGGCGTGTCTACTTGCGTGCTGTAAGTAATTAGTTTCGTCTGGCACTCTGGCACTCTTGGCCCCCTTGCTTGCTAGTGATGGATGGGGAAAACCACTTACCATACCGCAAGAAGCCGAAGGGGGCGGCGAACGGCGCCTTTGTCCTCCAAGTAGACGTTGTGGACGTTAATTCCAATGACGGTTGAGCCTTACCTTGCCTTCGTTCGGGGTCACGGTGGTCCGGTGGATGGGTGAGCGGGTGAGTGAGTGGGCTCCAAGATGTTCCATGTACTCGTACCTCTGTGCCATCGATGAACTGTACACTGCCGCAGAGGTTCAGCAATTGTCGGTGTGTCGGTGTCGATGTCAAGACCCAGGCCCAGCCCCAGGCCCAAGCCGATGCCTCCAGCCGTGGGTGGTGAGCTCAGCATCACTGTGCGACGAGTATGGCTCGCTCGTCGACATCACGTCCTAAAATCGCTTTGCAGCTCATGAGAGATAGTGAGAGAGGGTGAGAGATCTCCGGTGAGGACGCGCTCTATCAGACCGAACCTGTGTGGTCGTCAGGGTCAGACACATACCCAGGGAGGTAGGTAGGTAGGTATATACCTCAGGCCAGGTATTGCGGAGCCATTTCACTCGTGGAGCCAATGGAGCCTGCCGACCCGCCTACCTGGTCCGACCAAGGGCCACATACGCGCATGGATGCAAGTATGCACTTATACATAGAGTGAGTGACTCCTGGCCATTCACTCACTCATTCATTCACACATTCATTAGTACCTAGGTAGTGTATCAGATACCGATCTCGGAAGGAAACCCATCCTCCCCTTGCCATGATTCCAGAACTTCTGCGGGGCCACCAAGGGTTTAGTCACTAACTACATTGAGAGTGTCGAATTGACTTTGCGGGAGGTTGGTTTATGCTATCTATGTACCTCGTATGCATGCATGCCTGGTCCTTTTGATCTCTGAGAATGGTTGACCGGCGGGCTGGCCTGAGTAATTGCTCCCAATCTGGTGGAGGGAAGTCACCGTGTATACAATACTTGTATACAATAGTCGTGTACCCAGGCACGTGCTCTAGTCTCGAGTGGCCCAGTAAAGACATATGTATTACCATGGTGTTTGTTTGTAAAAATAGGTAGTTCCATAGTAGTCCCTCGCCAGTACTCCAGCCGTACTCCAGCCGTACGTACGTACGTGCTTATAAGGGTATGTTCATGTTCATGTTCATGTTCATGCTGTTATCTGCTGTCCACATAATCGCAGTACCGACGTCATGCTCCTGCCAACTCACATGTCCCGGGCCCTGGTGCCCTTATAATAGCTTTTGATATGTTGAATGGTGAATGATGCTGGTGACATCCATCATGTTTAGAAGATTAGGATATACACCTCCATGGCAAAGGAGTGGTGATATCAATCGGGTATTCTGTTTAATTTTCTTGGTTCATTCCTCCCTTTCGGATGAACGACTAACCTCCCGGTTTTCGGCCGTACACGAAATGAAAGTTGACGTAGAGATGGTTGTGGAAATCCTGCAGTTCTCGGAGGACGTGGGCCACGAGCACCCGGCACTCGTCTTCAGACCAGCCCCGGTAACGGGTGAGAAAGCCCAGAGCAAAGGGCTCGATGGCCGAGCAGACCTGTCCGAGCTGGTATTTTCCAAGTGTCTTGAGCTTCGGGTCGCGTGGCCATACACCGACAGGGACCTGCAACGAGGTATGAGATACGTCAGGTAGATGTGATGGCGACCAGAGTACCCAGAAGGTAGGATGAAACAAGAACAACTCACTTTGTAGATATCATCTCGGACGTCGACAAAGCCAGCATTACTCATGCGTTCTCTCTGCTCTTTGGCCACGTCGAGATCCTTACCAAATACCTTGCTGCCCTCGTTCACTTCGTCTTGCCATCGTTTCAGATACGGCGCCCGGGTGAGCTCGGGATCGTCGTCCGATTTGAGGTGAGTCTCGTACTCCTGCATCTCGAGCCACCCGCCTGGGTTCAACGATCGTAGCGCCTGCTGGTATAACCTGTCCCAGTCTTTGATGCTGCCGACCATGGTGCGGCCGTGGATGAAGTCGTATCGCTCAGCCTCGGTGGTTGCCTCGACCCAGTCGCTCTCGACGTCATCTACGTAAAACCTGACATTCGGAGGCACCACGTCCGGCTGGATCGGGCTGAGGTCTGTGCCAATCACCGAAGCCATGGGAAATTCATCCGCAAAATCGACGGCCCAGATGCCAGTGCCGGTGCCAAAATCGAGCACCCGCTGCGGACTCGCCAATATTGGTGCGCGAAAAAGTCGGCCGTCTAAAGTCAGGCGGAAGACGTGGTGGAGGAGATCAAGGCGGGCTTGTTCTAGTTCATCGTTGGGGAGGGTGTATGCGCCTTGACGGTAGGCATGGTACCGTCGGCCATGTTCGTAATGGTATTTGTATACTGAGGATGCCAAAGATGTGCTGGCCGCTGTGGCGTCGTCGCCCAAGGTGGAGTCTACATCACTCGGTTCATTTGACTATCAGAAGAGATCAGCCATGAGGTGTGGGTAAACAAGGTGCGGAATGAGGTGCGGAAAAGGGAAACTTGGTCAGTCTCACGTCTGGCTGGATCTCAGCATCTGGATTTGGTGCAGCTGGTTGTTCGACGATGGCGCCCGGCTCCAATGACTGTTCTGGAGATTGCTTGGTTGTGTCACTCATATTCGAGTCTTAGTGCAGCCTTGTTCACCCCTTTCAGTGGAGGCTTGGATTGTGTTCGACGGGCGGCGGGGAAGTTCGTGGAAGGACGGGCCGCACGGCGCAGAGGGCATTTGTACTTGAATGCGAAGCCGGTGGATGGTGGTAGTTGCACACAAGGTGCTCAAGGATGCGGTACGGTCCGCCCAGTGCTTTTAGGTACCACCACTACTGCCGACTAACTATACTGCCGTTGGGGGGATGTTGGGGGTCGGAGCGTTAGTGCATCGTTAAACCTCTAGGCGCATGTCTAGGCTTCCGGAAGGCCTGACGGGCATCCGCAGGCTAGCCTAACACATACCATGGCCACCACGACCTGCCTATCTCTCGCTATACTTGTGGGCATCGGGGATCAACCCCCACGATTGCGTGAGAATCGGCCATGTCCATTCATCCATTGGTGCCACCCAATTCATCTTGTCTGCGTGCGTCTCCATCGAGAACAGACTAAATCCAACCTGTTAAACATGTCCAGACGCAGTGGAGGCATTCAGGCATTCAGGCATTCAGTTCTTGTTGGTTCGGCGCATCTCGTGGTAATGGATCCATCTTACTCCTCTCCATTATTCATTCGTTCAATCCTGCCACTACCTTGCTCTGTGAGTCTTGAGCCATGGCCTCTTCAATCCTTGATGGGTTTGCCCCGAGCTCCCTGACAACTACCGTGGCCATCCTGGTTACCACATGGCTCCTCTATCTGATGTCACTTGCTCTGAACCGGCTGTATCTGTCGCCACTCGCAAAGTTTCCTGGGCCAAAGGCTGCCGCCCTCTCACGATGGTACGAGCTCTATTACGAGGTCGTCCTGAAAGGCCAGTACTCGAGGAGGATAGATGAGATGCACCAGCAATATGGTGAGTCGACTTCGGGTATAACAGTCATCAAACGAGTCAACTAACATCCATCCAGGCCCTATTGTTCGAGTCGCCCCGGATGAGCTCCATATCAAGGACAGCGACTTTTTTGACGAACTATATGTCAAAGTCCCACGGGTAGACAAGCACGACTGGGCAGCTGGGAGGTTCGGGAATCATGGCTCTATCATCACTACCGCAGACTACGCTCTACATCGTCGTCGTCGTGCAGCCCTCAATCCCTTGTGAGCTTTCCAGGGTGCATGCGGAGCGATAGCTCTTTGGACACGGTCAAGATTCTAACCTGAAGGTAGCTTCTCTAAACGGTCAATCATGGACTTCCAACCAGTGATTCGACAGAAGGTTGAGCAACTAAGCAGGACACTCCGTGAGTATAAAGCAAAAGGCGATCCAGTGGTTTTGAGCGAGGCATTTCCAGCCTTTGCCGGCGACATTATCACAGAATACTCGTTTGGAATCTGCTACGACCATTTGGGTTCTCCGGATTTTTCAGAATCTTTCCATGCCGCATTCATGGCTGTCGGCGAGTTCGGCCATGTCGCAGTCCAATTCCCTTGGTTTCACCCAGTGAGTCCCCCCTTTGGTGCTCAAGCAACTCCACGACTGCTGACATAGACATAAGCTCTTGAATTCACTTCCGGATAGCCTTGTTCGCAAAATGCAACCAGCTCTAGGGTCTCTCCTGCAGCTTCAGACGGTGAGTCGGGCACATCAAGCCCTCGGAAATGGGGTTCCTCTAAACGCTGCCATATAGGATCTACGAAATATGATCAAGCGACTGACCGAAGGGGACGAACTTGGGGAGGGAAAGGTTTCTCATCGCACTATATTTCATGACCTGCTTCAAAGTGCCCTCCCACCCGAGGACAAGGGAAACCGCCGCATGGCAGACGAGGCCCAAACCGTTATTGGAGGCGGCCTCGAGACGACTGCGTGGGCGTTGAGCGTGGCGTCGTTCCACATTGTGAACACCCCTCGAATTTACAAGCGACTACACGGGGAGCTTGCCCAAGTGATGCCCGACACATCCTCCATTCCAGATCTATTAGAGGTCGAAAAGTTGCCCTACCTTCGAGCCTGTATCACAGAAGCAGTCCGCCTTTCGTATGGCATCTCTGCACGGAATCCTCGAGTGCTCAACCAATCCCTCCAATACAAGCAGTGGACCATACCTCCACGAACCGTTGTCGGCATGTCGATTGTGGATGTCCATCACGACGAGAATATCTTCCCCGACTCCCGTTCATATATTCCAGAACGATGGCTGGGGAATCCCAAGGCACCTAACGGGTCTCCACTTGATCGTTACTTTGTTGGATTTGGGAAAGGGAGCAGGAGCTGCCTCGGGATCAAGTACGTATCATTACTGTGGTCGCATTGCTTCTTCAAATACCCTTGAGCTGATTTCTTGCTAGTCTGGCGTATGCTGAACTATTCCTTCTCATGGCGGCTCTTTTCCGACGGTTTCGCTTTGAACTGTTCGAGACTGACAAGTCGGATGTCGAGTTGAAGCATGATTTCTTCCTGCCGAGTCCAAAGCTGGATTCCAAGGGCGTGCGGGTCAAGGTTGTTGAGCTCTATGAGTGAATTGATGACAGTGACTGACCCGGCACCATATAGTCGTATATATCATATCTATCCTTTGTCTCGGCCAACCTCTCTCCCTTGTTCGTCACATACACAAATCTGAATGATCTGAAATGGCCCTTCTCCCCCGATAGTATCAATTTCAAACCGACGAGACAGTGAATCGTGCTTAGTCACTCGCTACGGTTGCGCGTCGCGTCGCCCAAAGCGAGCCAAGTTCCGACTGTCGACCTTAGAGAGAATGTCGATGTACTCGGCAATGAGTCCCTACAGTCTGTACAGTCTGTCTCAATTCTGCGAGCTCAACAATTAAATGGGAGGCGGAACCATCGGGGCAAGTGTTGGCTAGCTACCGGACGCGAACTACATGCTTGGTGTGTACAAACTGGTACTTGTGCATGAAATCCTTGCTCTTTACGGCGCGGCTCGTTCCTGGTCGTTCATTCCCGCTTCTCTACTTCCTTGCCAGGAACCCGATTAACCAGTTAGCGAGCTACAACTGGCAGAGCGATCTGCAAGGACACGACAAGATCCTGAACCCTTTGAACCCTCCAGTACCGGCCCAGTGATGGAGACTCGGGAACCCTTGATGCAGCAGCCGGGGATGACGGCTTCATCTCCGCGCTTTGACATGGCATACATCGACCAAGTCTCGCAGGGACGACGCAGCCTCAGCACGCCTCTTATCGAGCCATTGATCACAGGCACGGGCGCCAGCATCTACAGATCCAAGATAATCCCTGCCATACGGGCCGCGCAGTCCGAGATTGTGCTGGTGACGTGCTTTTGGGCCGCGTCCGTGACGCGCGTACAACTCTGCGAAGCGCTCAAAGACCTGTCCAGGGCAGTGCTGGCTTCCTCGTCGACGTCGTCATCATCTCCGAGAAAGGTATCAGTGCAGATATGTTTCTCGTCGAGCTCACTGGCGCGCAATATGCTCCTTCCAACGCCTTCGGAAGGCCAGGTCTACGGCCCTGAGAGCTGGGGAAAACTGGGCCTCCCGGGACCCGACGAGATCAGAGGCTTGAATTTGCGGGTGGTGCGCAAGTTCTTCTGGCCTTGGGGCATCGTCCATTCAAAGTATGTCATAGTTGATCGAAAGCTTGCCATCTTTCCCTCGTGCAATGTCTCGTGGGAGCGATGGTTCGAGGTTGCCATCTCGTTCACGGGGCCGGTTGTCGACCATTTACTGCACTTCCATACGGATTTCTGGGACAAAGGGAGACCTCCGGTGCCGCCATCACCACCACCTCCAGATATTCGTGCCACCACCTCGGTCACAGATGAGACCACCGCTACAACAGTCCCGGTAACCCTGCTGCCCTCGCCGCACACGCCGGCCAAGCTTCCAAACCACCTCAACCCGCGCGTCCTGCTCGGCCAAGTCATCCCATGCATACCCACCGCCGGACCACTCCCGTTCCCCGCCACGCCGTTGTTGCAGACCACACACCACCTGCTCTCGACGGCACAGTCGAGGATCGTCCTGCTGACGCCCAACCTGACCGAGCCGACCGTGGTGGAATCCCTCGTCGAGGCCCTGGGGAGGGGCGTCCAGGTCTGCATCTGGACCAACCGCAACTTGATGACCGTGGAGCAGATGGTCACGGCGGGCACGACGACGCCGAGCTGTGTCCAGAGACTCGTCGACAGGGCTTTGCACTTGGGACGGTCTGCGCTGCTCGAAACATTCTTCTTCGACGCTGACGACGGGCCTGGTGTGTTGCCACGGCGCCGGGGACAGAGTCGAGAAGATGACGCTGGTGATCAAGATGAAGAGCGAGACCAAGAGTCCATCCCCGTCAAGCTGCACGCCAAGGTGACCATTGTCGACGGCGAGCGCATCCTGTTGGGCAGCGGCAACATGGACGCGGCGAGTTGGCGGACCAGTCAAGAATTGGGCGTGCTGGTCGAGAGTCGCGAGGTTGTTGACGAGTTCAAGAGGTTGTGGAGGTATAGCAAGCTCTGAAACCCCTGGACCTTGACGCTTGACCTTGCTTGACCTTGCTTGACCTTGCTTGACCTTGCTTGACCTTGACTGACCTTGACTGACCTTGACTGACCTTGACTGACCTTGACTGACCTTGACTGACCTTGACGGTATCCATATGCCTGTCTGTTTGCCTGTCTGTCGGAATAGGTGGGGAAGACAGGGCAGGCAGGCAGGCATCTTCTCTATCAATCAAACTACCTATCCTCCAGCAAAAGGATCAATTCCACCCAAGGGGCTTCGTCGAATGCTTACTTGCCCGGACGAGCCTTGAATCCTCTGAGAGAGAACCAGAGGTTCCTCTGTGACGGAGGTATGAGGGTCTTCTAACGTTGTTATTCACCACGGTCTGCTTTTCTCAGGGTTTGATCTACGATGGATAAGATCCATGCTGAGTGGCGATCCGCCAGGGGCAGGGACCTTCACAGTCTACTCGGTACGGTCTACAGTCTACAACGACCAGAAAACATGACAAGTTTTCGTTGGCTTGGAATCGCGATAGCTTTGAAGAATGAATCGACGGGCAGACAGCCTTGTTAACACAAAAATATTGAACCTCCCCTAAAGTCCTCGAACCTGGTCAAGCCTTGGTCAGCCGTCGGAGAAGCATCAACGGTTTCCCAGCCTGGACCACATCGTTTGGCTTGACGAGCAACTTCTCGACCGTGGCGCCCTCCATGCTCTGCTCGGCCTTGACGGGGATTTCGAGCTTCATGGCCTCGAGGATCGAGACGACCTGCTCGAGCTTGACCGTGTCGCCTTCCTTGACCTCGACTTTCCACACGTTGGCGTTCAGGGGAGCTTCGACGGGGATGATTTCCGGGTCTGAAACATACAAACAGAAAACGTCAGTCTTTGGTAGATATTTCACTGGGAGGGGGAGAAAAAGAAGAAGAAAATGATGTGGGGTGGGGGAGGAGACATGTACATACCATGCAGCAGCTCCTCGACGGTGTCCATGCTGATTTTGCCGGCTTCCTTCTCCTTGCTCCATTTCTCGAGGAGTTCCTTCTCCAGCTTGTCCATTTCGGCCTGTGCCTGGCGCTGCCGGGCGCGGATCTGGGCGACCTCGTCCTTGGTCTCCCTCAGGAGCTCGTTGTGTTCCTTCATGTCGAACTCGGTGTCCTCGTACTCGTACTCGTAGCGGCCGCTGCGGAACGTTGCCATGATCCCTTCGTACTCGTCCTCGGTCACCTCGTAGAAGGTGATCTGGTCAAAGTCCTCAAACAGCCACGGCTTCTCCGCGCTGTAGCCTCTCTTGAACCCGAGAATGTCGGCGCCCGGGATCGAGAGGCCCGTGTTCATGTACCCGCCGGGCGACTCGACGTTGTATAGTGCCATGCATGACCCACCCCAGCCGACTTGTCCTTCTGGGGTGTGTACCCGCGACGGGTTCATCTTGGGGCACTGGATGCGTTGACGCGGATCGATCGGCAGGGCGATGGGCAGCGCTACAAAGAACCCGACCGCAACCACCATCAACGATGATTTTGTGTATATATCTCGAAGCTTACGACCGTGTTAGAGAACCTAGAATGCATAGAAAGCAATAAACTTACCTGTTGAAGCGTGAATGCGTTGTTCTTGGCCACAAACTCCATCGGATCCGGTAGGTACGAGGCATACGGTCTCTGCGTCTCCATGTACCTCTGTAGGCTTTCCTTCTGCCTCTTGCTCTGGAATGTGATGGGGAGTTTATACTTGCGACTTGGAAACTTGGCTTCGCTAAGATCGCCGAGTTCCTTTTCGAGCTGGAGGAGATAATCCAGCATCTTCTGGCGGGGCACCTTTGTCGAGTCGTAGTAGAGCATGAGGGAATTACCGCACGCCATTCCCGTATGCATATCGCCGTTGGAGAACGAGATCTCGCCCCTGTTCTCCCGCAGCTTTCGATACAGGGCGACCGCGCGGCAGCGGTAGTTGAGGTCGAAGGAGCCGTGGCCATAGTCGATCAGGATGAAGTCGTCGCCGCCCTGCCGATACGACACGAGCGGTTGGTTGCCGTGCTCCTCGATCTTGTGGATAATCGCTGGCTCCCACTCTTTCTTCTCGAAGGAGGGTGGAGGTCCCTCGTACTTGAGTGGTGAAACATTATCAAACCTGCCTTTCCCTTGGCAACAATCGTGGATTGAGCCTAGGAAATCTTCAACTTCCTTGCGCTTTGCAATGGCGTCCTGGTACGACACTCTCTTGAATCGCAGCTTGTTGCCAGCCTTCATCTGCCCGAGTCTCCAGTACTCGGCCTTCACGATTGTTGTCGCCGACACAAACCCTCCGAAGTCGGGCGCGTCGATGGGGAACAGGCACGGGTCATCGCCGGTCCAGTTCACAGTGCCGATGGGGTATCCGTATTCGATGACATTTGAAGGATGTGCACCACCCTCCCCTCCGTCAGGACGTGCCCATTTGGGTTTCGGACCAATCAGCCTAATGCCCCCTCGAGCGGCATTGTGTGAAATCGTCCAGGTGCTGTCGTAGAACTCTTCAATGGACTCGTTGGTGACGAAGCCCTCATCGTAGGGCCCAGGCATGGCCAAAAGATCCCATTCCTCTGGGTACGACGGTATTAGATTCTGTGGCAGTGAAAGCTCGCCACTGACATCTGGTAAATCCGTCGTAATCACCAAGAAATCGCCAGCCGCGAGGGCTCTCCCCTGATAGCCACCGACAGCAGTCATCGGCGCCGTTGCTTTTGAGCCGAACCACGTTGCAATGCTCGGAAGACCTCCGTATATTGCCAAATACGATCGACATCCACCTCCTGTTGTCTTGCCGATCGTGAGTCGCTGGCCAGCTTGGATCTTCAGCCGCGTCCACATGGGTGCATCCTTGCCGTCGAGCTTGACCTCCATCGGGGCACCGCAGATGGCAATAATGGCTGGCCCGAGGAATTTCAAGTCCGGTCCACTCAAGGTGATCTCAATGCCTTCCTTGCCAGGAGGATTGTCGACGAGCGCGTTGGCTATTCGGAACGCCAGAGGATCCATAGGACCGGAGTGTGAAAACCCTCTTCCGATGGTAGGGCGGCCCGGCCAGTCTTCGATCAAGGTGTACGCGCCCCCTTGTAAGACATCTATTGCCGCAGGTTGAAATTTGAACGTCTCGAGGAATTTTGTCATCGTATTGCCGGATTTGAACGTGCTGTCTTTCAAGATGGCCTCCAGGAACTCGATGTTTGTGGGTGGCCCAAATATCTTGGAGCCTTCAAGCATTTCACACATCAGTTTGAGGGCTTCGGAACGGTCTGATGCATGAACCATGACTTTTGCCAGTAAGGGATCGTAGAATGAGGTAACCTTAGTCCCCGTATGGATCCAGCCATCAATTCGAGAGCCCGGGACTTCTTTCCAAGACACATGCTGTAGTGTGCCTGGTGATGGAGCAAAGTCCTTTGCCGGATTCTCTGCGTACACCCGTACCTCAATGGCTGCTCCTGAAGGACCCTTGGGCTGAAGACTGCTCAGGTATCCACCATCAAGTCCGCCCTTACCAGACAGCTCTGCGTCGGCTTGCTTCAACATCAACTCCACCAGATCGATTCCATAGCACATCTCCGTAATGCCGTGTTCTACCTGCAAACGTGTATTCATCTCGAGAAAGAAGAAAGCGCCTGACTCGTCGTCCACAAGAAACTCGATGGTCCCGGCGGAACCATAGTTGATCGAGGCCGCCAGACGGACAGCCGCTGACCCTAGCTTTTCGCGGAATTCGGGGTGTTTCCCGACGAACGGGCTGGGGCACTCTTCAATCACCTTCTGGTGTCGCCGTTGAATCGAGCATTCGCGCTCTCCAAAATGTATCGCTTCACCGAGCCCATTGCCGAAGACCTGGACTTCGATGTGATGTGACGAAGGGTAGAACCTCTCCATGAAGACGCCCGAGTTCTTAAAGAGAGTCTCACCACGCGATTGAACTGTCTTGAATGACTGACGGACTTCTTTTTCGTCCTTGCATGTCAACAAGCCCATACCGCCTCCGCCGGCGGTAGCTTTGAGTATGATCTGGAGGTGTCAATAAATTCATCCAGTTCGAAGAGTCGTGCCTACCGGGAAACCCAATTTCTTTGCCTCCTCAACTGCTTCATCCTCTGACTTGACAAGACCTTTAGTTCCTGGGACGATAGGGACGTCGGCTCTTGAAGCAAGTTCACGAGCCGTGTGTTTGATGCCAAAGTCCTCTATACACTTTGGACTTGGACCGACAAACACCATCCCCGCCTCGGTGACATGCCTGGCGAAGTCGGTGTTCTCAGACAGAAATCCATAACCAGGAATGACCGCGTCGGCTCCCTTGGATTTTGCGATATCAATAATTTGCTGTGTATCGATGTAGCCTTTGGCATCTGGCCCGCTGAGCAAAACAGCTTCATCCGCAGCCCCTACGTGTGCCGAGGCGGCGTCTGCTCCCGTGTAAATAGAAATAGTCTTGAGCCCAAGCTTGCGGGCTGTCTTGCATATCCGCACCGCTATCTCTCCTCGATTCGCAACCAGCAATGTCTTTAATTTCTCCATCTCACGAAGACTGGTGATGAGGAACAAGCGGCAGCTGACGCACAGCTTTGCGGATGCGAGGGATCTTTGGCATTATCAAGCGGTGGTGTAATGGCTTGATATCAGTGGAAGCCACTTGCCGTTATTGGCCTGATGTGCAAGGATTCCCCAAAAATATCGATGAGGGGCTTGAGAGTTCATCGTTGCCTCCGCAAGTCGTTCTTCTCCGCCATCATTAGTGACGTAGGATTGGATGGGCAAGATGGGCCAAGTGAAGGCCGTGGAGTGTTACTTCCATAGCTCCGGAGAATGAAGATAATGTAAGACACGACGCGTGGTTGCCCAAGAGTTACACATTTTTCCCTTTTCATCAAAAAGTGTCTCGCCGTAGAAGATGGCGCCTCCACCAATCAAACACAAAGCCTTGCTGAATGTCGATCTGGGTGAAGGGGTAAGTGTGTTACTTCAAGCCGTGGGCCATTTCTGATCGCTGGCACAGTACGGCAATTATGTCTGCGGTCCAGATCTGGAGTTGCTGCCGTTGATTGACCACGCAAATGTCGCATGTGGCTTTCATGCGGGAGATCCACTGATAATGCAGGAGACTGTGCGGAACTGTAAGAAGCACAATATCAAAGTCGGGGCACACCCCGGGCTTCCTGATATACAAGGTAAGCGGCCGAAACCTGTTGAGTATAACCCGCCTCTAACGCCATGTAGGTTTCGGTCGACGCGAGATCAAAATGTCTCCCGAGGAGCTGACGGCTATCACTGTGTACCAAGTTGGTGCATTGAAGGGTTTCCTTGACCAGGAAGGCGTGCCCCTACATCATGTCAAACCCCACGGCATTCTGTACGGAATGATGTGCCGTGATTATGAGGTTGCCAAAGCCGTTATGCAAGGAGTTCCCAAAGGAGTCCCGGTCTTCGGTCTTGCAGGGACGAACATGGAGAAGGCGGCCAACGATCTCGGGATCACCTTTTGGGCGGAAATGTATGGAGATGTGAAATACAGCAACGATGGCATGCTTGTCATTGACAGGAAGAAGAAGCCCTGGAATCTCGAAGATGTCAGGAAACATGTTAGTCAACAGCTCAATTCGCAATCCGTGACGGCCACAGATGGCAGTGTTGTTCAGTTGCCAGTCAAGGACTATCCGATATCCATATGTTGTCATTCGGACTCTCCCGGGTGCCTTGGAATAATTAAGACCACAAAGGAAGTGATTGATGAGTTCAACAAGGAACATGGAAGGATATGAATGATGGCCACAAGTCACGAATAAGATTTATACCTCGGGTATTCTGGACTCTTTCGTGCCAATCTGGTTCATCTCCTACCACTATTAGCGAGTGGTCTCAGAGCCAGAGAGTACACACTCATTCAGTAGTTCAGTTCATTGTTAGTTTCGAATGAAGGAGCAAAAGCCACCAAGGTGCCGAGGAAGTTCAGAGGACGAACTGGAGATTACTTACAAAGGTAGCCCACGGACCAAACCCCCGGTCTCGACGATCTAGGAACAGAAGGAACCAAAGCACAGGGTATTCATCTGTCTGATCCACTGACCTAGGTATTTATAGAAGACAGCATAGGCCTGAGAGTATTCAGTGGTGATGGAGAGCGACTTGGGTGGTCCATTTTTCACTCCACGCTAAGCTGTTCTGGTTAGTACTCCGCACAATTCAGCCCCCGCGCAAAAATCACGTTCATATATTATTATTACTCCTTTCTCTCCAACAATTACCACAAATCATCCGCAGTGGTGTAATGGTAACATCTGTCGCTCTCACGCATCCTCCAAGGATGTGAAATCCGACAAGCCCGGGGTTCAATTCCCCGCTGCGGAATTTCGAATTTATTTTTTTCGTGTTTTCTTTTCCGTCATTTTTTCTATTTTATGTTTTTCGAACAAAATTAAGAGGGTCGTGTCAAATTTTGGGATCGCAGTGTTGTCACACTTTCTTTTTGATAGGCTTTCGTCGCAAACACCAACACAAGCTGCAATTTGTTCGAATCCCCATTTCAAGAGTTGTGTCAGAAGACTCAATGCATTATGGTAGAAGAGGGCCGCTGGATCTCTGTAGGTACGGGAATGCTTTGCAGTCTAGTAGTGGTGGGGGAGGGAGCTCTATTCCTATCATCAGCCCTTGCTGTCTTCCGTAGGCTCAATGGCTCAGAGACAACGACAATTTCACCATTCAACACCAACGCCAATATCAAACCAAACCTCCATGCCATGTTTCTTAGTGCTTCCTTCCTTTCATTCGGCCGTTGTCTTGAATAAAGACCATCAACGACGGCCATTGAAGCCTGAATTGATCAGGCTGCTCGTTGCTCATTCCGTCCCTCTTCCTGGTCCATGAGTTCGTTCGCCTGCCCACGACGGCAGCCCCCTCCCATCAGATGCCCATGCTTCGGTGTCGTATACCTCGTACAACACTCCGATGCCAACTAGTCATCCATCCTGCCATTCAATGATTCTGAAGAACACGTGCGACTGCGATCCCAAGGGTCATCGCTCCAGGGGGTCGAAAGTGAAAGACGGAGGATTCTACACAACCAGGTAGGGGCGGCTAGGTTGAAATATTCGCATGCTGTGCGGAAAATACCACTGGCGCTTCAGCCCGAAGATCAAGCATGATTGTGGTGCTAGTGGTGATGAGGCCAACCTCCCTAAACTGCTGTACAGCATGCTGTTACAGCATGCTGCAAGGCCAGAATGATCGTTGAGATGCAAAAGACAGAATACAGAAAGACTGCCATGAGAGATAGTCTGTTCCAGGATGACAACAGCAGACACCCAGGACACCTTACTGAAGACAGATCGATTCGCCTCGAAGCCTTCTATGGAGTGGAGAGACCAACAGCTCGCTGGATCGGTTGAGCCGTGTAGATCCTGAACGACCACCCATATCTGACCTACTGAGCAGCCTTTCTATCCCACCATCGTTACAAGACAGCACTCTCGATGCCTATCCAGGCGCCTTCTTTGGCAATATGTTCAATCCTTGGTTCCGAATGTCGGAGACGCATGTGGTGAGTGCTCCAGGTTTTCCCTCTCCCCCCCGGCTGCTTTCCCCAGTCAGTAAATCCCTGCTGAATGGGACAGGCTCTGAGATCAACTGTACCACGACGAGAACAAGTACGTCCGAGTTTGTCAGCATGCACTTGATGGTGGCCAGGCCTACCAGGGTCGAGCAAGTCATTAATAACGCCGCTGAGCCTTATTTTCCGGTACGCCAGGGCCAATACGACGTTCCAACAGTCCACCCCCCAGCACAAACGCAAACGATACCCCGCCACAAGCGACTATCAACTGAGATGACGGGTGAGCGGGGCGGCAATTGGCTGCGGGAGAGAATCGGAGGGCTTCCAGAAGGTGACCTGCGCCGGCATAAGCAGCCACCTACGACGACGCCGCGATACTTAGCGTACTCGGACATGTCCACCATCACCCACCAAATGCCCACCACAACCAATGCTCGATGGCCTTGTGGGAACCAACTTCCGCAAAGAGGCGCAAAGGCGAGAATGCCCATGTCCAAATGTCGTGGGAAGGGCGTGCAGAGAGCCAAGGCTCTGACACCACCCGTTGGTGCCGTTGACTTTCAACTCCAGGCCTGCCTGAGGAGTCATACACCCTATCCACCGATCTTCGGAGATTCCTGTTCTGCTCCGAGGAGAAGGCTGAGGATCTCACAAAAAGTACCTTCTGGACGTCTTCTCATCCTTCCATCACTCCTTCCATTGGTATCCCATTGTAAGTCCTTGTTCCTCGTCCCCAGTCTCGAGGACCGCCGACGTAAAGCATGGAGTACTTCGATTTTGACGACGCCTCTCACGCAATCCCCGCCTTGGACCTTGACGATTGTTCGTCAATCACAGGTGAGGCATGTGAGGCGGACGCCACTGACTGCTATGAGTCGCTCTTTTTCGACAAATCGGCAGCACTCCCAACAAGTCGACCGGCGGCCATCAAAATTGTGAAACTCAAACTAATCAACAATGTCGAAATTGAGGCCATCCCACATCCTTCGGACATCACTGCAGAATACCCAATGTTTCGTGCCAAAGAGCCGTGTGATCTTTGCGCGAGAATGGGTCTCGATTGCTTCTTGGCTACACGAGGCGCACTGGTCGCAGGCTGCACCTGTTGTATCTCTCTGTATCGAGAGTGCAGCTTTGTCCATCCAAAAATCCCCAAGGGCTTTGTTAATACTTTAACGGGAATCGCCGAAGACCAGCAAATCATAGAAGGGTCGTTGACTGAACGGAGGAGGGCCATGAAGTCAATGGAAGAAGGCCGCGGCCGGAAGACTGGTGCTCGGTTTCCGCGTGATGCTGTCAAGATACTGAAGCAGTGGCTTGCTGAACATGCTGATCATCCGTATCCCAACGAGCGAGAAAAGGACGAGCTCAAGCAAGTCACCGGCCTCAAAAGAAGCCAGATCTCCAATTGGCTAGCCAATGCGCGACGACGAGGCAAGGTCAGGCCTGCCGAATCTGGTCCATCCTCACCCATGTTGGGGGCAATTGATATCCCTCACAGGGTTGACAACCCGGACATTGCAGATCTCAACCCCCTAGACAGATGGAAGGCTTCACCACCTGAACACGAACCTGCATCCATGACCGCCATTGCTCGAGCCGTCACTTCCACCCCCCTACCAGTTCGCAATCCATCTCTGCCCAGTATTCATGGCTCCAGGCCAAGCTCGAAGAGGGCGTCGAGCGAAGACGATTCGTCCTTTTCCATGTTCCGTGCGCCGTCGGTGAGCAGTTTTGGAACCAGGGAATCCAGCAATTCCGATCTTACCTTTGCCTCCTCTCGGTCGAATCGGTCGAAAGGATCTTTTGCATCGTCCCAAGATCGACGCAGGCGTAGGCGGGCTCCCGTGGCTCAACGAACAGCTGCGCAACAGGCTAAATCCAGGGCTGCGAGGATATTCCAATGCACATTCTGTACAGATTCTTTTCCCGCCAAGTATGACTGGCAGAGGCATGAAAAGTCTCTCCATCTTGCTCTGGAGCGGTGGACATGTTGTCCTAATGGTGGAACAATGACCGATGCGCTGACCGGAATGGTACTTTGCGTCTTCTGCCGCGAGGCCAACCCATCTACGGATCACTTGGAGTCGCACAATTTCACCGCATGCCAAGAGAAGACATTGCAAGAACGCACCTTTTATCGGAAGGACCACCTCAGCCAGCATCTGAAATTGATGCACAATGCGAAAGTCCAATCTCACATGGATACCTGGAAGAGCACCACCAACGAGATCAAGTCCTCTTGCGGCTTCTGTCCGTCCAAGTTCACCACTTGGCAACAACGAGCGGATCATCTCGCTGCTCATTTCCGGAATGGTTCGGACATGAACAACTGGAGCGGTGGATGGGGGTTTGAGCCATTTGTTGAAAGACTGGTCGAGAACGCCATCCCACCTTACCTCATCGGCCACGAGAGGACGACGATGGACCCATATGTCGCCAGGTTGACGGCAACGCCGTCCGCCAATACCGACGGAGGGTTGACCAACGGCACTTCTGCCGAAAGTACGGAACCTGATCAAATGACTCGAGATTCTAATTGCTGGGGAAGACTGGAGCAGGAATTGAGCAAATTTGTATCGCAACAAAGAGTGGCAGGCCGCCTTCCCTCAGATAAGGAGCTGCAGGATCAAGCTCGCATGATCATTTACGAGGACAACGATCCTTGGAACTGGACCTGTGCGGACAATCAGCAGTGGCTCGACACTTTCAAGTATCAACAGGGTATTGGGAACGTCACAGACGCAATGATACCGACCCACACGCTGGCCGAAGTGCCTATACTCGCTCCGTACGTGATCAAGGGCGGGCTGAAGTCGAAGCCTCCGACTGCTCAACATCAACGCAGGACACTGAGCACTGATACCAACTCTTTCCCAGCCATGACACCTGACTGTGGGAGTGTCCCCAACTCGACCACGGCAGGAACATTTGACAACGGTATGGAGCTTGACTTTGACAGCATCGACTTTAGCAACCTCGATCTCGGAATGGTCGACGATTTGAACTTCGACTTGGGGCTCGACAACAGTCAGGGAGGGGGAATAGGCGTCTCGTTGGCGCCTTCAACGCCGTTCTCATCGAGTATGCAGGCTGACTCTTTGTTCGGCTCATACGGACTGAATCCCCAGATGGGCATGGGCATGGACATGAACCCAAAGGCGCCTCATCAGCAACAGACACCACAGCCCGGCAGCAATGGTCAATTCATGAACAGTCGAGACCTAAATCAGCTGTCTGGGTACGTCGCAGGGTTTAACTGACTTGTGAAATACACAAAGAGAGAGTGAAAGTGAGAGTCAGAGGAAGGCAAGGAATAGATTGGAAGGGTGGATATTGGAGAGTATTTCAACACTATAAGGGACAGACAGAAGACGGCGACATTGGTCCGTGAGATGTAGCACTCACTCAACTGTCATGCGGAGGGCGCAGGGCTCAATCCAGGCAAAATAAGAAGAACATGGCGCCATCGGCCCACAGATCAGTCACCAGCTACTACGATGAGCAGAATTAAAAAGTAATCAAATAACATTTTAATGAGAACGGGCTCTTTTGATCTTGTCACACTCTCCTGCTTTCGCACGCGCGCCCTGCGTCTGTCAAGGCTGGCTGGCAACGCCTTGGTCGGCTTTCGGCCTTGTCGGGAAAAAAGAGATTCCGCTTCCGAACACACCACTCACTCACTCGTTCTTCGATCAGGAGCAAGGGTGAGAGTGAATCCAGTCCTGCATGAAATCAATCTCATGTACGTACGTGCTGGGAGTAGTTTCTTGGAAGTGACCACCTCTAGGCACACAGAAGAGGAAGAGAGGGTTGATAAGTTATCACCAAGTAGACCGAGATAACGGGCACAGGGTACGGGCACAGGCATGACTTGGCCATGCTCCGACAGAGGCAAAGAGGCTTAAACCCTCAACCGCCGGTTATCTTCACATGTCAGAAATCTAATATGAATTTTTTTCTCTCTCCTTGTTCCGCGTATCTGGTCTGGCCATCCACCCCCAGCAAGGCCCCAGCTCGTGCAGGCTCAACAAAACCACAAAAGGAGCTACTAACCACCTAAAGAACAAATCTTATCCTCTCATCCTCACATACAGCCCACCTGCCTGCGTGCTATCTAGTCCCCTTTTCCAAGTTCGTCCTTGGCTTTCGCCTCGAGTATGCGGGATAATGTCGTGCATCATCGGATTATGTGCATGTGAAATGCCCACATGCCATCGTCGAGGACCTCACAACATTCGCTCACATCATCTCCATGCTGCACTAACTTCCTGAGATTGCGCCTTCATATGAGCGCTTCGTACCCCGGAATTCAGCTTCCAACCAGGACCTGCGGACAGAAAGAAACCCTACTTACCTCTCACGATCCTCCTTGACTTCCCTAAACGAATAGTCCCGAGGAACAGTTCCCCCATCCCCTGAACATTAGCGCTCAGAATGGCAGGCGTTGTCCCTCGACCTGATGCGAAGGTGTCTAAGCAAGAGCAGGTACATTGCGAACAATTCTCCAGATCGACCATCTACACCATGATTCCCTCCATGGTCCGTTCGAAGATACCTGTTTTGACCTCCCTTCGGCATACCGCAAGGACGGTTGTCCTTCATGGCGCAAGTGTCCGTAGGAGAGCATACAACTTTTCCTGTGTCGAGTCCACCAAAGAGAAGGACTATGAGGTCGCATCGACCAGCAACTCCAGTGGAGCTCCGACACCCATGATCAGAGCAGACAGCCCGGAAGGAGGCGTACCTCCACAAGATCTGGCTTTGAGAATGCTCCCACCCTTGGAGGCAAGATCGGGTGTAGACTGGGATGTTGCACTCACTGGGGTCAGGCTATGGGTCAACGCCAAAACCCAAGCAGAACAAGGAGGAGACCCGGTTGCGCTGCGGAGCATGCACATAGATGCGTTGCGGTATATGCACATGGCCCTTCCCTCAGATCTGACATTGCTCGAAATTCAGACTCTGCGGGCTAGCATGGCACCTCAACTCTTCACCCAAGAAGAAAATATCACAGACTACCGTTCCCAACGACAGCCCAACATCCTGCGTCAAGGTGTTGCACATGCTGTATGCTGGTTTGTCGCTGGATTGCTGCTGGTTCTGCCGATTATCATGACCCTTCTCAATCGACTTCTCCAGTTTGAGCGCGAACATCAGGTCACCGAGCGAGTACTCGCCAATGGTCTTGACCTGACTTCGGCTCTTGGTGAGCGTGGTGTAGAGTTGCACCAGGCGATTGCTCGTTTCAAGGAGGGACGGGTAGGAGGGGCTTGTGTGGATTTTGGAACGTGGTTCCTGGAAGGGATTGTTGGTGGCGTGAATGATGGCATCGATGCTGTGGCTCGAAATCGAAGAAAAGCGCCCGTTACCAATTATCCCAGCTGATGATATGCTTTGATGTTATGCATAGACCTGAACACTCTAGAATTGTTAAGACACTCACATTCTTCATCTTGTCAAGTATAGGCGGTGATGGTATCTTTGTTTCTCTCACATCTTCCGCTTGACGCCCTGCAATCCAGGTGCCATACTCATCGGCGACCAACACACCACACAGGGCGCGGCTGGTGAGGCTCCCTCTCCAACCGCGCCGATAGGGCTTGAGGGTCCTTTGGGTCTCGGCGTGGGGCACGATGGAGGAGTTTGTCTCCGCCATTTCCAACTCAAATCTCCAACTCGCATTTCCTCTTTCACAACAATGTCCCTTCATTCTTTGCTTCCTTCCTTTCGAAGACAACAACTTGTGTTGGACTTGTGAGTGAGTCACTGAGACGCTGAGCACATGGACTGACACTTCTCCAAGCTCTGCTCTGAGAGGACATTGTCCAGACGGGCTTTATGTTTCACTTACTCCTGGCGACCCTTGTGTCTGGGCCGCTGTCATCTTCGTCCGCAAAGGTAGGTACCACCAGTCTTTCCACGCATTTCGCATTTGGAGTAGCATCATCAGAAGACTTCTTGGAAGCTGACATGAAGAGCTTAGGACCGTACGCAGGAGCGATTCTTCGCTTCCAGATCTCTTTTCCAGACACCTATCCCGATCTGCCTCCCCTCATCACCTTTTCGACCGATATCTTCCATCCTCTGATCGTGCCTTTGACTACATACACCTTTAGTGCCAGTAGTCTTGATGCATCAGGCACTGTCAGCGCCTCAGATGGAGACCGCCTGCCCCCAGGAACATTCAGTTTGCGCTATGGATTTCCTCAGTGGTTCACAACAAGCCCTGCGTCAGAAGGCAGCTCTTTAAATGCGACCAAGCAGGGAGACTCACATTCTTTGGTTCATCGCAGTTCGACTTCTGACGGAAAGGCTGCCTCCGAGAGTCTTCAGATTGATCCACGACCTCAAAATCGTGGCTTGATCATTTTGAACTTGCTTCAACACGTACAAGATGCTTTTGAAGACGAAGGGTTGCTGGACAGACTCCCTCTGGAAACTGTTGGAGACCCCAGTGCGTGGCACGCATGGCGCGCACACCGTGGACGAGTGGAGCGGCCTGTCGAGCCCCCGACGCCTGCAACCGAAGGCAAAGATACCGCTCCATCATCGCCTAAAAATCCCGGAGAATGGAAGTGGGACGGTGTCTGGGAGTCACGAGTGAGGAACGGTATCGAAGCCAGCATAAGTGAAGCAACCCTGTTTGGTAGCACTGCTGGTACTCGAGCTGGGCCTGCGGCGATGGACACCGCAAGCACGGACCCCCACCAAAGAATCCTGGCTGCGGCTGATCGACAAATCCGTTTCTCCAAGTTGAGCGATGAGCTTTTGGATAAGGTCAAAGACGAAATATCAGCCTCTGCCTCTGTCACGCCGACCTAATGAGGAGATGCCGCAAACGTTGAAGGAGCCAATGAGAAAGTGATCCGGGTCGCCTGAATCCCTTGCCAGTCGAGCCTTGCGATCGCCGAGTTCCTGCACCAGCTATCATTGATAGCGCCTTCTCAAACTGCGACCGGAAGACACAAGAGCCTGCGGACGCTCTTACCGTTCCAACACAAGCATGAACCCAACATTTCACTCATCCGCGGCCTCATACCTTGCTTCTCTCCCATACTGGTTATCCTGCACTGATACTCCGTATGGTTGCTGCTTTGGTTTTGCATCACAGGCCACATGAAGTATAACGTGTATGGCTTCCTCATATGACTGATGCACTGAAGAACGACGAAATTGTCACCCCAAACGGCACGGTGTTCGGCATACTCATCCACGGAATTGTTACATTGCTCTTTGACCTCGAAACTTCCTCGCTCTTCGGCATATTGGCAGATCCGGAGCCTGCCAGGTGCTGAGTGTCACACACACCTGCACCGAACTGCGAAACTCCAGCTCCCTAACTTGTGTCGAGGCCAACGCTGGTTCCTCGTCCGTCTCCTTCGAATCACTCCGCCCAATACGTCAACTACTGCCTGAATATCTGGCAAATCGAGAAGACAAGGGCTCTGTGATTTCACAACGCTCCTCGCCCCGAGGAGAAACCTTAATGTATATAAAAATAGCAACTGGTTGATCAACGGATGTTGGGCTCCGCTGCACGGAGTGTTCGTGTGTTGTTTGTGAATGAGTGTGTGCGAGAAAGAGGACGGGTTTTGGCGACAGCGCTGCTTGTTGGTAGCACCAGAGCCAGTGAGCAAAGACAGGAGAAGGTGGCATCTTATTTAGCCATCGGCGGCCTTGAAGTTTTGGGACTCTGTGACCATCATGGACAGAGAAGATATCGACGCGACCCCAAGGGTTCTGAGAGTGAGAAATCCGGAGTCGCAGGAGAAAGCAGAGGATGTGGATGGCTTATCACAGTTTGACGATGAAAAGGCTGCGAAGTTCTCACTGAGGTCACTTTCGGCTTCACTGTCTTCGATATGGGCCAGGAGGAAAGCCAGTACCAGCAACTCCTGTCCTCAGTCCGAGTCCAGCCAAGACCAAAGTTGGTCTGTCGCACCCGATCTGAATTTGGACCTGGACGACAGTCTACCTTCACGCAGCTGCGTCTCCTTCTCAACCTTCACTACCCGCAAATCTTCCTCTCGAGCGCTCAAGAAGAAGAGGCTGAGCTCCCAAAAGGACATCAAGGTAAGCAAGCACTTTTCCTCAGGCGTTGTGACCTCTTCACAAAGGATTTCCTGGGCTAAACTACCATAGACTTCTTCACAGACTTGCTCTTCTGTCTCCAAGCCAACTTACCGTCATCTCATCCATCCACAAACAGTTCACAGGCGATTTCCCATAGACGTGGAAGACGAGGTATGTGGCCGACAGGAGTCTAAGTCTCGTCATCGTCTGAAACTCCAAACTGATCATATCTTAACAGTCCTCATTGTACAGCTTTGCATCTTTCTCCACCGATCATTCCTCAAGACACTCAAGAAAGGCCCATCACGATCCAGCGAAGAGGCAGCCATACGCCGTCGGACAGACAATCTCATCAACCATGGCGTCAAATCTTCCCAACGGGGTCTACATGAATGGCTTCGCAACTGACGCAGAGAGACAAGCTATGGCACTGAATAATCACGTCACCGCCCATGCTGTTCAAGCACCCGCCTTTCAAGACATCTTACGTCTCCGTGACGCTCTCGCAGACGAGGCTTTTGAAACACCGTCTTTCCGGACTCCTTCTTACCAACATGGGCCACTAGTCAACGGGGAGACAGTACCGTCCGCTCCACCTCCCACTCTTGCCAGCGCAATTCACACTCAAGAGTCTGTTGATACCCCCATCGATCATGATCATATCCTGCCTCAGTCAGATGTCGGTCATTTTCGCGATAACTACGGCAACTTTGGAGGGAGCTACCATCGCAATCCTCTACGGCATCCACCGCCTGCACGCAACATTCGAATTGCCCCATTGCCAGCCATCGCGGCACTAAAAGTCGAGACTTTTGCATTCAATGTCTTGGAAACAGGTGCAAAATCAACCATGGCCACATATGTCACATTCGACCTTACCGCCGTCAAACAGAACAACATCGAGACGCAAGGGCGTGGCCTCCAAACTCAAGACCGGTCTTATCTCCTCATGGAGAATAACGAAGGTTCCTTGATTGATCTTCGTATCCAGACCAATGTCAATGGTCCTGCCAGCAAGCTCTTTGAGGTCGGGGTTGAAAAGATTCACAAGCTGTGTCACAAAGACCGCTGGAGTGTTTTGCTCAAGCTCGGCGCAAAAGAGAACACCCTGAGGTCCAGACTCTCCAGCTCCCTGCGATCAGACACTCGAGCAACATCATCCCTTTCATTGATCGACCAATTCCTGGCAAGCCTTAAGATGGACGGCAAGAGAGGCGAATCAGTCTCTGTCGAGGCAGTGATCAAGTATCGCCATGCATTTCTGCCGGACGATACGACTTTGGAGACTCGTGCCGTCTGCCACGTTGGCTCGCTCGCTTCCGCCTCGTCCATGGACGCCATTGAAGCCGGAGTGCTCGCAAGCTCCATTGTTCATGCCCTGGATCCAGGGGTCAACACTGTCAAGCTGCTCTCGGTCGAGCGATCAGAGCAACAGCACCATCTGGAGTTGGGTGGCGCCGAGGCGCTGGCACTCATCTACGACTTCCGACATGCGTTGGGCCATGTCGTTTCCGAATCGGTGACCTGGGACCTTGCGGTCCTAGAGACCTATTACCGACAAGTCCAGGTGTTGGAGTTTGCGTCTCCGCAGACTTCAACACCCCGAGATACCCTTCGCCGCCGTGTGGCAACGGTGGCGAAGAGGTTCTCGCCGAGGAAGTCTGGTGGTGCTGGCCCTGGCGCCGAGGGGCGCGTGGAATAGGATGCCACGGGGTGTGGCGTTGGCGCGGGCGGCGGTGTTGGCGGTGATGGCGTTGATGGTGCAAAGGGCGAGGACGAGGAGAGTGTTCATAGCATGGACGAGGCTGCCCTCGTGTGGCAGCATATGAGGGAGGCCTCCGGGCTGAGTGACGAGGCCGAGAGCCTCTACGAGACGGGAGTTTGGGGGCCGCCCTGGCTATGAGGGCTAATCAATTCTACATTCAATATGTCCTGTTTCCATTTCTTTCTTGCGTGACATTGTAGCTGGTAACGATCGCCTGTAGGTCGTGTAGTTTTCGGGCAGCGTGGGACAGATGGATTGTTTTGCGAATGATGCACGCAATGCCTTGCTCAGCAATGCCAGTCAGCATCCACATACATAGAGTCGTCGCTCACCCCGAGTGCAAGTGAGGCGCCGGCGCCGCTAGTGACGCTCTGGAGATGGAGGGATAGATGGAGGGATATAGGAATGGAGGCAGGGAGGGACGTTTGTGTGTATATATGGATATGAGTAAAAATGCGAAACGTATACTTGAGTACACTACTCCAGGGGACTCGAATCGAGAAATAGAACCGGATTATGGGAAGGGGATATGCATATATCAGGGACAGAATATAACGGGGTCTCGGGAGGGATACAAAATCCAGTCGTATCGTATCTTTTGATTGTCTCATTTGTCTCATTCTCTCATCTCATTCTCTGGTCCCTTTTCTTGTTTTTGGGAAAAGCACTTCTCTCATCTCCTGCCTTTCTGGTGGGGTTGCTCGTGGTCAGTACGGGAGGCCAGATATCGCGGTGGTGTGGCGGCTTGTTCATGTATGTTTTTGTCTGGCGCAGATGTCTGCGGAGATCCATTTGCGGCCGGCATACTCAGTCCAGAATGGCATCCATCAAATGGATCTCTGATCGACGCCTGTGGCTCTTCTCCACGGTTCAGGTTTCAGTGACCTCTGTGCCAGCCTCATTGTCTTCCTTCCTTTGTGTCTCAACCCCCTCCGGTGGACTCTTTTCTTCTATCGTGCCGTCCTTCCAGCTCACGGGGACCCCGTCATCTGTAAATCTCGCCCATTCGAACCACCCGCATCCCTCGCCGCCACCTGGCCTATTCCCAACCTGACACATCCACATATACCTACCCCGGTTAGCCCGCTGTTTCTGCACCGTTTTCAATACACAAGGGGTTCCGCATCTACACTTTGGGGTGTGTTTGGGGCGAAATTCTTCTCGGTACCACCTATAGGTGATGTTGATGCGCTTGTTACCAGCGATGGGATGGGGAGTGACAGTAGGGGCGGGTGCGATGCTGTGTTTCCACTCCTCCTGCATCTCAGCATGCATCACAAGGAGAGAGTTGTGGGGGAGATGAATTGCGATTTGGCCTGACTTGTCTGCTGCAGTGGTAGAGGTGCCTTCAGATTTGTCGGTTTCGTCAGGATCGTCCTTGGGCACCATCCGTCGAACGCGGAACTCTCTCGCAACCCCGAGACTCAAGCTCCCGATGATGGCCCGAGGCCCAAGATAGGAGAGTTGATCAGAATGGTAGCCCACATGTTGTGCGCCACCATCATAACAATTGACAAAGGCGGCGTTGGGTTTCCATACTTGGGGTGATTGGTATTTCAATTTTTTCCCTTCCGGGTAAAAATCACGAATCCGAGTGGCAATCTCCCTGTTCACAGCGTCACAAACCAGACCGCTGACTTGCTTCATGACAGGTAGAATCTCCCTGATATCTCCGAGATCATTGCCATTGTAGTAATATTCGCTCCTTTGTCGCTCCACATCTGCCAGGCTGTCGACGTAGAAACAAGCTGTGTGCGGGGACTTGACCACATTGTCAAAGATTTTGAACTGAATAGAGTCATAGCTGGGGACTTCAGCAAGGAGCTCTTCTAGAAGGGCGTTTGCAAGGCGGGAGGGAAGGAAATTGTGGATTATGGAACAAGGTGTGTGGTTAGCGATATCGTGCGGCGTGTAAAGGTGAAGAGTTTTGCCCTTTCTGGTCAGCGGTTGCTGCGATGTTGATTTTGATGGGCTCTTGTTCTCTAACGCATACGGGAGACCAGTCTGCATACTGGCCCCAGTCATTCGACGCTTGGATGGCGGAGAGGCATGCTGCTTGACAGTCGAGAGCGCCTTGATGGCAGCATCTACCGAGCCGTCACAGCCGAGCAGGATTTCCAGTAAGTCATCCTGAGACCTGTGTGGGTGCAGGGATGACAGAATTGCCAGTTTGACGTCGGTTGACTCTTCGTCCTCGTCGATCGGAGGTCTGGCATCGGCTCTGGTGGGAGACTCGCTCCGCAGCGGCGACACACGACGTCGCTTTCGCAAAGTGAACGGGTCCATGTTCGATGTGTCCTCGACTGGGGGCCATCATATGAATTTGAGACACGAGGCGACTCTTGAAGTATGTGTTGCAAAGCGCAGCCTGCAGAAAGTAAGTCGCCAACGTCGCCCCAAGAAATGAAACTCTTAGTAAACTCCAATACGCGCTGGTCGCGTGGGCGTGAAATGACGAAGGCAATAGCAACGGGAATAATGGCGGGGAGAAACCTCGGCCCGCAGCCAAGGTTCACCATCACCACCGCAGAGAATCATGGCAAGCATTCACTTTCACAGACTTCGAGCCTCACATTTTTACTCGACCCGGTCATTCACAAGCCGCCCGTCAAACGTTACCTCAATCTCCCTCAACAGACCTGGGGCTAGATGCGAACCTGGTCTTGCGTTCGACACATGCAGTGACAAGCTGGGCATGATGAGTGACGGTTCACCTCCGACACCAGACATTCATTATCAGTCATGCTAGAATACCGCACACAAGGCTTCCAAGGCTACGCAGTCAAATATTCTCCCTTCTTTGATAATCGCATAGCTGTTGCAGCAGCAGCAAATTATGGTCTCGTCGGAAATGGACGGCTGTATGCGCTGGAGCTGACAACTCACGGCATCGTGCCTTTGAAAGTGTACTGAGTTCTGACTCGATGAAAGAGGAATATTTGTGCTAATCGGTTCATCAGCTACCCTACACAAGATGCCCTCTACGATGTAACGCACTCCGAAGCCCATAGCTCCCATCTTCTCACTGCATCTGGCGATGGCGCACTGCGACTCTATGATACCTCCCTCGCTCCGGAATTTCCCATTGCAAAATTCGAAGAACATTCGCGGGAAGCCTTTTCGTGCAGTTGGAATCTCACTTCCAAGGCAACCTTTGCCTCGTCATCCTGGGACGGAAGTGTCAAGATATGGAGCCCCGAACGGCAGCAGAGCCTGCTAACACTACCGACCCATTCCTGCACGTACAGCGTCCAATGGAGTCCTCATACTGATGGGATGTTGAGCGCGGTATGCTCCGACAGCCATCTACGGGTGTGGGATTTGAGAACCCCGGCCAGTGCTAGTAACCATCTCGTGTTACAAATCCCTATTCATGCGCCACCCTTGTCAGCGGACGCTGGAGTCGGGAAGATCCAACCGACCTTCCCACCTGCTGAAGCACTCACTCACGATTGGAATAAATACCGCAGCCCAGTCGTTGCCACGGCCGGGGTTGACCGCATCATTCGAACATTTGATATCCGGCAGCCCAAGGGCCCGCTTCACTTGTTACAGGGACACGGCTACGCGGTGCGGAAAGTTGCATGGAGTCCACACCTCCCGGATCTACTACTCAGTGCCAGCTATGATATGACCTGTCGTGTCTGGACGGACGGAGGGGAGCAGGGAGGTCCCGCCAGAGAGCTCGGTACGATGGGTCGTCATACCGAGTTCGTGACCGGGGTCGACTGGTGTTTATTCGGGAGTGAAGGATGGGCTGCCAGTTGTGGTTGGGACGAGCTTCTCTGTGTCTGGGATGTGCGAACAGTCATGCGTCCTTGATTAGAGACGCGTATTACGCTGCAAACTGTGTGCTCGAAAACGAGGGTCTCATTGGATTGGGTTTCACGACAGGCGCCACCTTCAGGAATGGCTAACAGAATATTCTTCCTACGAGTGAAACAGAACAAAGCATGACGCCTCTCCCTACAGTCATCAACATCAGTTCGAAGTGGATATGACAGATACCCAATCTGAAACTCTTATGCATCATGGCTGATCTGACCCGGAATCAAGGTTCATCGCCGACTCATGTTACATCTTGCAATTCGAACAAGGCCTTCAACCGAGTCTCGACCTGTCGTTCGGCAGACGCTGGACGGAATGAGAAGATGGAGAACAAAGGATTGCCTTTGCAGTTTAGTCCCGAGCATCTAATCTCTTTTCCTCGCTCTTCGCCAACGTCTCCAACCAATCGGAGTGCCAAGACCTTCCGAAGTCATGGATGTTTGTCGATCCTCGACGTCTCTTCAACTTTTCTTTTTGCTTTCGTGCTCAACATCTACGCCTTGATAGGTGCCGGCAGCAAAACCTTATCTCGGCCACCCTTGTCCCTAGGGCGATTCCTTCACTTTGCTTGTTTACACTCCGCGTCCCTGAGAGCCTCATCCCTGACTCCTGGCATCTTATGCAGCCGCCGGTCTGGGGAAAGGTCCCGGATTGACCACTGATGTTCTCCGTTTCGAGTGCAGCGGGTACCTGCTTCAAGCAGAGCAGGGCTACAGCCTCTCCGTGGTTGATCGTTCCCTGTTGGCATCCTGGTCGGCCGAGGTTGGACACCCACTCTTGTTAAGCATATCGCATGCTGGGACAAACATGTTTTCCATTTCAGCTTGAAGCGGTGGAAATGATTGTTGAAGGATCATGTGGACTCTTGTTTGTGTTACAAAATCTGCACGTCGAACTCTGGCGTCGGATCCCATGAAGGTTCGGTGCCGGTCTTGAATACTATTTAAGGGTACGCGCAATCGTCGTTGACGAGACATGATCGAGGACTACGAGAAGGACTATTGGAAGAAGACATAGAGCTACCTCATCGCCTCGCTATCCTATTGCTACTGCACATCACGGTCTCAGACATCTCTTGATCGTATCCCTCAAGCCCACACTCTGACAGCACGCAGACAGAACGATGCAGCTCCCCAAGGTTCGATAACAGATTGGTGTCTCGTCCCAGCTTCTAATATACTCCCAGGCGCTAGCCAGCCTTCTCCTCGTCGCTCTGACTCCCGTTGTCCTCGCTCTCCCACCTGGCCTCACGCCCAGCAAACAGCCCGTGACCCCGTCCTTCTGGCCGCGCGAATTCCACGCTGCCCCGACGAAACGCCAACAACAATCCTGCGCCGAGACCTGCGGCGGCGTGTGCTACTTCCAGTCGACCATCGACGCCGCCGTGGCCAAGGGCTTCTCGCTCCACCAGGCCGGCCAGACCGAGGGCTCCGACGACTACCCGCACCAGTACAACAACTTTGAAGGCTTCGACTTTTCTGTCAGCGCGCCGTACTTTGAGTTCCCCATCCTCGACACGTTCAAGGTGTACAATGGCGGGTCGCCGGGGCCGGATCGTGTCATTTTCAATGACGATGGTGACTACGCGGGTGTCATTACGCATACGGGCGCCAGTGGTGATGATTTTGTCGCGTGTGAGGGGGATTTACCCTAGATTTCCATCGTGTCGTGTCTTGTCTTCTCTCGTCTCGCAAGGCTGAAGGGTGAAGGGTGAAGATTGAAGGTTGGCATTCGGATAGATCGACGGCAAGGAGGGTTCTCGCGACGAGGCTTTCAGGTCTTGCCTTCGAAATGGATGCATTCAACGGAGTGGAGCGGAGTAGAGTAAAATTTAGAGGTTGTCAGTATGGGAGCGAACTCCCTGTTGGGCGTTGGACAAAGTGATGTGTGAGCGCAATAGGATGGTTCTGTTATGTACGAGGCTCCTGATGGGTCTCTCCTCTGACTCTTTGCTGTGGGTACATGGTATTAGACTGGTTAGTCCATACTAGGGAGCAGTATAGAATGATTTCGCTCTGTTCCTCTATCGCAACAAGTCTAATGTTCGTAAGGTATATCCCGCTATGCTTGGTTCCCCTATTCACCAAATACGCATATATCGTAAAAATGAGGAGGAGAAGAGAGTAACGACGAAGACGAAGACAAGGACAAGGAGGATCATGCAACCCACCCTCACAAAGTCTTCACTGATTCACGCTGCTTTGACCCGTATCCATGTTGCAGCCCACCAATGCCACATCAATTAATCGTGTTCTCGTAGTATGTCATGTAGCCAGCAACTGCTCCCCAGAGGCAACACACCACACACCGCACCGCACCGCCGGGAGAAATGACAGGGACTCGTCTTGCTTGTAGGGGTTTCCCACTTAAAAACGATAGCGGGCATAAATCTTGTTGATAGAAAGGAGTACCGTGCCTCGTTGTCCATGGTATGATGATGAACACAAACCCACACTGCCCGGTCTGGTCGCAGAGGGAGGCCGAGATGGGTTGTGTATTCCAGAGCCCATTCCCTGTCCCTCTCCCTCTCCGGTTGGGGGTGAACTTCTGGTCTTTTTTTGGAAGGGGTTGGATTTTTCACTTCTCGCCCAACCGATTCTCCACGCCCTCTCTGACCTTCTTCCTCACTTCGGCCAGTTCCTCCTTGCTGGCGTCGTACCGGATATTGCCGGACTGGTTGAAGGGGTTCTCGTCCGACTTTTCAAACTCCTTCTTGATGAGCTCGATCTTCTGGTTGCGGCGCAGGCCGGGGCGCTCCTTGTCGATCTCGGGCAGCCGCCGCTCCTCGTACGCCTTGTACGCGGCCGGGAACCGCCGCTCCGGGTGCCTGTCCAGCTTCATGTCGTGGGGGGAGCTCGTCGTCAGGGACAGGGCGTCGAGCGCGTTGTCGATGCCGGACGCGTTGAGCGCCCTCTCCTTCCCGCCGGCGCCGCTGTCGTCGTCGAGCTGCGCCAGGTCCAGCGTGCCGCGGCTCTTCTTCTCGGCCGTCTTCTTGTTCGCGCCCTTGGGTTTGTCTCTCATGCCCTTCTCTTCTTCTGCGAGCATTGCCTCCCGCTCCGCCTTCTTCGCCGCTTGTTCGGCTGCCTTTACCGCGGCGGCCTGCTTCTTCGACGTGTCCTTGGCTCCTTGTTGCCATTTCTCCTCTTCGCGGGCGGCCGCAGATGCGTTGGCGGCTGCTTGCTTCTGCGCTGCCGCTTCGGCCTTGCGCGCGTTCCCCGCGACTTTCTTGGTGTTTTCGCCTTTTCCTTTTGGCGCCATTGCTGCTTCTACTTCTGCTCTTGTTGTTTCTGTTGCTGCTGCTGCTGCTGCCTGTCCGAAAGGTTTCCGGGGGCTGGTGGGGTTAGCGGTGGTGTTGGTGTTGTAGTAGTCCCCCTCGCCGCGGGGTGGAGGGGTCGAAGACGCTCGGGAGTCGAGGTACGCTTTGGTGGTGATGTAGGTCGTGATGTTGACAATCACGAAAATGCGGATGAACTGCGTAGGGGAGAAGATGAATGGATTATGAGGCATACATACAACAAGCGAAAATGTGGGCGAATATTAAATATGCTAGACTCTCTTGTGACTCGACCGGATTGGAGAATCGGAACAGGCGCAACTGGTGCCAACGCAGGACAGTCACGGTTATGACTCCTCCGACTTACCTTGGTGGTCGCCTTGCGCATTTTCCATCATATACTCAAAGTCGCCTTTTGATCTCTATAAGCCGTCTTATGATGTAATAATAGAACACGGCTTGAAAGTTTGTTCGGACGCTGGACTCGGACCCTGAGAATTTGGAAGTGGTACAGTAGATGCTCCTACGGGATTGTGGCTGGTATCAATTGTTTCTTTGCAAAAGCCCTTCCCTTCACCCCCGCCATTGCCAGGCCTGGCCCAGCCCATAAGCACCAAGAGGGTATCATATCTAGGAAAGCTCCTGGACTCCCAACGGTCAACCTGCACACTCTCACGGGACTTGGAGGGACAATGTATGCATGACCTGAACGCTGTCGCTTAAGACCTCAAATCAACCTCAAGGGCGTCCTCATCCCAGCGAAGCCCTGTCTCATGAACTTGTACTTGTTCGGCACGGTCTGGAGGCGTCGAAACGCCTCTCTGACATGCTTGGGCTCGACAGGTGTCCTGCCTTCCTCAGGCATCTCGAACAAACTGCACCCTTCCCGCTTCCGTTTCTTCGACGCGTCTTGATCGCCTCTGCCACCATTCAACTTCTTGTTCGCCATATCTTCGGCAGCTTTGACCTTCAAGGCCTCCTCTGTGAGAGTCTGGACAATCTCAAATGTCAAGAAGCCGAGAATATCAACTGCATCGTCATTTGGTCTGTTGTCAATGATCGTACCAAAGCCTGCCCATTCGCGAAATCGTTTGCCCTTGCGGAATGTGAAGCTGGCTTGACGGCAGTCGGACCAGTAGACATATTCATCCTTGGTCATGTTCTTGGTGCGTTCGTCGGCGGAAGCGAGGCGGGCGAGCGTGGCTTCATTCTGCTCCTCTTCCTCCTCGTCTTCTTCGTCGTCTCTTTCCGGTACTTGCTCAACGTAGAACGACTGGATCTCCCAGGGCAAGACTAGTTTGGCTTTCTTGGTCGTCGTAGTCTTCTGTGGTGCAGATGGGTTGACACCTCCTGATGCCTAAAGGCGCATGCATTCAGTCGTCTTTCCATCGAGTGACATATATATAAGAAATACCTACCTCGTCGAAATCGCCAACTTCAGCAGCGTCACCTCCACCTTTGTCATCTGAATCTTTGACATTCTTGCGGACATCCTTCCAAGAAAGAAAGGTCTTGAGTCTGGACACTTTTGCTCTATCGTGGCGAATCTGAAAAATAAGGTCGGCGATTGAGATAGTCTTGGAACCTCGACGGTTTGCAAGAGCAGTTGCTTGTGTTAGCTGTTTGTAAATTAGTAAGGTTGTAGATAATCCTGCGAGTGTGCCTGACCATTTCGATGACTTGCTCTCTCACAATTTCCTCAATCATCCAGGTTGTCTCTGTGCTTGGTTCGGCGGTCTCACCACTCACGAACATCATCTGTCCAATCCAATATATCAGCCTCTGCTTGAAGTCTTCGGGGCTTTCGAAGTCATCATCATTTCCAGGAGTGTCAGAAGCGGATGGAGTAGTAGAGCGAGGGCTTCCTTCTGGGGACACACTGCCTTCTGCCGACGTGTCTAGGTCATTTGCGAGAATGAGAGGTCCGTAAGCGCCTCCTCCAGCATCCTCAAGTAGCTGATCCGCCATGATGTTGTCGGGCTCCGATTCTGCTCCAAGTTGGATGTGGCTATCAGACGAACAGATCGGGTGGTTGTTGATTCTTGAGGCTTTGTGCTGGCAGCTGCATGATATTTAAGGCAAGCATCATAAGTTGGGCTTCCCCGTCGCCAGGCAGTGAAATCAAGCAGAGGGTCCGGTCGATGTGACAGGCGTACTCGACACGTCTTCGTGGATACAAGTAAAGTGAATACTTCTAGTCCAAAGTTGATGGTCGAGATCACGGTACACAGTTCTTCCCAATACCACCGGAATAGAGGTGATAACTTCGTCTTCGGCCAGAGGTAGTACCCTAGTATGGATCCTGCTCCCAAGCTCCTTCTAGTTCTGATATCCAGGGAGTGATTTGTCGGTGTCTCCAACGGTCCGGTACTATCCTGGAAGGACATGATACAACAGAGAAAGACGCTTACCTGCTGGATTTCCTGCCGGTACTTAGCTGGTCTCTCACCCGCCATCTTGACTACCCTGACTCCTGAGCCCGCCCAGTCAAGTTTCTTCGTTCAGCAGTTTGTCTGATCTGGCTCTGTTTATTTTTGTTCGAATAGGCTGAGGATAGCGACTGTTGTGCCTGGGGCCTGGCTCTGATGCTATGAGGATGAAAGAAGCGCTGGTTGATGAAAAAACGATGACAGGGATGGCCAGCCTGAGAAGACTGAGAGGGTTGGAAGTGACAATCTGCCCGCCGACTTCCCCGAGGTTGTGCCGCGCCGTCACTGATATTTTGCCGTTTGTCTGCGCCCACCAGACTTATTGATGCTACTCTGGGTTACTTCTGTCAACTTACTTACTTGACCACATTTTTCGTGATAATAAGCCACTATGCTCTACCTTGTTGGTCTTGGTCTCGCCGATGAGACGGATATCACTGTCAAAGGACTGGAAGTTGTGAAGCGCGCTGCCAGAGTCTACCTTGAGGCATACACTAGCATTCTACACGTTGGAAAGGATAAGTTGGTATGTGCAGACACATTTTCCCGTTATCATTTTTTCTTTTGAATCGTTTGTCGCATATCTCGCTGACACGACTCTTGTCTGACAGTGAAGGTAGGAGTCATTCTATGGACGACCCGTAATTGTAGCGGACCGCGAAATGGTCGAGTCCTCCAGCGACGAGATCCTGGAAGGAGCAGACAAGGCAGACATTGCTTTCCTGGTTGTTGGTGATCCTTTTGGGTAGGATGGCACATCATGCAACTATTGGTCACTTTTCTAACGAGGCTTGCAGAGCTACAACTCACACAGATCTCGTCCTTCGAGCCCATGAGCTCTCTATCCCTGTCAAATCTATTCCCAATGCCTCTATTCTCAATGCCATTGGTGCAACTGGTCTCCAGCTCTATAATTTTGGCCAGACTGTCTCCATGGTTTTCTTTACCGAGAATTGGAGACCAGCCAGCTTCTACGATCGCATTCGAGAGAATGCCTCAATCGGCTTGCACACTTTATTGTTACTGGACATCAAGGTGAAAGAACAGTCACTTGAGAACATGGCAAGAGGAAGAAAGATCTACGAGCCTCCCCGGTACATGACTGTTATGCAGTGCGCCCAGCAGATGCTGGAAATAGAGGATGAGAAAAAACAACACGTCTATGCTGAAGACAGTTTGGCCATCGGCTGTGCGAGAGTCGGTGCAGATGACCAACAATTTGCTTGTGGAACACTAAGAGAGCTATGTGATGTTGATCTAGGCGCTCCGCTCCACAGCCTCGTGCTTCTTGGTAAAAGAGCGCATGAGTTGGAGAAGGACTATATCAAAAAGTTTGCTGTAAATGCAGAGACTTTTGAGCAGAGTTGGAAGAAGTACCATGACAGGAGCCAGTGAGGTTCGACTGTGCTCGTGTGGACGAGGTGGACAGACTCTGGTAAACGCGGTGAATATACGGCGAGCTCGGGGCTGTCCTGGGCAAACCCACCAGCCAAGCGTGAATAGTCACGCTCATTTAGGTCTGCTGCTAAGTTTGCAGTTCTCAACAACCACAAGGTTGACGGCGATGGGAAGATCAAGCCGTTCAGGCGCGAGTGCCTTTTCAAGGAGTGCATTAAGGCGCAACCTTCACCACTCTACTGACTGACTTCAAGCTGGGTTGTCTCTACCTCAATTGCCGGTTGTAGACGGGGCCATATGTACCCGGCAAGAGTGAATCACAAGGTCAGGCTGCGCGGGACCGATCCTTGACAAGAAACGATCTTTGACAACGAGATGAATGCAATTGGTCCGGTGATTAGATCCTAGGCCAGTGACTATGAGAGTCAGACATGTTGGTACGTGAAGATACGTAGGCAAAGCGAAGATTGTCCCTGCATTGGGTTAGCAGGGGGGTGGAATACTCTCTGTATTGGACCCTCACCCGTCTCGCTTGATAACAAGGCTGCAAATAAGGAGGAGGGGAACAAGTAGTCGACGGTCGACGAGCGGCAGTAGCACCGCTTAGCACGTGGTTTAGGCTCGATGGGACTCGTTTCCCCGATCCCTCCGGCCCTGGACGATCTCTTCTCGTAAGTTCCTTCCACACTCGGCCCAGCTTTTTGGCGGACTGCTGCAGCTCTTCTGTTGTACATTGCACCCACATTGTGCGACACAGATCTTGCGTTCTGCCCTAGTACTTGACGGGATCGGTGTGAGAGAACGGAGGAAGGAGGAGTCCCTGGCTTGTGCCCGTACAAGCAGCAGTCTTCAACTTGTTTCACCGACCGAAACAAAAAAAGACCCATTGAAACATGCCTGTACATCGACTACTACTCAACATGCTAGCTTATCCACATTTACGTGTATATGTCTAAGCTACGCATCGTTCGCTTTCAGCAAAAGCAAAACCAAAGTCATCTCCGCAGTGGCTTGGCCTTCTTTGTATCGCATTTCCCACGACCACCGCCGAACCCCACTCCTCTTGATCGTACCACCGTCCTGCTCATCCTGCCGACCAGAGTTCCCAAAGGCTGTCGTTTCGCAGCAAAGTGAAATTACCTGCAGGCAGGAAAAGAGAAAACAATGCCCGTCTACCTTGTCCATGGCTTCCGCTGGCCGCGCGAGGGCTTCACGGGCATTCGTGTACATGCCGTCCTGCACAACCTCGACGATTGCAGTGTCGAATACATTCAAAACTCCAACTCGCGCGAAGAGATCCTGCGTTCCTTTCGCGAGATATACCCCGAAATAATGAAAGAACTTGACCACACCGATGTGAACCCAGCAGCGACGAGGAGGCTGGAATTTATCGAGCAATACAATCCGGACGATCTGGAGGGACCCTACGCGGTGAGCCAACCATACGCTTTTGTGGGAGACAAAGTCGTGGTGATCGCGGCAGGACCGGGCATGGGTTTGGCTGGACCTGGTGTAGCGCAGGCAAAAGCATATCACCATGTTGCGACGGAAGTAGAACCTGCCCAGTCTCCGCAGAGGAAACAACGCGCCACAACGTTGCCCATGTCCAAACCGGCACCCTTCAACTCGCCAGCGGATACCACGGCGCTGAGTGTCAACCTGGATGAGGTTGTCGCCGATGGCCCTGGCCTAACGAATAAAGCGTGGGAAGCGCTAGCAGATCTGAGAGACAAGATCGCAGAGGGGGAGAAGATCGGATGGTGGGTCGTCTACAACGGTGACCCGGAACGGTCGTTTGATGATGCCGAAGATGAGGAGGACGAGCAAGAAGACGAAGAAATGGAAGACGTGGCCGAGGAAGACGAAGACAGAGAACAAAAGGAAACTCTCACTCCTATTGCTTCTCCTGTTGCTTCTCCTATTTCGCCTCCGCCTGTCGCTGCTGCTGCTGCTTCCGCTTTGACTTCATCGAAGAGAGGACATCGTCCCAGCCCCAGCGACTCACTTCCGATTCCCACATCCACCATGACGAACTATCCAACATCGAATCCGTCGGTGGCACCCATCCATGCCGCATCACAACATATAGCCTCCCAACAGAAGCAGCAACAGTCTCCGCAACAGCCGCAGCTTCAATATCAAGACGGAGGCTCACCGGGCCTGACGGCCTTACCTGTCCGACCCACACCCCCATCATCAACGGGACCCGGGACGCGGCCAAACACAGCATCCGCAGCCTCGGAGGCCAGCAAGGGCAAGCACAGGGAAAAGGAAAAGGACCTCCTGGAAGATCCAACCAGAGCCAAGGACGCATCCAGGCCACAGGGGTTGAGAAAGAAATTCTTTGGAAGAAGGACATGAACGAATCGTTGTCCATGAAAATTAATGACTTGACGATTCTGACGAATACTAACGCATGATGCAAGGAACCGCGAGATTGAAAATTTCAATAGACCAAAAGCTGGACGGATTCCCACGAACCGACATTCACCTTGAAGCAAAGCCGTTGTTTGTCTATATTATTACTTTGGATTTTTGACCAAAATGTCCTACCTCGCATCACCGTGCCGGAATCAGGCAAGATAATATTGGCAGGAGGACTGGCTGTGCTTGCCTCCAGGAAGCGCAGGTAACATTGCCCCCGTGGATCAGGCATGCAAGCTGCCTGACTACAATGATGACACTCGTCATTTATCATATTGAAGCGTTTGTATCAGGACGCAATCCTGCTACGCGTGTCTCGAACTGGTTGGCGGCCTTGGCTTAGGGCTGCCATTCAAGCACGGAATCAATGCCTTTGGGACTACAAAGTGGTCCACAACGCGGCATGGAGACACGCACTTTTCGGGTTGGAAGGGGGGAGATAGTACGAACTTACCCAGCTCCTATTTTCTAATCACTCGAGGGCCAAACTCTACCAGACAGGTCCAAAGTGGATTTACAGCAGACCAAGGGGATCTGTCCAGCTGCAAGAGACGCTAGTAGCATGCGATCTGGACGTGAACGGGGTTGGAAGCCTTGGAATGTCTCGGCCACGCGACTTCAGAGCCAGATAGAGCAGGTCAAACTCACCTACGGAAGCTGGAAGACGTTATGCGCAGGGAAAGTTGGTGGAAGCAGATCTGAGTCGGAGAACTCCTGAGACCATGAAGTGAGATGGTTTCCTCGTTGATGGCCAGCCTCAAATCAGTACTGTGAAAATAAAAGGTCGAGAGTCGGTGGTGTCCTTTGGTCCGATTCGGAGTAACACAGAAGACGTCCAGACTATGACCTTATGAAGTTCTCTCGGGTATCAAATGGCTTTCATGTCGTACCTCTGTCATGAAGGTCCGAAACAGTAGGGGGTTGTCCCATCCATTACAGAAGGAGTCCACGCAGAGAAAAGTTGAACCAATCCGGCTTTGAGATCCTTTCCCATAGTGCAAAGCACTGAAGTTGCAACCGAAATCACCGAAACAATTTTGTTGTGACAATCTTCCGCGCAGTGGTCACCCGGGTCCGACAAGTACAGAGTAAGTGACCTCCTGCGGCATACAAACTTTCCTTTGGCTCCTGCATCGTCATGGCCTCGTCTGTCTCTCAAACCAGGAAAACTGAGCTGCTTTTTCGGCCTTCCTTGAACCTGGAGTGGTTAGATGTTAAGAGATCCTTGTGATCCCCGCTAGTATCGTCGATCGTCGTAGCCACCACCATAGCCACCTGGATAGCCGTAGCGTGGGGGTGATCTGGGCCTGCCGTACGGATCACCACGCACGTATGGATCTCCATAGCCTCGGATCGGTGGCGGTGGCGGGCCACGAGGATCATAAGGATCCGGATCGTATCTCCTCGGTGGTGGTGGTCCATAGTCCCGTGGCGGCGGAGTGCGCCTCCCATAGCCTCGGTCATAGTAGTCGTCAATGGGTGGGCGACGTCCAGGCGAGCGTTCACGATAGCCTCGGGGACTCCAGCCTCGTGGAGGTCCGCGGCGATCGTAGTCATCTCCGGGTCCGTATCGGCCTCGAGCCGGAGATCTCTGTCGATAGGCGCGGTTGTCCGGTCTTTCCTCTTGAATCTGGGCGAACATGTTAGGTGACATTACAAAGGGCAATGGCAGGTGATACGTACGTCAGGTGTGCAGTGGACAGTCGCTCCCTTAAATGTCTGTCCATCTAGTTTCTCCACAGCAGTCTTGAGGTCGGACGAGGTTTCGAATTCCACAAACCTTGGGCGAATGGTGAGCAGATGCAGAGTGAGAAGGAAGGTCTAGATTACCCTTTGCCATCACGGTCACGGCCAGTCTCTGAGTAGACGACGTCCAGTTGGCCCGAGCTTCGTGCAAAGTCCTTGAGGTCCTGGAATATGGTGAGCAGGTTTCTGCGGAGGGTAGGTCGAATGAGGAAGCAGGATGTGGTGAGAGATAACGCCGAACAAGTTCTTCTCGACCAGCCAAATATAGAGTATCCCGAGCTCAACGCATTATCTCTTCGAGCAGGACCAGGCATCATGAAATCTCGGCCAGCTCCAAGGAATGGGTACCAAGAATCAAGGTGTACAGTAGTCCCATCGGTAATCTCTAATCCAAACGGAATTGTAAAAAAAAAAATGCAGCAGAATGGGAATTCTAACCTGCCAACTGGTGTCCGGCTGCAGTCCAGTAATCTGCATGCGAAAGACGGTGCGACGTGGTCGAGGGACGTTGCGATCAGAAGGACCAGCGAAGTCATCTTTCCGGCGCGGGCCTCTAGCAAACTGCACAGTGAGACGCTCGCCTTTGAACATGGTTCCATCTATTGTCTTGTCAGGAAGGGCCATGGGAGGAGAGGGAAGAAAGGGAGAGGGAGGCCATACGGAACGCTGTTAGAAAGTTAGCGCATTAACGTCGGTCTGTTGGTAAAGAGGGCTTACCTGGAACAACGTCTCGCGCATCCATAGCGTCCTCGTACTCAATAAAACCAAAACCATTCATGAGCTTGATCTCTTTAATAGAGCCAGTGCCATGAGTGCCAAAGTGCTCCTCGATGTCCTGTTTAGTGACTGGAAGGGAGAAACTGAGAGTCAGCGACTGGTGCAGTCCCGGGACAGGCGGTGAGCGGGTCCAGGATTCAATGTTCAGGGTTCAGCTATCCTCCAAGCATGTAAAAGTGTCCAGGAAGACCAAAAGAGGGAGAACGGATGGATGTGAGCATACTGTTGCGCGGAAGGTTGCCCAGATAGAGCCGGGTAGACGAAACGTCGGCCATGGTGGACTCGGGCCTGCAAAGAAGTCCGGACGACGATCCAAGCAGGTTGCGACTGTGATGCAGTGGTCAAGAGCCGCAGGATAGACCTAGTTGGCCGGCAGGACACAAGCCCAGGTGTAGAGTGAGGCGGAGACGACAGAGCCCAGCAGGGACAGGGGAACCAACAAACAGGCGGGTGTGACGGGGGCGGAAGGTGTGATAGTACTTAAATTGCCACAAGAAAGGGGCGACAAGATGGGAGAATTCAGAAAGTGATAGACATGCACCCAGCATGCGGTGGTGAAGAAGGCAGAAGGTGGGAAGACGAAAGGCGGAAACGTGGAAGTGGGAGTTGGAAGGTCAGTCGCGGTCTAGTTTGCAACCTCGCTGGGGAGCTTTGCCTCACTTCGAGGTGGTGGTGCCAAGCCCAACCGCCAACATGGCTGCACCAACTGCACCAAATATGGGGTTTGGGGGTTGAGTGGCTGCGTGGCAGCCCATTTTTCAGTCCCTTGCACCATCCACCATCCATCAGCCAATCACTTCAACTCTTCCAGCGTCCTTTCGTTCGTCTCTGCCTCCATCAAACACCGTCCAACACCCTCGAGTCTATCATTGCCTCTCGAGGTCTCTCCAGCTCTCATGTCCGAGAACGCAGACGGCACCTTCTGGCGTTCAGTAGTAGATCAGTTACAAAGTTGCGACCAAGATGATCCTATTCAGAAATGCTTCCAACACGGTGTGGGCAAGAATGTGATGGATCAGGTTGACGAGCTCTTCAGCTTAGCAGACCAAAAACTCCATACTTTTCCCTTCAAGGATGTCCAGCCCTGTTGGTTTCGTCTCTACACTGACACCAGTATCGCCAAAGTGCTGAAATTGCTTGGCCTAATCAACCCCCCGGCCCAGAAAGATTGGAGCCTATCCAAACCTCTGAAAACTCATGTCGATGAGATTGTGTCCATATTAGACATGTCGTTAATAATGGCCGGAGGGTTGGGAAGGGAACAGATGATTCACGACATCTTTGCTAGATTACAAACTGGAAGTGTAAGTGACGAAGAAGACAAGACACGCCCACGAAAGAGAAGGCGAATCGACGGTAACTCTGGGTTGGGCGGATCTCCCGACCATCTCCCTGCAGCGAACGTCTCCATGCCTACCATTGAATTTCCCATTGTACAAATGGATCGTCCGACCCTCACAAAGTTCTCTCAGCATATCCTGCAGATACGAGAACCTGTGGTCTTGACAAATACCATGAATCACTGGCCAGCTCTCGAGAAATGGCAGCGTACCTCCTTTTGGCTCGATGCCACGATTGGCGGTCGTCGTCTCGTCCCGATCGAAGTTGGGCGGAGCTACACTGACGACGACTGGAGCCAAAAGATTGTGCCCTTCGAAGAATTCTTACGTCTCTACATACTGCAGTCGGGGGATAATGAAGCTTGTGAAGTTATTGGAGATGAATTCCAAACAGGCTATCTAGCGCAGCACGATCTTTTTAAACAGATCCCAGCTCTTCGAAACGACATTGCAACCCCGGATTATTGCTATCTGGATGCTCCTCCTGCTGAACCTGACACGCCAGTGGCCTTGAGCAAGGCAAAGGAGCACAGGAAGAAGACAAGTCATCCCAAGACCACTCATACTGCCCAGGGTCCGTTCGACAATGGTTCTGATGAGCCAGAGCTTGAAAACGAGGTCCAGGCTAATATCTGGTTTGGCCCAGCATGGACGATCTCACCACTCCATCACGACCCATACCATAATATCCTGTGCCAGGTTGTGGGACGAAAGTACGTGAGACTGTATTCCCCACGTCACAGCAATGAATTACTGCCTAGACGCGAAGATGAGCCCGCTCCTCACGTACTCTCTGCTGGAAGAGCAGACGGGGTAAACGGTGCCGTAAAAGACGGAGAGCAGCAGGGTGAAACCATTGACATGTCAAACACGTCGCAAATTGACATCGCCGCAATGGAATTGTCCCCTCTCGAAGACTGGGACGAGGTTTATCCCGGAATTAGCAAAGTGCCCTACGTCGAATGTATTCTCGAAGCTGGCCAAGCGCTCTATATACCGATCGGATGGTGGCACTACGTGCGGAGCTGTTCCGTTGGGATATCTGTGAGCTTTTGGTGGTGATGAGCCAAGGACATACGGTGACATTGGTGACATGGCGAAATCAGTCAGACGATGATCGGCTTTACCTAGCTAGGTGGTCGGTGTGCCCCGATCGACTGGAGAGCACAGACCCGCCCATGCGAACAACGAAATGGAGGCATTCCTAGCCCATCTTTGACCCAGCCGCCACTCCTGGGCCTATCGAGGGATTTTACGCTGTGTTATTGTTGGTCGCTGGAACACAATACAGGCACCCAACAGGCGAAAGCACACGTGCTGAGCACGCAGGTCCAGACTCCGATATGCAGAAGTCAGAAAGTGCGTCTATTCTAACGATAACGTTCGATGACGAGGGTGTTTGAATGGAGCACCTCGCGTGCTCATCCCTCAAAAGGGAACGCCTAGCTGGAGCTTGACAGGGGTGCCAACTTTTGGCCCTCGATCGTGGGCTCTGGCTGGGTGGATTGTTATCAGTGAGCTAAGAACCCTCCGATCGTCTGCAACCCTGCTTGCAACTATCTTTTGAGCTGTGGGTTATAAAGATAATGATGTCTGCCAGTTGCTGGAGCTCTCGACACGACTGACCGACTTCACGGGCGACTTTTCCTGTGCAACGCTCTTGCAGACACAGGCCGAGTTCTTGTTCCCAGTCCCACCCCCGCATTCTCCAGGAATACAAGCTCGAAGACTATCGCTGGTTGGCCGCGATCCGCCCGAGCGCCCAGCATGACGGACACCGAGAACGCGGGCACTGCCGCCCGGACCATGTCCAAGGATGAAGGCCGTCTGCGCGAACTCGGATACAAGCAGGAACTAAAGCGTGACTGGTCGATGATTCACAACTTTGGTGTCTCGTTCTCTATTATTTCTGTCATTACTGGTATAACGACGCTGTTCAGCTATGGGTTGAATACTGGCGGGCCGGGTGTCATGTCCTGTGGCTGGCTGGTTGTTTCGTTCTTCACCATGTTCGTCGGACTCGGCATGGCTGAAATTGTTTCTGCGATACCAAGTGCTGGAGGGCCATACTTCTGGGCCGCAATTCTGGCACCCAAGGCATGGGCTCCGTTCGCGAGTTGGGTTACAGGATGGTTCAATCTGCTGGGCCAAGTCGCCGTCACCACAGGCATCACTTTTGGCTGTGCAGGCCTGATTTCCACCTTGGCAAGTATCAACGGTTACGAGCCAACGGCAGGCAGAACTCTGGGCATCTATGCGGCGCTTTTGACCTCGCATGGCATAGTCAATTCGTTTGGCGTACACATTCTGCGGTACTTGAACAACAGCTCCATCGTTCTGCATTCTCTGGGAGTTTTCAGTTTCGCCGTGGCGGTTGTGGCTAAGGCTCCTCATCATCAGTCTGCCAAATTTGTGTTTGCCACGTTCTACGATGGCACTGGTGATCCAGGCTGGTCCGTCCGGGCATCTTCAGCCTACGTTGCCTGCATTGGTATCCTGATGTCACAATATACCATTACCGGGTTTGATGCTAGGTAGGCCATCTCTAACGCAGCGACAAGGTCCAATACTAACCTGTGATAGTGCGCATCTGTCCGAGGAGACGCAAAATGCGTCCTGGTCGGCGCCCATCGGTGTTCTCATGTCGATTGGCTGCTCTGCTGTGTTCGGATGGTTTCTGATCCTATGCCTTTTATTCAGCATCCAGGATTTCCAAGCCACCATCGGCTCGGACTACGGTCAACCGGTTCTGCAGATCCTGGTCGATGTCTTTGGCAAGACAAGCGCCATCGTGCTCTTTGTCCTGATTATCGTGTGCGTTTGGCACTGTGGTCTGTTCAGCCTGACCTCCAACTCGCGAATGATGTTCAGCTTTGCTCGTGATGGCGGCATCCCTCACTTCTTTCATAAAGTGGATGCACGATTCCGCAGTCCCATCCGTGCTATCTGGCTGGCTGCGACCCTGGCATTCCTTCTGGCCATTCCCAGTCTTGGATCATCAGTCGCATTTGCGGCGGCCACTTCGATCGCCACCATTGGCCTCTATCTATCGTATGGGCTTCCTATCTTGATCGGCGTGATCAACCCCCAGGGCTTCATTCACGGGCCTTTCAATCTCAAATGGGCCTCACGACCCGTGGCCCTGATCGCCTGCTTGTGGATTGGTTTTATTACCATCGTCTTCTGCCTGCCAGAGCTCAATCCTGTTAATTCACAGACGCTCAATTACACTCCGGTCGCGGTGGGGATCATCGCGGTATGGTGTTTGGGCAGTTGGTTCTTGTGGGCTAGAAAGTGGTTCAAAGGACCCATTCGACAAGTGGAGGCTGAGGTTGCCGGAGTCAATGTTGATGATCCTGATGCTATGGACCGAGCTGAGCGAGAAGGGAGGATTCCTCAACTCGACGACTCTCAAGGTGGCAACGAGAAGAGCCTGCTGGCCACTATGAAGCAAAATTACAATTGAGCACGAAGATTGGGGATCATAATCCGAGTGGTTAGGTATGGTATGGTTGATATGTATTGAAGCTAGATATTCTGCAACGGAGCTTTTGGTTGAATCGTAATGAGACATGAACAAGAAATACCCAGTCGGTGCTTTTAACTTGCTCTCGAGGCTCTCCTTCTACTTTGGTCATCGTGGACCTGGCACCGACATTCGGGGTTCCACTGCCATGAATCCAAACTTTGACCTGGCAATCCACAGCGGGGTTAACGAGAAGGACACGAGGTGGGGGACCTGAAGCTGTCCTGGACGGTAATCTGTAAAATATAGTTACGTCGCTTCGTATACTGCTGCCTGATGGCTTGGACTGATGCTGCTGCTGCTGATGATGATCCCATTATTCTTACATGGAACCTTTCTATCTGGTGAGAAGTAAGATGGCTATCGTAAGATGGTGAGAAGCCGAAAACGACGTATTCGTAAACACGGTCGAACGGTCGAACTATGTTCAATGAGCATTTTCTTGGTAAATTCAACCCAAGCCCGTTCAATCCAAGACTATATATGCATGACCCAAGACCCGGGAGGAAAAGACCCAAGGCTCAAGACTCAAGACTCAGGGTACGATTGAATACGAAAAGAAATGATGAAGTAAGTAGTAAAGTGAATGAGGATAAGAGTTTCTTGGTCTGGGCGAGGCATCCCAAGGCATTCCAAGTTCTCAAGGCATCAGTCAGCGATGGATGGGATGGCCAACGGCTGGGTACAGATGGGTTCGTGTTGGTGTTTTGCGTTGGAGAACACTCCCATCTAGCCGAAGAACCACCACTATGGGGTCATTAGGATTGGCGTTTGCTTATGTACATAACTACTTGATGTATGATACCGAGTTATGTCCTAGGTGCCTTAGCCGCCTCTTGAGGGGGTCCCATTTCCGTTCTCGACAGCCCATGAGGAGGGGGAGTTGAGTATTTAATATGTAAGAACATTATTATGGGATGCCATGTACCTCGTACCGAATGGTGATATATATCCTGTCTGGCTGCTGCTGACTGCGGGCCGCTACCCACCCCTTTTTCGAGGTATCTATTGTATCAAGATCCTTGTAACCAGCATTATCCGGTGTTTAATATATCTCTGAACAAACTGGTCCTCAGAGATACCTTGGAGGGACCTGGTTTGTGTTCTGGTCGATAACCAAAGACCTATCCTTGCATTGAACACATCATATCACATCACATCACATAACATCGCATAAAACAGCGAGTTGGGCACGAGGTCACTTAGTTACTTGAGGTACATAGGCAGGTAGTTGGTCATTATGGGCTCGACCACCGCACAATCCTCCAAGCGGACCGTCACCGCCGACGACATCTCGAGTCTCAAGTCGCTGTTGACGTCGACCAAGGCCGCCGTCCTCACCCCCCAGGATGCATCCTACGCCGCGTCGATCAAGCGCTGGTCCAACGCGGCCGAGAAGCCCGCGGGCGTGGTCGTCGTCCCCACCACGGCGGACGAGGTCGCCGTCGCGGTCAAGTTCGCGGCCGACAAGGGCATCGACCTGGCCGTCAAGGGCGGCGGCCATTCGACAGCCGGCGTCAGCAGCACCCACGGCGGGTTGCTGATTGATCTGAATACCGGCATGAAGCGCGTCGAGGTCGATCTCGACAGGAAGGTCTTCCTCATCCAGGGCGGCGCTGCGTGGGGGGACGTCGACCAGGCTGGCGTGAAGCACGGGCTGGCCACCGTGGGCGGCACGGTCGCCGACACGGGCGTCGGCGGGCTGACTCTCGGTGGTGGCTACGGGTGGCTCTCGGGCCAGCGGGGCCTGGCCATCGACAACCTGGTCGAATGCACCGTCGTGCTCGCGACGGGGGAGATCAAGACGGCCAGCGCCCAGGAGAACCCGGACCTGTTCTGGGCGCTGCAGGGCGCGGGACAGAACTTTGGCGTCGTCACCGAGTTCGTCCTCAAGGCGTACGACCAGGGCGACGTCTTCGCCGGCATGCTCATGTACGCGCCCACGCCGGAGAACATCGAGAAGGTCGTCAAGGCCACCAACGACCTGTACACGCCCGACGAGCACGGCAAGACCAAGGTCGCCGGCCGGGGCGCCGGCGGAATCGCGTTCGCTCGACCACCCCCCGCGCAGGGCCAGGTCATGCTGATGGCCGTGGTCATCTATTTTGGCAGCGAGGCCGAGGCCAAGGCGCAGTACAAGGCGCTGTACGACATCGGCCCGGTGGTCGACACGACGGCCACGGTGGCGTACCCGGTCATCAACACGGTGCTGGCGCCGCCGATCGGCCTGCGCGCCAGCATGAAGGGCACGGCGTTCACGATGCCGCTGCGCGCCGGGTTTGTCGAGGAGATCCGCCGCGAGTACACGGCCTTCACCGACGGCAACGACGACACGGGCATCAGCCTCGTGCTCTTCGAGGTCTACGACCCCAGCCAGGTCGTCGCGCACGACGCCGGCAGCTTCGCCAACCGCGGCTGGCACCTCAACGGCATGGTCTGCCCCATCTGGACCAAGCCCGAGCACGACGCCTCCTGTCGCCAGTGGGCCAGGGACTTGACCGCGCTGTTCAAGCGCGAGCTGGAGGACCAGGCCAAGCAGGCTGGCAAAGGCGTGGACGGGGGCGTGGGACTCAAGGGGAACAAGGGCGCCACGATGCTCTATGGGAATTATGACCGTGAGTTTTTTGCCCCTCTTTCCTTTTACCCCCCTGTCTTGGGTTTTTTTGATACACTATTCATTCCCATAAATCTCCATCCTCCCAGCATTGTACCTATTTAAAACTAGTTACCTAACTAACCGATCCTCGCTTGGGTGTGTGCTAGAATATGACGAAAAATCCCGCGACATCTTCGGCGACAACTACCCGCGCCTGCAGCGGCTCAAGGCCCAGTACGACCCGGGGAACGTGTTCAACAAGCTCTTTGCGGTCACGCCGCAGGCTTAATCGATATATATATCATATATCATAAACTGGGAGAGGGATAGACAGAGGGGGAAGGGGGGAGTAGAGGAACGAGGAACGAAAGGGAGAGAGGAAAAGGAGAGAAGATCATATGCAGATATATATGCTCGTTATTCTATATTCAGTAGATTCTACCTCACCACATTCAGGATCTACCTGTCCAGTCCGTCTTGATAGTGCAATGTCCTTGTATCCATGCAGCTACCTCCAAGTAAGTGGATTGAGAGACAGAGAGGCAGGCTCATCATGCCACACACGTCTCGTGACTATGGGACTATGGAATTGTGGGACTGTACGAGTATATCTGATCTGTTGAATGTACCTTGTATGTATGGATTCATTCTATCAAGATAACTCATTATCCACGTTAGATATCTGTGCCATTTTTAGACATGAATATCATCTTGAAAATATCAGGTTTAATCTCATCGTCATTCTTAATGGCAATCTCACTCTGGACGACAATTTCAATGTAAATCTCAAATGACTATGACTATGACCATGACAATTCAATGCTTAATCACAATCTTGCCGCCCGCGTCATGGCTGTCCAGCAACGCATGCGCCTTCTGTATATCCCTGTATTCAAACACATGCGTCGGCCGTGCGTCCCACTCCCCCCTCTCGATTTTGTCCGCAATCTCTTGCAGGGGAATCTTCTCCATAGGAAAGTCATCCGTGCCTAGCACTTTGCTGTGGAACAGGCTAAAGTGTACGCCCGGCTCCATCTCGATCATAGGGTTAAAGTCCTTGACGGGCGTGAGACCACCCAGCCATCCGGCTTGAAGCATCCGGCCCCCCGCGCGGGTGAGGCGGAGGGAGTCGAGCAGGGCGACGTTGCCGATCAGGTTGAGCGTCTTGTCGAATTTGTGGTCGGGGAGGAAGCGCTGGCTGAGCGGGTTTTCTTCGAGGACCGCGTCTTCCACGCCCATCTTCGTCAACATGTCGAACCGCTCCTGTCGTCTCGTGGTTGCTGTCACTTTGGTCCCCGCGTTCACCGCCAGATGAACTGCCGCTTGACCGATGGTGCTTGTGGCGCCGCGGATCAGGACCCTCTCGCCCCTGCGCAGGTCGAGGATGGTGAAGAGGCACGAATACGCCGTGGAATACACCTCGGGCAACGCGGCCAGTTGCTCCCAAGAGAGGTTCGTCTTGATCTTGACCACGTTCGCGACGGGGACGTTGACGAACTCGCCATATCCACCTGGTCGATTCCGGCCCATGCCACCCATCACTCCGACCACCTTGTCGCCTTTCTGGAACTTCCCTAAAGGATCGGCCTCCACAATGCCCACGCATTCGAGGCCGGAGATGGGGTTCCATTCGTCCCATTCGCCCTTACGCATGTGCATCTCGGCATGGTTGAGGCCGAATGCTTTCACGTGGACGAGCACTTCGCCTGAAGTAGGAGCGGGTTTCAAAACGGTCTTGTGTTGCAGGACCTCTGGACCTCCAAAGGCGGTGATGACGATGGCCTGCATGGTTTCCGGGGCAGACATGGCTGTGAGTGGAATACGCTCGAACGGCTAGACTGTGCAATGTTTGATATTATACTAGAGGTAGTGATTCGATGTTGAGACTCGGTTTATTGTTCCACTAGATAGGTGATCCGGTAGTTGACTGCGTGGTCTTCCATCCTGCCCAAGGGGTGCTCACTCACGCATTTATACCTTGCGTTCGTGCTCACCAGGCGTATTCTACCAACACCCCCATTGACATACTGCTCCGCGCAGCACAAGCCCTGGAGTCATGAAAATGTAAACATCGACGCATGTGCAAGGATGAGACGTTGCCCATTTCGTAATAAGCGTCTCACAACGACAGCGAATGCAATTGAAGTCACCAGCATCTAACCCAGTGATAGGTCCGTCGAGCTGCGTGCGTTTCAGCCCAGGACGCGAGGGGAAGCCGTGAGTTGCTGGATTAAGAAAATGCTCCATCAGCAAGTAAGGCTGTCGCTCGCCAGACAGGGGGATTGACGCCATTATGCACTACAGCGTGATTGGGGAGGATGTCCGGGGAGATGCTCTGTTGAGTTGATTGAAAAGCTGACAAAGGCTGCACTTGGGAGAAACTCTGAGCAGAGGATGTGCTGCTTTTATGGTGACGTAGCAGTTGCACAGTAGGCTAACTTCATCTGGAAGGCTTCCCGGCTGTACTCCGTAGAAGCATGACACCGTCAAAAGCGGCATTCTGCGCGTATTGAGCTTCGACTAACAATATTGGTGCTGCCTGCGCCGCTTTTGCAGTGCACCACAATACTATGGCTAATGCTCATCTCTTCACCCTCATCTTACGGGGAGTACTGAATCGCCCCGATAGCTATCTGCCATCATGATCACTTCCCCACGGCCAAATCGAGCAGCTTTGGAAAGTCCGGCGTGCCCAGCCCCGTGGCAGCATCCCAGCCCTTGACCGCCTGCCAGCCAGCGTCAGGAACCCCCGGCGCGTCGTCGCCCGAGTTCGTCACGTTTTCGCATCCGCTGGACGACCCTTCCGTGATGTCCGTGAGCGCCTTGTTGGTGAAGGCCTTGCTGTAGAGCCAGGGGTTCAAAAACCCCAGCGGCTTCTGGCCTCGGGATAGGCGGGCCGAGTTGATGTTGGCGATGATGGCGGCCCAGGTCGGCGTGGCGGCGCTCGTGCCTCCGCTCAATTGCTCCCGGCCGAGATGGAAGATGGGGAACGTGGTCCACGCCTGCGCCGCCACGTCCGGGATGCCCCTCCCGGTCCGATTGTACAGTCCTTGAAACTTGTTCTTGACCGCGGTGCTGTTCAGATACGTCTCGACGTGCTCGTGCTGGTAGTCCGGGCGGGCGAACACGTCACTGAACCCCCCGCCAGACATTCGCTCAGCGATCTCCGGCTGCACTTGGCCCGTACCGCCCACGCTCGTGACCCATGGGCAGCTTGCGGGAAACTGGGGCATGAACCTCGTCTGGTTGCGCCCGTCGTTGGTCATGCAGCCATCCCCTGGACCGCCGTCGCCGCTGGACGTGATGATGCTCACACCGCGAGCACCCAGCTTGGCGAACAACTGGCACACGCTGAGCATGTAGGACACGGGGTGGGTCTGCTCGTCTTCCCCGTACGAAATGCTGATCACCTGCGGTAGTTTGTCGTTGGTCAGGTTGACCATGTACTGCAAATACTCCAAGAACGGCTCCTGCTCGTTCAGCACGCCGGGTTTGTCTGGCAATTGCAAATCGGGGATCCATGGGCCCCTGCCGCCGACCTTGTAGAAGTCCACCGGCGTCGGGTACGAGAGCGTCAGACCGTACTGGACGTCCATGTTGGCCTCCGAGGCCCAGTCCGCGTCGGTGGATTGGTTGTTGACGCCACCATTCACGGATGAGATGGAAAAGTTTGCGCCTCGCGCGTATGGTGCCCATTTGTCCACGAAGAGAGCCAGGTCGGATCGGAGCACGTTCTGGCTGGCAAACGCGGGAATCCCCAATCGTGAGCCGGAGCTGGCGTTGGCACGGAAGTTGCCTATGCCATAGAGCGCACGGATACAGTCTGGCGAGGTGGTGGTGTTGCAATACGTTGCGTTCAGTTTGGTTGCTGACCCGTAGACGGGGATCGAGCTCGCCGGTGGGCCGGGCTGTTGGGCCGCACGCGAACGGGCGAAATGGGTCGTCGGTTGGATTGTTTGGATGTAAGCATGAAGCCGGTCAGGGATGGAGTATTCGAGGGTGCGAATCCGCCAGCTTTTGTCTCCTGCGTGGTAGAACAAGTAGAAGGTCGTATCGAGGAGACTCTCTGCCTGCGTGACGGTGGTGTTGACGTTGATCCAATCTCCATTGTCTTGCACGTCTGTCGCCGAAATTCCTTGTTCCTCAAGCCAGTCAAGCACAGCGTTAGAAATTGTCGGCTCGGGACGCAAGAGTGCGTCGAGCTCGTGGGCCTCGTAATGTTGGCCGTACAGCTCGTTGTCGGGATCGGAGATCCTCAGCAATTGCTCTTGGAGGAAAACGTGCTTGTCATCCTGGCGAATCGCGATGTGGAGTTTGAGACGTGCGAGCGCTGGTGCTCGCGGCCCTTGGTACCAGCCGTCAGGAATGCCAGCGACTTGCTCAAACACCCCGAGGTGGCTGCTGCCTGGAGCGGCGCCAGCGATGCTGTACAGCAGCAGGGCACACAGCACAAATAGCCTTGTATAGCTCAACATTCCTGATGATAAACCGCAGATTCTGAACGAAGTATTCGAGGCTCGGAGACCCGTGATGCCATTTCTCAAGTCGAGAAAACGTGCTCAGGCGCATCCTATATGTCTTTCCCCCTCGGTTCCGTTGATCGTCACAAGGCTGTGCAATTGGCCCCGAATAGCGGCATTGTTCTGGGGATATTGTTCAGACCCGAAAGCCGATCTCCACAAATCAGGCGGCAGGGAAAATGCAAGGAGGCACTCAGAGGTCATTGTGTGAGATTATGGTGTAGCCCTGCCTGCCATACCCTGGCCTAGTGCCTGGTCTCGAGGGGTTGACGATCTCTCGCGAGTGCCGAGTTGAGTCGAGGTTTGCTATTCGTGAGGCCATGGTGCTAGGGAGGAGGTTGACAGTATTGCTTCTGCCTGGCAGTGAGTGGGTAGTGCTGATGGCCAGGATTGCCAGATTGAGAGTATCATCCATGTTGGAGAATGGGTGAGTGGCAGGGTTCGTGTGTATATTGTAGCACTGAGAAAGGATTCCAACAAAGGTTCCACGGTGCTCCACTGATGGACTGCCTGATGGAGAGATACCAGCGCGCATACAAGGACATTTTCGGTGTTATGGCATTTGGTGAGAAAGACCGAGGAGTTATGCTTAGCATTGTTCGGTATCCTCCCAACTATGGGTGAATATACCTGGTCAGCGCACCTCCACACCACCGTGCTGTATGGCCACATCCTCGTCCAGAATCAGTAAATGGTACACACAGTTCCGAGTTCTGCTAGTCTGGCAATTTATCTAGTTTCTTCACACAGATGTACAAAACCGGGTTGATAGGAAAAGGGCCATCTTTCAGGTCATGTATCCCATCAAAAGTCAGCCAAAAGCCCTCATCAAAAGGTCGCCGTCGCTCATGATGCATAAAACCTCCGCATACCAAATGTAGCCCGTCAGTCAGCCCAGCATATCAAACGTCCACTCCCCATGCCGATTGCAGTCTTTGTAGCACCTTCTATGCACCCTCCATGCACCCCAAACCTAACCAGATCAGCGCTATCATCCAGCGAAAACGGTCAAAAGGACACTGTTTCTCCACTGTTTTCACCGGTTTGTGTTGAAAAACCAACTGCTCCGCTTGTTGCCTTCTGATCCGCTCAGATTCGAGATAATGGGTAAGCTGGGCGCACCATTGGCTCCATCAAGATTCGATGCTGCTCCGCCGCCGCCGCGAAGAGGTTTGGCTATCCGTGCACCAGCGTTCATTAGGCTGTTGAACCCACCAGTCGCTCCAGGCCCAGCGGTTGCCATGTTTCTCGAGGATACCTTGGCTGCTTCCAGACGCTCCTTGACTGCAGCAAGTTGTGCTTCAAACCTGTGAACCGCTGTTAGTTCCAAGTCTTGTGAAAGGACAATGACGGCGACATACCTGTGGTTCGCTGCGGTCAATTTGTCTTGACTGTCGGCCAGCAGACTCTCTAGACTCAGTATCCGTTCATTCCGGGCAATCAATTTGCGCTCCGCAATCGCGACCTCCTTCTTCAGGCTCGTATTCTGGTCGACAAGCTGTCTTTGTACCACCGTAAGTTGCTCCAGGTTGCGCTCTAAGAATGCCATCTTCTTCTGCTGTTGGCGGTTGTTGCTCGAGCGGAGCACGTTGTTGTATTGCTCCCGCGTCTCGTCGAGTGAAATCTCCAACTCCACCACCCGCTCGCACCGGTTCTGCAGATCACGCATCAGGTTCTTCTTCATCGATTCGAAGTCGGCGATTTGCTGTTGCAACGTCTTGCTCGTGCCGCCGTTGGCCGCACCAGCTCCATTGGCAGCACCCCTTGACTGGAGATCGGTAATGGTCTTCTGTAACCGTTCGACTTCTTGGGACTTGTGGGTAAGTTGATCTCGTAAGTCATGGACCAGCTCGCTCTGCGTTTCCTGGCGGTCCGAGAACAATTGCTCGAGCCGTCCTTTGACATCCTCCACATCTTCAGGGCCAAGATTCCGAGTCAACAAATCTTCATAATCCTGTTGCACCGCCGCTAATTTCTCTTCCAGTCCAAGTGTGCGGTCCTCGTGCTCGTCCTCGGCACGGTCGTTGAGGGATTTTTCTGCTTGTCGAACTAGCGTCTGTGATTCCAACAATTTCGAGCGCAGATCTTCCAGAAGATGGCTCGGTAGAGCTTCGCCACTGAGGCTGGCGGCATGCAAGGCGTCCACTTGATCGAGCATCTCTCGCATACGGTTCTCATTATCGGAGAACGCGCTATCACCGAGGTCAAAGCCCGCCATCATCTTGGCCATCTTCTCTTTCTTCTTGCGGTCCTTTTCGTCCAAAGCCGCTGTGGTCTCTTTGGCGCTCATCTTGAGGTCCAGCAACTGCTGTTTGACTGAAATCAGCTCCGCCTCCAATTCCGAGTTCGCGTCTTTCAAGCCCTCCATGGTGATTGCGTCTTCCTTGCTCTGGTACGACAGCTTCTGCAGCTCTAGTTGTGTCTTGTTCAGTTTATCTGCCATGCTCTCGTTCTCTTTGGCTGTCCGCAGAGCGCCTTCCTTGTATGATTTGAGCTCCTCTCGAGCCTCTTGAAGGCTTCGCTCTGCATTAGCGACCTGTGTTTCCTTCTCAGTAAGCTGATCTTGAAGTTCATTCTCTCGTCGTAGAAATTCCTCTCGCTCATCTTTCTCGAGGATAATACTGGGTGTACTTGATCTTTCGCCAGCCCGAGAATCGGGTCGACTGGGGGTGTCTGACCGGAGAAGTTCTGAAGGTGCCCTCGAGGGTGTGTCTGGTCTAGCTTTGGCTTCCGATTTCTGTCCTGAGCCACCCAACGGAGGGACCCACTTTTCTTTGGGGACAGTCTCGCCTTTTCGCCATTGCTGCAACTCGGAATCCAACGAGGCAATATACTTTTCAAACGTCATGGTCTGGTTCTGAGCGAGTTTGAGCTGGCGCTTGAGCTCCGCCGGACTCAACTCGGCGTTGATCTTGGCCTTGTTCTTGATCGTCTTTGCTCTCATACCAAATCGCAGGGTGCTGACAGTCTCGGCATCGTTGTAGCTGCTGGGGGAACAGTTTATGATCAGGGTTGTCCTTGAGTTACCACCCAAACTTTCTTGCAGGATCCTGGTCAATTTGGAGTCTCGATAGGGGACGTGTGTTGATTTGCCGTCAGTTAGAGCATTGATGACCATTCCCAGCGCGCTCAAACTCTTGTTGATTTTCTTCGCCTCTTCCAATGTTTGTCCACTCGCACCCGTCTTGCCGACCTTTTCTGAACCTGCCAAGTCCACAAGATATAGCATTCCACTCTTTTGCGACCCGGTGTTGACATCTTTTTGATTGATGGTGACCAAGAATATCGAGTGCGAGCGTGACGACTCCAGATTCATGTTGGTAGATGCGGTGACTCGTGATCTCTGTCCCAGATGCATAGCTGTATAGACTTCCTCCACCGTGTTGACATAGATTTCACGCAGTCCTTTCACGTATGGGCCCCTTGGTCCTTCGTTGATGGGAAGATTGTCCATGACAGGGTTCAGCAAGTCTCGTATACGTTCCATATAAATTTCCAGGTAGGAGATGCCCACGGTGTATTCGATTTGCGCCGACCCGTGAACGAGAATGGAATCGAATATCTGTTCGGTAATGCGAGGAATTATACCCTTCTTGTCCGCATCGTCCATATCTCCCATCATTGTATAAGACTTCCCAGCACCTGTTTGACCGTAGGCGAAGACGGTGCCATTGTAACCATTCATCACATCTTCCACTGTTGACCTTATGGAGAAATCGAATATATCAGCTTGTTGCGAGGACATGTCAAAGACTCGGTCGAAGGTAAAGGGGGCATTTGTTTCAGAGGACTGCGAGTGTGTGAGTTGAGCTGTTATGCGATGCGGTCGAGGTCGATGGGCAGCAGTTTACCTGAAGCTGGACCGTGTCTTCGCCCATAAACTGGACGACCGGTTGGCCGCCATTTGCGAGCTCGACTTTGTTCTGAGGACGGAAACGGGCAACAACTGGTAGAGGCAGTTAGCAAGGGACTGGACAGAAAACTGGCCCAAGGGCATCTCTATCTAACCTTTGATGTTGTTCCCGCCTCCGCTGCTCCCTGCACCAGAACTAAAATCCGTGGTCAGTGCCGACCTAATAAGGAGGGAAGGGTTGCTAGAGCATACGCCATGTTTTAGTCAGGACTTGACGTTGTCAATCTGGCCAGGCGGAAAGCATCAGTTCTGCGAAATGCTGGCCCGACTGCGCGGGTCAAGGTTGGGAAACAGGGCAAATTCAGGATCGCGGGAGTTTCAATGTTGGCGGACCAGACGCGATTGGAAGACTCGGGGTCAGAGGGGACAATGGTGAAGATTGGAATGGGAAGCGCAGTCAAAGTCCAGCGTTGACTCCCGAGTGATCCTAGGATACTTTTTCGAGGTCTCCGTTTTGGGAGTCGTCGAGGTGTCAGGCATACACGCGCAGTGCAGATGCAAAGTGCCAGGCGTGCCTGCGGCGACACCCTGTTTTCTCCCTGTTTCTCGGCTTTGTCTCGTTGACGCGCGCCCCCTTAGAGTTACGATCCTTTACCCCCGATGCGGCGGCTAGTGCGCCTACTCTTCCCCCCCTGTCGGCCTCTGAACTGACGTGACTGGCTCCCGTGCTCCCTTGTCTGAGGGTTTTCCCGAGTTAATCCTCCACCTTGCTCGTGCGTTGCCTTGTCAAGTACCGAGTAATTGAGTTTAGTAATTGTTATATAGCAGGAATCATACAGAATCTGCTAGGATCAAGTCATCCCAGCGGACAAGGTGAGATACATATAAGAAGTCTCCAAGCAGGAGGAGATTAAACTTTGAGTCTCTATCTCCCTTCCAGATCCTGTTTCATTGATTACAGACAGTCAGATCCTCATGGCCGCAGCAAAGACACAGTCGCTTTACTCCTCGCTCAAACTCACCCACAATGTCACCAAGACATCTTCGGGCTCAGAGGTCCATAGTTATACCTCTGACCTGGGTCCCGACTCTCCTATACTGACTCTAATCCATGGTTATCCTCAATCTGCTTATGAGTGAGGGATCCTTCCAACCATGACAATTCGTCGAGGCTGACCCGTTTGTAAACCAGATGGCGTCATGTCGGTTTTCCCCCACTTGTCCCAGCCTTGCGGACATGCAGTATGCAGTCTTCCTTTAGCAGGCAGGGTGTTACCCTCATAGTGCAACACCACGCTCGCTTTAACAGGCTAACCAATACCAATACAACAGGTCGTCCCTCTCCTCCAAGGCAAGTTCTCTTTGTTCGTTCCCGAACTTCCAGGCTATGGCACTTCGACGCCCATCCGGGATCCGGCGTCGAATACGAAGCGCGCTGTAGGCACCGCCTTGCTGGAGGCCCTCGCCGACGTCTTCAAGACCAGAACGGCATCTTCTCCAAGACGCGTCGTTCTAGGCGGTCACGATCGCGGCGCACGCATCAGTCACCGTCTTTCAGTCGACTTTTCCCACCCAGACCAATCCTCACCCGCCCTGTACAAGGACTTGAATCTGACGGTCCCCGGCACGATCCTGCTCGATATAATCCCGACCAAGGAACAGTGGACCGCCTTCTCTGACCCGGCCATATGCCAGGGGTACTTTCACTGGCCACTCCTGGCCAACGCCGACCTGGCGACAGAGATGATCTCTGCGTACGGCGGCGGCAGATGGGCAAGGGAAGCGCACACACGCATCTCCGGCCCCAACCCGAAAGCGCTGGAGAGAGTCTCGTCTCACGATGCCCTCGACGTATACGCTGGCCTGTTCAGTGACAGGGATGTCATCTACTACTCTTCTCTCGACTACGCGGCGGGTGCGGCTCCTGAGGCGACGGAGCAAGACGAGGACCAGAAGGCAGGAAGGAAAGTCGGCGTGCCGTTGCTCGTCATGTTCAGCAAAGCGAAGCTAGGGGCACGCATTGACGTCGAAAGCACATGGAGAAGCTGGATCGCAGATGGAATCGATTACGAAGGTTACGGCGTGGGAGACGGCTATGGTCACTATTTGCCCGAGGAGGCCTTCGAGATCGTCGCAGAGAAGATGTCGGCATTTGTCAAAAAAGTGACATGATCACGGTGATGGATCAACCGTGGATCGCACTGCCTGGGAGGACATCGCAGAGTAGGTAAGGCTGACAAGTGTCTTGAGTCAAACAAGGGTAAAACCCGTCATGATCACATTCCAAAACAAGTTCCTCACCGTTGTCTTGAGCGAGCGACGTGTCATTATCATATTACATTATCTGGTTCGCAGATATTCCAGGAGGGCCGGCCCAAGAGTCTACTACGTCTTATCCCACTCATGCTTCGTGAGCTGCCAATTTCAAGGGGATCTCTCAACTGCGGTCCACCGTCTCTTCCCAGGGCTTCTCTCTCTCCTGATCGAAGATTCACCACCCCAGAGTCCCGCCTGACTCGCACTACGAACAGGGAAGAGGGAGGAGTCTGATTTCTCGGTATCGCCTCTCGCTTCACTGTTCGTTCCGCTGCCGTTCCAGAGCGGGAACTCCTCTTGTATACTTTCTGAACGTCCGACACTCAGCGAGTTGGGTGTTGCGTAGGCATCACTCGACGACTCAGCAGTTTCATCGCGAGAATACCGACTTCCGCGTCGCCAGAGTCCTGTAGGAGGTTCAGAGGAGTCCATCGTGTCTGCGGCATGGGATCGTTGACTGATGCTTCTAGCAGGCATCATCGATACAGAGCCGCGCGTCGCCATTGACTCTCCTAGACTGAATCCTTCTGGAGAATCAGCTCCCACCGCCCGACGGCTGGCAAATGCAGGCGACTTTCCAAGTCGAGGCGAGTTCAACCCCAATGGATTTGATGCGCCACGGAGATGTTCGGTAGAGGCTATGATTTTCATGTCGTAGTCCTCCGATATGGTCAGATCGAGAGAACCCCTTCGGCGAGTCGGCGATGACGGCTCTGGGGGTGCTTGCTGGGTCTCTTTCCTCACCGCCATAGACAAGGAAGACAGGCCCACATCCCGCAATGCTGGTGCAGCTGTTAGCAATCTGATCAGAGCATTGCAGCCAGCCTGATGGGTGACCAGGATGATCACGAGATCTTCGTCGTCATCCTGATCATCACTATTCCCTGCTTCTGAGCCAGCTTGGTTCTCGTAGAATGCGATCATTTTCTGCAGACCATTGCGGAACCGCCGGTGCATTTTGCCCCAATCCTCATCAAAAGGCCCACCGTCACCCCAGTCAAGTGGCTCACTCTGGCTGTCCCACTGACCGTCAATTTCGACACACGAATCCCGCGCATGAGCCACAAATCCTGGCGGAATTTTGTCCGAGGGCCCAATTGCATAATTCGGTATGGGAGGGCCATAACCCATACTCGCCTGGAGAGCCCTGTTTAATATCCGAGCACCGTTTGCCAACTCGGTCCCAAATGAGATGTTACGTGGCCGTTTTGGGAGTGAATGGCCAACCGCTGCCATAGCTCGCAGGCCAGTCTTTTCATGGACCGGCACAGATATGGCATCAGGTTCCCCCTCTTCCGTGTCGCTCGGTGGCATATTGAAGGCTGGGGAGCCTGAGAGATCGGCACCTTTAATCTCCTCTTGTGGGACTTGTAATGTCATTTTGGCTTGCGAAACGAGAACCGCGGAGGGTGGAGGAGCAGAGTCCTCATCGAAGTAGCTGGCGGTTTGCCATTCCCCCAGAAATGCATCAATGCGCAGCTTGCAGGTATTGTACCCAAGACGGTTTGTCTGCCGTTTGTCTTTGCTAGCGGCGCGGTCGAAAAATGCTTGATCACCATCCCCCGAGTCCGGAACCGCAGCCTGCACCACCTCATCCATGGGCGAGAGACTAGAGCGAGTAGAGATTTGACGCGACTTCATGCGTGGTCGAGAGTGGTTTTGAGGATGTTGTATGCCCGCGGCGATCGCAATAGAAGACTGGACACATCGTAGATATGGCGAACTATGGATAATGATCTTCCGCCTCTTGCGAGGTTGGGTTTCGTTTGCTCCGTCTTCTTTGCCGTCACTTTGAGGTTTCGATTGCTTTTCGAGATTATGCAGTTCGTTGTTGATCCTCAAGCCGAGAGACTGGCACTGGATCCAACCGCCGTAGGATAGAGGAGGGTCATATGGTGCTGAGGCTGTGGCAGCCCAGTTCCTATCTGCCTGGTCTAGACGGGCTCCATGACTATTGAAACCGCGTTAGTAGGAGTACTTGAAAGCAGAAGAGCATACATGGAAGGTAATCGTACCGGACAACGAAGACTACGGCTGGCTGTCTCCCCATGGTGGAAGCCGGACGGTTTCAATGCAAATGGGTATTGTTTCTATATTGCAACCTGAAATAAGGAAAAAATACGTCAATGTTGAAAAATTGCGGGGGTAGAGCTGGCAGAACAAAAAGATCGGCTCCCGACAGCCTAGAAAACAGGACTGGAAAGTAAGAGGAAATGGTGTGTCACCGCAGGCGTAGGCGTGTCATCTTGAAGGATGGTGCCGATGTACCAAGTTGCTGGTACAATGCAGATGTGTAGTCTGCGACGATCAAAATTCAGTTCTTATGATGTTTCGTCTTGCGCCGCTGAGGCGACGGTGAAGGGTCATAGTGGGAACTATTTAGGGTGCGGTGTGAATCCTCGGTGAATCAGGTTTGTGAGAACAACTCCCCATTCATTCATCGGTCCGCTTTCTTCTTTTGCCATGACAGGCGCCCGACAGATTCAACTCGACAGGCGGAATTTGTTCCAGGTACTGAGGACTTTGTACGCACTTGATAATCGAGAAGAACATCGTACAAGTCGACTCTGAGGTGCTGGTGAGTACCGAGTAGAAGTCAAGGATACAGTCTCACTCTTGGAAGCCCAAGCAGCAGACTTATCCCGACTCCATTCGACTTGGTACCGGTATATGTGCTTGTCTGTCACACAAGGACTTGGTACCGGTATATGTGCTTGTCTGTCACACAAGGACTTTGTACATCGTTATCGCCGTACTACCATTTGAAGATTCTCGCTGGCTCGTCACCATTGTCTCACGTGTCTTCATTATGTTCCCGTTCACCTCGCGAACCAAACACCCAAGGCATGCTACCAGCCTCGGCAGGCCTCCGCGTATCTTCTCACAGTGATCTTCCGTTTCAAGACGGGTGGCATATTGCTATCAGCGGAACACTTCGTGTCGGACCGGCACCCCGCGTATCTCTTGATCAATCTCGTTTCAAAATTGAACACCAAAAAGCTGTCCACGAACACGAGCACAGTCAGGCTTATTCTCCGGGGCGCCTTAGCCGGGAGACACTAACTATGGCCACGAGCACGAGTACCTATATTTCATCTCGCCCCCAAACACGATCGTCTCCCGTATCGTATCAGACCGACTATTTCCTACAAACAAGGACCTTAGACATGTGCGGTGAGCTGCAGTTGACTGAGGAGAAAACACTTAAGAGAAGGACAATGGAGGAACAAGTGCCGGCGGACTTTCCTGAATGACGAGTACCTATCCCCAGACAAGAAATCAATCTTGTCTACTCCGATACCCAGACGCGGCTAGTATTGCCAGCCTCTGGGTCTTGCCAGCTCATGCACCTGGAGTCGTTTCAAGTTTGTGGAGCAGCAATTGCCCATGCAAGCACGGCGCTCGGTGTCACCTGAATGGATGAAGTCCATCTAGCCTGCCACCCGCAATGCTCTCGAGGACATACCCCTGGCAACTTTTAGCGACGAGGGATCTGCCGCGCCCGTGCTCACGGTCGACGCCTCAAGCGCAGCTTATTAAGAAGGCATCAGGCCAGCATTGTGGTCACAAAGGTGCACCAATCATGTCTTGCAAATGCTGTCCTTTCGACTTCTTGGAGATGGCTGCCCAAGATACGAAGTAAGGGGAAGGCGGCGGCATCTTCGTACGTACAGAACACAGAGCCCGGTTGCCAATTCGTCGGCATCGACCTGCCACCCTTCCCTTGGTTTTCCTGCCCGCTGAGGTGTCTGTTTCGAAGTGCCGGTGGCTATCCACCGACTCTCCACATTGGTCGCTCTTTAGGCATCCGACCATGCCGATGGTGTCGTCTTGTTCCTGACGATCTCGAGCCAGGATGAGGGGTGGCTCTCCCAGGAGTTCGTGGCTGGATCCAATCCCGTCACCAGCTTCCGTTGAGCCCCTGGCATGGCGCAGGCATCCTGCCTTGTTCCTGTTGGCTTTGGCTGGGGCCCCCTAGTGGCCCTTTCGCAAAGGTCAGTCGATCCCTATCGCTTCTCGCTCGTTCGTGTGTTTCAAAGTTCTTGATTCATCGTTTTGCTTTCTTTGCGTTCATCGACGATACCTAAGACATGCCTGACATGTTCTTTCTTTGACCGGCTATCTGCATTGTCATCATCCGCACTTCAACCCACTTTGTCGCAAAGGCGGGATTGTGTGCGTGGTAATCGAGATTTCTCGTCCCGCTCTCGCTCTCGCTTTCTTTCGCTTCTTCTCCGGCCCTGCATCATGTGGCTCATTCTCAAATTGACCTGTCTAGATTGGCAAAATCCGCCTTCGACAATGACGCTATGTTCCTTTCATTTACATGAGGACCCTGGCCCCCATGGCTCATGGCATGGTCAAAGCATTAGGGCTGGCAGTCGTGAGCTAGACTCCCCATCAGAGGTAAGGATGTCAATCCATTCAAGGCCGTTAGAAGCTCCCTCGTACTTCCACCATCCTGTCAGAAGCGGGAAGCCTGGTAAGAGGCCAAAGGCAAACTTCTGGATCCCATTATCCACCTGCTTCTCGCTCCCATTGAGCGATCTCCCATGCGAGTCGAGTGGTCATTATCGTCATTGGTCTAGGCGTCTTCCCTGCAGCACTGCATACACTTTTTTGCTGCCTCTGTTCATTCATCACCCGGAACCTTACTATCTACTTCTTCAATCCTGCACTCCATACCTCTCGTTACTTTCACCTACTGGTTCTTGTTCTTGTTCTCGTTCTTGCCCCCCGCTGCAGCCGGAATTCTTTTCTCCAACCCCCGATATTTGAATTCTTGTCCCTCTTTGACTACCCAGTTCTCCCCTGTTGAAGGAGAGGTTTCAATTCTATAACTCTCCAGTCACATTCCAAGTTCTCTTCACCTCTGACAGGCGTATCCTTGATCATCACGGCGACAGTCCGCAAATAGTCTCGAAGACTGTTTTACACCGATACCGGCAGGTTTTTTTCTTCGCTTGTCTACGTCCAAGCGTCTCGAAGATCCAGGCTGTGCCTCATCAAGTCTCTTACCAGCTACACCTCGGACATCTCGACGTCCTTCTAAGCTGTTCACCTTACCAGGTGTCGATGAATTAGTCACCAAGTACATCACTCTATTCCTAACATTGTCGCTGGGAACGCGCTCTCTGCAGCGAGCGGTTTACCACACCCTCGAGGTGACCCGATGTTCCCTGTCCTTGTTGCGGCACGCCATTCTTCTTCATGAAGACTCTTCTCGATGACACTGGTTTACCTGTCTGGGTCTACATCGTCATAATCGTTCTCGGTTCGACACTTTTGTTGGTCATCATTGGCGTTGCGTTCCGATGGTGGCTCTTGCGTCGACGGGCGAAGCAACGGAGGGAGGTGGACAACCTCACCGGGCCTCTTCGCCGCGTCACCTTGAGACGGGGGCGCCTTGTCCCTACATCTCAGCATCTGTCCTTGACAGGCTCCAAGTTCGGTATGAGGCATTTTGGGATGCTGGCAGATAATGAGTCGGCCATGACGGGTAGAAAAAGTCCCTTCGAGTGGTGGAACACTATCATGGACAGATCACAGTCCCGGCAAGACCACATGTCTCAGGTGGAGACTGCTTCGATAATCACTCGACCTACATCTAGAGCCACCATTACCGGCAGAAGGGAACTCCTCAATGCTACCCCCGTTCAGACACCCGAAAGGTGCAAAGACAAAGAGGGACCTACCACAAGAACGTGGGAGGTAACAATTCCCTCTCCATCGCCGTCGCCATCACCGTTGGGACCAAACAGGCACACAAACTTTTCCCGATCGTTCAGCAACCGTGCTCCAATCTCACCTGTCACGCAAAGATCTCAAGCGACTCTATCAAGAATATCGGAACGCTCGCCCCATCAGTCTATGATTTGTGTAGCGAACGGGCCGATGATATCCGCACACTCTTCTTTCCATTCGGCTTTGAATACTCTCGATAACGAAACCCCCGAGGGACAGAAACCACAGCCTAGTCCTGCCATTCCACAAGAGACAACGTCCCTTACTGTCCCAGTTCCACGCCCTCAGCCTGCGAGGACATCTCTTGCTTCACAACACGACCGTCCCCTTTCCTCTCACCCAGTGGCGCCGCCTCAGACACAGCACAGGCAGAGCAGCTCGCCAACAACGGCATCTCGTCCTTTTGAACCGAAGCAGTCACAGTATTCGATGCCGCCTTCGTCTTACCGCGCGAGCCGTAACAGCATCCACTCTCCACGCTCCAGTTCCTTCTACCGACAGGGGAACCAATCCCAATTTAATGTCTCCCGTCCTGGCCCAGATAGCAACACAAACTCCCCAGCAGCATCGAGTACGCACCTATCTCGGGGTTCTGTCTCTAGCATTGGCCCTAGTGGAATCGTCTACGATACCCAGGTTCCCCGGTCGCACTACCCAACGGAATATTGGTCGACGAGAACGGACTTGCACGACATTCCTTCCCATGGAGCCACTGGTTCCACACCGCGTTCGAGTACAGATCAGACCTTGCGAAAACCAAGCCCTTCAGATCATCGCAGAGGCCAAGAGACGGAAAACGTGATGGGGATCATAACTGTACCGGGAAAGAATAATACGAAAGTCCTTCGAAAGAAATCCTTGAAGAGAATGCAGGTCGTCAGCTCGGTTGCAACATGAACTGGTGGTGGGCATTGCGACATGGATTCAACGGTTTATGGGCGGTAATATGCGAGCAAATCCTTTTCTGACACTTTTTTTTTTCGAGATTCCAGAGCGGCGATGATTTTTTGACGAAACAATATGACACCCAACCCCTTGAGGATATATGGCGGTCTTTTCTCAAGGGTTTATTTCTCCACCACTCAACATCACACCACATACCAACCGAGATGACTTGTTTTTGATCTTGACTTATACCCGGCTCACGAAGTTGTTGTTTTTGGTTTCAGATCCCCCGGGTCTGGAATTCGGGGAATATCTGAGACAGTCAGTTCCGTTTGTTTTATTTTGGGCTTGTCTTGCCCCCGTCGAGGTTCACCTCTCTATCAACTCTCCCACAGCCCTGCTCTCTCCTGGTATTTTCAGCTACATGGGTGGAGGGGAGGGGGAGAAACCAGCCACAACAAAAATCCTCCGCCGCTCAGCAGCAGGCGCTTATCTGCTTCTTTATGTTACACCACGGCCAGAGTTTCGGTTGGTCGGTTGGTCGGTGGGTCGAGTTCGTCAGCGGCAGCAGGAGAATCTTCGATCCAGCGCACGCCTGTATACACAGGGGCAGCATGGTGATGAGGAGCATGGACTTTCAAGAGAGCGAGGCGAACAAACCAACCAACCAACCACCCACCCAACCAATCCAAATCATCCACCACTCCAAAAGTAAGAGAGAAACCTGGCCTATGTAAAAGGTTACATACATATATACATAGCAAAAAGAGAATTGCTAAATACTTTTGCGCTGAACTGAAACAATCCATCTACCCGTCTTGTCTGTCTTTGCCTCAACCTCTGCCCCGTCCTTCTCCTGTCATTTGAGAGTACCTCAGTAGGTAGTATATATCCTATTCTATTCAGTTCAGTAGGGGGTCTTTTATTCAGATCAACTCCCGACTAGCAACCTGGACAAGATCTCTCCAGTCATGATTTTTTTTTTTGGCCCAGATAGATGCGACAGTCGCTAGAGCGACAACGTTTTGAATGTTTCATGGTAATGGTACTATACAACGCCGGCGCTATGCCTGCAACAGCTGGATACCTCTTTCCACCAGATAAACCCCCAGTCTGAGGCGAGATAGCTTCACTTCCACCTGCCACCTATTCTCGTAGGAATCGGCTCCTTGTTCTGTCTTATATTTTTGCGCAATCCGCATCCAAAATTCATGCCATATAGCGCCCAATCTAGTCCACATTCTCGATTCGTTGCACAATTATGGCGGTTGCTGCACCTCCTCCGTTGCAAATGGCAGCACATCCGTACTCGCCAGGCTTCAGCTGATGCAGCAATGTTGTCAAGATACGCGCGCCCGAACTGCCTAGAGCGTGGCCGATCGAGATGGCACCGCCCAACAAATTCACCTTGGCATTCTGCAGTCCCAGGATCTGTGAAGAGGTTAGTCAGAGACCGTGACGAGACGTAGTTTCGAAATATAGACGACTTACCTGTTCGTTTGCCTTGATGACTGCTGCAAAGGCCTCGTTAAATTCCCAGATGGCAATGTCATCCTTGGTTAACCCAGCCCTTTCCAGCGCGATAGGTACAGCTTTTGAAGGCGCGATAGGGAAGTCCACTGGATCGATGGCTGCATCGGCCGAACTGACAATTCGCGCGAGGACACGGCTTCCTTTGCCATATTCTCGGGCAATTTCCTTATTGCCCAGGACCAACGCACTCGCACCATCATTGAATGTTGACGAGTTCGCTGCCGTCACCGTCCCCTTCGTAGGATCCTTTACAAATGCCGGTTTCAAAGTGGGAACTTTGTCCTTCTTCAAGTTGTTGTAACCCTCATCTTCGGAGACAATAGTGTCTCCCTTCTTCCCCTTGACCGTGACGGGGACAACTTCGTCTTTGAACTTGCCCTCCGCCCAGGCCTTTTGTGCCCGTTCAAAGCTCTGGATGGCATATTCATCCTGCATTTCGCGAGTGATATTGAACTTTTGGGCCGTATTCTCGGCGCAATTCCCCATGTGAAACTGGTTGTACACATCCCAGAGCCCATCTTCGATAAGCCCGTCCTTCAATTGCATGTTTCCAAACGCCGGGTTTTGCGCTGCTCTCGGCAGATAGTAGGGCACTCGAGACATGCTTTCCATACCGCCTGCAACTTGTGCCTCCGCCAAGCCAAGCTGGATGTTCTGCGCCGCAATAACAACTGCTTTCATCCCCGAAGCGCAGACCTTGTTGATGGTTACAGCTTCAACTGTGGATGGTAGGCCGGCGAACATGGAGGCCTGTCTGGCAGGTGCTTGACCTATGCCCGCTGCAAGTACATTGCCCATATAAACATCTGTAATCTTGGAAATAGGAACTTTTGACTTTTCAATGGCAGACTTGATGGCTACGGCGCCGAGTTGCGGCGCGGACATGCTCATAAAGCTTCCGTTAAACTTGGCCGTCGGCGTGCGCGAGGCAGAGAGAATGTATGCTTCGCCGATCTCTTTGTTGCGAGCCATTGGGGAGGTCGCCTTGGAGCTCATATGGCTGCGCATTTGGGAGAGGCGGGCGCCAGCGCTGGCGGGGGATGCGCGAGAAGCCACGCGGGCAGCGGAGGTGAAGGAGGGCATCACGGCGGTGTCGGGGCGCTGAGAATCCAGGTTTGATGTAAGTTCGAACACAGTGACACGAGGAGAAATTTGGCAATCAGCTGCACATGTCAAGGCTTGCTCGAGCGGGGGATGAGGAGGAGCAACAGGAGTGAGAGAGATGTAGCGGGCCGACCGAGTATTTGACAAAATCACTCAAGCCTGAGGTAGAGACACTCTACTAATCAGTTAAGATATCAAGGGAGTGCGAGGAGCTTCTTTCATAAAAGACTGGCATTAACTGGAAGGCAAACTTGGGCTTCGGTCTTTCCCCCAGTTCGCTGAAGTGCGGAATCCGACCTTTGAGCGGAAGAATATCCTCGGCATGATGGAGGAATTTCGGAACAATTTGGGAGGTTCCAGGCAGATAGTCACGTGACTGAGATGGAGAAACTACTCCGGAGTATAGCCACTGCTTGCCGCTTCCCCCTTTCGCTAGGGTGGAGTGTTCATCGTCCCTTCTGGAAAAGTGAACCAGATGATGGGCAATCCACTGCCTCGTACTCGGCCGCCACTCCGCCTTCGCTGCTCTTCTATCTTTCGACCTCGCGTGCGTTCCTTCTGATCTCCCTATCTTCTCTGCAAAGCGAGTTGTACACTCATCTACATCGAGGATCAAGTCTCTATCGACTCTCTCTTCGTCTACCAAACCTCAACATCAAAGGAATCCACCATGTCCACCTCCGCACGACGCCGTCTGATGCGGGACTTCAAGGTACGCCGCCTATATTGGATTACCAGGTTTGACTTGACGCTGGCTTTACCATGAGTGCTAACCCACGACTCTTGTAGCGAATGCAAACAGATCCTCCTGCTGGTGTCTCTGCCTCCCCTATCGCCGATAACGTCATGACTTGGTAAATCATACCCCTCCCTATTCAACCCATCTCAGAACGACTTCTGACCGAAGTTCAGGAATGCCGTGATCATCGGTCCTGCAGACACTCCCTTCGAAGACGGCACATTCAGACTAGTCATGCAATTCGAAGAAGCCTACCCAAATAAGCCGCCGGGGGTCAAGTTTGTTTCACAGATGTTCCATCCCAACGTGTATGGCACCGGCGAATTGTGCTTGGATATCCTACAGAATCGATGGTCTCCAACATACGACGTGGCTGCAATCCTGACATCGATTCAGAGTCTGTTGAACGACCCCAACACAAGCTCCCCCGCCAACGTGGAAGCGAGCAATCTCTACAAAGATAACCGAAAGGAATATACCAAGAGAGTGAGAGAGACGGTAGAAAAGAGCTGGGAGGATTGAGGTCGGTGAAAGCGACTTCAAGAGATTTTCGAACGACCTGTGTTTTCAGCGACTGCATCTACAAACGGGTGGGCTGGCGTCAAGTCATTATCGAGCATTTTCTATTGTTCCAAAGGGGATTTTTCTCGGGATAAGCGATTCCTTGGATATGGAACATCACATTGCCACTTGAACATTTGCATGCCTGGAGATTAGCGAAGGAGTTTCTGCGACAGATATCCCCCTCAGAGTCTCCGGCTGAGCGTTCAGACAAGAGCAGCTCCTCTGCTCTTCGTTCCGGAGGCTTTTGCCGACAGTGAGCCACAGTTTTGTCACAAATGCGTTGACCTTGATCAAATAGCTCCAAGATACCAATCATAATGGTTTCACCTCCTGATCATCTCAATCGGTTCGGGATTGGCATCAAAGAATTCGACCGCACGAATATGTGAACACGCTTCATGATACATTCGTTGATACTCGTGTCTATCATTTGGAAGACGTGTCAGCCACGTCTTCCATATACTCCATCAACTCTATTCCTCCTCCTTATCTGTAAATTATTCACGCCAACGCTCCCATAGGATCCCACAAGGGCAGCACGGTCGGCTCGGCTTTCAACACGTCGCGAACCTCCTTGGCGACGAATCCCGGTTCGACCACGACCTGGTACACGAACTCGTCCATCCATTTGTCGGTCATGACAAAGTATCCTTTGTCGCCGGCGCTTTCGCCCCAGGAATTCATGACGCGCCATCTCACGCTCTTCTCGCGCCCCTTGCCGTCATCTTCCATCTGGACGCCCGTCAAGACCATGGCGTGCGTCATGGCGGACTCGCGGACCTTGAGGCGCTGAGACTTGGACAGGTTGAGCGAGATGTTGAAGGCCAGGCCGTAGTCGTACAGTTCTGGGTCCATGATGCCGCTCTGAGAATTGGAGAACTTGCCCACGTCGCTGCCAAAGAAGACGGGGATGCCGGCGCGGAGCATGGCGACCGCGGCTCTCTTCATCGTGGCCATGTCAACGTTGACGTAGGTGATCGGGCGTCCTCCAACGACGTTGCCTAGGCGGGAAACGGTGAGATGGGACATGTACTTGTTTCGAGGGTCGTTGACCAGGCTGAACATGCGAGAGACGTCGGCGCCACCCAAGCTTCGGACCACGCTCGGAGTGGACAGAGACTTGGCCAGTTCGAGCGGCGTCATGGCGAATTTATGGTACTTTTCGTCCTTGTCGTAGAACTCCCAGGTGAATTTCTCATCGGGTTTGGGAGGTGGCCCGAGCATGAGCGTCAGGATGCAGTGGATTTCACGCATCATCTTTGCTTTTGCTAGCAACAACGAGGATGACCGTCGGGTATTGGACGAGACTCCATTGTGGACAAGAGCACGGAGAGCAAGGCCGTCTTCGCGCAGTTTCGTCGTCAGAATCGACCCCATGGCCGAGGAGTTCATGGCGTTGTAGCTGTCGGGGTACAGCTTCTGCGGAACCTGAATGTCACAACAAGTGTCAGTAATCGAAGTTCCAGTACGAACATGGCCGCAGGTATCGCCTTACCAGTCCATACTTCTCCACCAAGTTACTCGCCATATCCCACTGGCCACCATCATTAACAGGCGCCCCCAACAACTCCTGCACCTCTCGATCTCCCAGGTCCTTGTCAGCTGTATCTATCATCTGTTCCAGGAACCAATTGGCCTTCTCCATCTTGTCCCAGAAGAACAAATACGACTGGCTCAATTCAAACTCTTTCAAGTTGTGTTTCTTCATGATGGGTACTCGCAACACGTTTGTCGTGGCGAACAGCCAACATCGTCCCGAGGATCGCTGGTTTGTCACGGGCGACCCCTCGAAAGGGATCTTGACATTGAACGTTTGTGTGTCAGAAAGAGTTGCGACTTTGTTGCTGATCACGGAGCGGATGTCGTTGGAGAGCAGGGCGTTCAATGCGAGGCGGTTCTTCGGCGAGGAGAGCAGTTCCCTCTCCCATTCTAACGTGGCTTTGACGTCGAGGGAAGGATCGGTCGTGTACGAGTGCGGGATGCCCTTCTCGGCCGTGATTTGAATATAGTCGTGATCGGCTTCGACCTGAGAGAGCTTATCGCGTGTGCGGAGTGATTGGAGTTGTTGCACGAGGATCTTCTCGACCGCGGGCTCATTGACATTAGACGAGCTCTGGGAGTTGCCCATTTTGACAATAGTAGATCTAATAGATGTGATAGGAGAGAGCGCGAGTTTCTGATCTCGTGCCTGAAGAAATGAGGACCTTGAAGGGAGGGAATGAAGGACGGCAGGTCTGGAGGCGGGGGGAGGTTGGATGATCAATAATGGAGCCTGACACCTGGGCAGATAAGCGATAACGGAGAGAGACAAGACACGGATTCACGTGAAAGTGGGGGGCAGCACGGGCAGCTACGGGGGAGCCACGAAGCCTGGGCGGAGGCACCGCGAGGCTGAAGCCGAGCCCAACTTTCTCCGTGCCCAGGCTCTGCTAGTTGGCTAGGCAAGCTTAACACAACAATACTTTATGATACATGACATTGTTCTCTCTCTAATCATGACAAGATATCAGATACATATACTGCCTGAGATGTTTATTACTGGAAGTCCAACAAGGTAGGTGGCTGATATCTCTTTACGCAAACAAATACCCCAAGTAACCTAGGAGACCAACCAGAAGTCCACTAGTCAGCTGCGCACTGCATTTATGGTCCAGTCTCGCTGCAGGGTTGGAATTGGGATTGGCACTTGGGGTCGCCCCGCCGACAGTGACCACAGAATAAGACACTGAAGGGCCAGGGGTTGTCGAGGGTGTCTCTGTGGCAGGAGTTGCAGTCGTGCCAGCCTCGGTGGAGAGACCAGAATCGGTGAGCTGAAGAGTTGCGATTTGTTAACTGGCTGTACAGAGAAGAGAGCAGCGGGGTGTAGGCGGAAGAACTCACTGGATTTCCTTGAATACTGCTCCCTGGCGTTGCCGAAGTCGTCGCCGATGCTGCGGACAATGAAGAAGTGATTTGGGCATCGGCTCCAAACAAGGTGCAGAACCCTTCCAGCGCACTGGCGTCGCTTGCTATTTCAGTGTCGATGGTGGCATACTGCGATGCACATGAGGATGCCAGGCCGTCGAACTCCTCGGGACCCCATGTCAGCGTTGAGAGCTGGGTGGTGCAGAGACAAGAGGCCTGCGAAGTCGCGGGGAGCAGTGAGAAGTTGCTGGTTTCAGCCTCGCACAGTGAGAGCACGTCGACCAGAGCTTGACAATAGTCGACGGATGTGTCTTGAGCAAGTACGGCTGACAGGCCATAGGCAAGGAGGAGGAGAAGATGCTTGGCCATTGCTCACAACTTGCTGTTGGTTGGGTGTTTCCTGGTAAGGCTGCAGCGGACAAACTGACTATTTCTCTGCAGGTCGGCCCAAAGAAGGTTCGTGTAGGAGCGGCTACAAACCAAGCGTAGGAGGGACATGCTGCCAGCCTTTTATGTTCCTGGTATAGTGCAGCGCTGAACGGCAAAAATAGCTGGCGTGCCTCTAAGGTCACACGAGCCCTCAATTTGTGTCGATGGTGGCTGAGATACGAGGCTATTTGTTTCTGGACCTTGCGTGATGTGATGGCCTGGAAGGACCCGAGATGGCGGAGATTCTGATGGCGTCCTACCTCGTCCCCTGCACAGTCGTTTTCTGCGGCCCTATTTGAGACAATGTGACAGCTTCGGTCACATTATTGGACCTTGAAGGGGAACATGGTTGAGGAATACGAACGTCGAGCAGGTGGCGTTGCTCTAGGCACATCGAGACACTTTCAGGGGTAAGGCTGGGCTTGGTCTCTAACTGCCACAATTTCAATTTTTGGCGAGCTGTGGCGTTTTGAGTCTGTCTCTCAGCCTCACCGGGGAGATTTGCGTCGCGTTTTCAAAAAGATCAATGCAAATAAAGCTGAGCTGGCGCATAGCGCTCAGGCAATTGATGGCTAAGTGGTAAGTACAGTGTGAGTACTGGCATCCTGAATACCTACAAGTCCAAACTACCAATTGCTGCAATCAATGTCTTCTGATCCCGGGCGCATTTATACTGGATCATGGGTCAACTACTCCAAAGGCCCCATCTCTGGAGGGACATTGACGCTGTCTAGCTCACACGGAGCTTTCTTGGTCGCATTCCTCGGTGTGTTCATCACCTTGGTTGGATCGCAATTCTGGGTTCTTGTCAGTTTCACTCTTCACCAGCTGAGTTGCACCAAGACATATGATGGGCTCAAGAAGCAGCACCAGGTGATCCTACGGAATAGCGGGACCTCCGCTGGCGCTGCCTACGAATTGCTCCTCCTTCCATTCAGTTGGAAGCCAAAAAAAGATCAATTAGAAACCCTCGATGGTTCCCGCCTGTGGCCCTTCTTGAAACGCTCCTGGCTTCTGTCCCTCGTCCCCCTCCTCTCGTTCGGGTTGTTCTCTGGCGCGGGGGTGCTCTCATCCCAAGTGACCAAAGCGGCCGGCGACGAGTTGCTGGTCGTGGGCTCTAGCTGCGGACAATGGAACTTCAATGCGCAAGCGCCGATGAGCTCGTATCTGGAGAAGTCCCAGAACGAGAGTCAGATTGCATCCAACTACGCCCGCGAATGCTACGGAGCCTCGACACGGTCGACCACCTGTAGTACTTATGTGCATCAACAAATCAAATGGTCCGAGGATCAGAATGCCACTTGTCCATTCAACGGCGGAATGTGCCTACTAGGCGACACGGCTACCTTAAAGCTCGACACGGGCTATATCGACTCCCATTCGGTGCTGGGGATCAATAGTCGGGAAAAGGATCGCATCAACTATCGACGAGTCACCACTTGCGCGCCTTTGAATGCTTCCGACAGGATACTTCCGAACAAAATCCCGGGCACAAGTATCATCTACTACAATTACGATTTTGGACCTCTGAGTAGTGGCAATTACACGTGGACATACTATGAAGTTTTCTCTACTCTAGGTGGACTTTTATACTCACTCTTGTAAGTTTACGCAGCTGGATAGTGCGCAGCTCGAGGAAAGCTGACTGTATGTAACAAAGACAACAGGTGAACGAGGCCGGGGCGCCCAACCAGTCTTGGTTTCCAGATCCTGATCTGGCTCAGACAGACGCAGACATCACTCTCTTCATGTTGTCAGCTAATAATGTCGCATACACCAAGCCTGTGACTGATCCCTTCTTTCAAGCAACGAAGCAAATCAAGGTTGAAACATCATCAGGAACGGAAGAGTACTACAAAGCGAATGGTCAGTACCTGCTTCCTCCCAGCTCATGCTCAAGCGCTTCAGCAGCTGATTCTTGTTGCTTCGAGTAGACTACGACGAATTTGTCCACTTTGCGGCATGCGTGGACCAGCATCAGCTTTGCGACCCGAATACTAAACCTCCAAACTGCACGGCTTTTCACGGATGGACGACTCTTCAAGCGGGAGTATTGGATCTAGCGTGGACTACGTCGCGTCAGTTGGCCACAGCGCTACGTGTCCAGCAAGTGTTGCAGTACTCGTCCATGTTCTACACCACTTCTGGTCGGGGCGGTCTGGCTCTTCGTGCGTCAGAAAAAGTGTCAGACATCATTAGCGCAGGCCTCCCAAATAATCAGTGGATGCTCGAGATGTCGAATCTATTTGCAATGGCGCTGGCTCGGCTCCAGCACAGCATCGTGGAATATGCCACTGGGCCTTCGGACGTTACAGATGGGATGATCGTGCAGGGGCCCTCGGACTCGGAAGGTCAAGCTCTCTGCTCTGCACAGATGATACGAAACACGGGCTTGTACGCGAACTTTTCGGTGCTCGGCTTAAGTCTCATCGTGGGGTTAGGGACACTCATCATTATTGCCAGCATTGTTCTGGAGTCGGTGGTCGAATTCTTCCGTCGTCGCCGCCAATACAAGTCGGTCAACGATGCTGTTGACAAGAGTCTACAGTGGGTTTTAGATGGCAAATTCCAACTCATGCGCCTGGCATATGAAGGTATCGGTGTCGGGACGTGGGTTCGGACAGGGCAGCATATTCCAGTGGTCAAAGAAGGAGAACAAAAGATCTTTGGCGCATTCAAGGAATCCAAGATGGATCGTGGGGGATCCTGACGGAACAGACTCGACTGTTCAGTTGATATCAGTGTATACCTCTGTCTACCTCGAGACAGGCTGATGCATGACCTCACACATCATTCGACGCGATGAATAACCCGAGGTACGGAGAAGAGGGTGTCATGTCGTGCTTCTTCCGTCATTCAACCCGCAAATGTCGACCACGAGATCTTCCTTTGCCGTTCGATTCCAGCGGAAACCCGTGGCAGCCACTCAGATGGGCGAATACGAGCTCCTCCCCGACCTTGGCACAGATGATTCCACATTCAACGGCTTCCAATAATGCTCGAGACAGAATGCGGGGTTCCGTATGTGATGAAAAGCCAAGATGATCGTCGACAAGTAGCTTTATCAAAACCCCTGCTTGTGTTGCATTTGTACCTCCAAGCCCTTGTTTGCTGCCTCTCACAACTCATACCGGTGACCTTTAGCAGCTTGGCAATTGTCATTCTACCATGCTTCGATAGGAAGGAGCCACGGGAGCACGATCTGAGGGATGGAGTTGTGTTGCGGTCCTTGCGGAAAAGGTCGACGATGATCCACTGCGCTCGAGTGATAAAGAGCAGGATTCTCCCTGCTCATACAGCAGATGTGTATTCACTCGTCGGACCGGAATCTAGACATCCGAAATGCTGCTCAACAGGCTTCTCGCTCTACTCGCTCTGCGTTCGATCGCCGTGCTTGCTTGCGGGCGAGAACACCTCCGTTCTCAGGTGTTTGACCCGCATGTTGCTCTTTCAAAGAGGCAGGAGACCGTGTTTCCTCCCGCCCTAGACCAGAATGAAGCCATCTTGCTCAATTCATTTGACAACACCACCATTGAGAGTTGGAGCTACTATTATACTCACGGTCTCCATGTGGCAGGTACCAATCAATCAATGGCCCAGTGGACGGCCGATCGCTGGAATGAGTACGGCTTCACGGCGGGCTTGGTATCATACTGTACGTCCTCGGGCTCTTTGGCGAGACAGCAAGACTGAGTGAAAGTAGATGTCTACCTGAACTACCCGGTGTCACATTCATTGACCGTATCCTTCGCCAACGGTTCGACTTTCTCACCATTACTCGAGGAGGAGGTATTGGCAGAGGACGAGACGACGTCTTATCCCAACAGAGTGCCTACTTTCCATGGCTACTCCTTCACTGGCGACGCTGAGGCCGAGTACGTCTACGTCGGACGCGGCCAAAAAGTTGACTTTGAACGCCTAAAGGCATTGGGCGTGCAGCTCGAAGGCAGAATTGCACTCGCGCGCTATGGCGGTCCATTCCGCGGACTCAAGGTGAAGAACGCGCAGGATAATGGCATGATCGGGTGCATTATCGTAAGTTACATGGCCCCTTGACCCTTTGCAGCGAATGGAAAACTTCTCCTCGGCGGGATTGTTGCAATGCCATTCGACATAACAAAGCGAGGAATTGACAAGTTTACAGTTCACAGACACCGCAGATGATGGGAACATTACGGAGGCGAATGGCTATGCAGCATATCCAGATGGACCGGCGAGAAACCCTACCTCAGTACAACGTGGCAGTGTCGAATTTCTCTCCACGTACCCAGGTGATCCCGAAACACCAGGCTACCCGTCGAAATTTGACTCGCCAAGGTCGGACAGGTCTGTGGTGACACCTCAGATACCGTCTCTGCCGATCTCGTGGAAAGATGCACAGCCCCTCATCCAAGCCCTCGATGGACACGGTCCTGACGGCCAGACAATCAACCGCACCAACTGGATCGGCAAGCTCAATGCGACCTATTCGAGCGGACCGGCTCCAGGGACTACTATCTCCATGTCCAACGTCATGCGCGACGAGATCACCTGGATCTGGGACAGTATCGGAATCATCAACGGCACTAATGAGGACGAGGTCATCATCCTCGGAAACCACCGTGATGCCTGGATCGTGGGCGGCGCGTCCGACCCCAACTCCGGCTCTGCCGTCTTGATAGAGATGGCCAAAGCGTTCGGGGCGCTCTTGAAGACCGGCTGGAAACCCAAGCGCACAATCGTCTTTGCCTCCTGGGACGCAGAGGAGTACGGCCTGCTCGGGTCCACCGAATGGGTCGAGGAGTACATCCCCTGGCTCAAGGACTCGGCGGTGGCGTATCTCAACCTCGATGGGGCCACTTCCGGTCCCAACCCGGAACTGTCCGCCACTCCCGAACTGCACAAGATCGCGACCGAGACCATGAAGAAGGTCGTCTACCCCTACCACGGCTTCAACAACCTGACATACTACGACGTCTGGTACGGCTTGAGCGAAGGCGAAGTGGGCGTGCTCGGTTCGGGCAGCGACTATACGGCGTTCGTGCACAATGGCATTGCTTCGCTGGATACGGGATGCGGCGGTGGGGCCAATGATCCCATCTACCATTACCACTCCAACTACGACAGCTTTCACTGGATGACCACGTTTGGTGATCCGGAATTCCTCACGCACAAGGCTGTCGGGCAACACCTGTCCCTGCTGGTCTACCATCTCGCCAACGAGGACATCATCCCCTTCGACGTCGAGAACTACGGCGTGCAAATGACTCTGTACCTGGACGACCTCGCCGACCTCGTCGAGTCGGAAAACGCCACTTCCAGCGTTGATCTCTCGCCCCTCGAAGCCGCCATCTCAGCCTTCAACGCGTCAGCTCAGGCATTCACCTCTTTCGTCCAAACCGCCTCCACCGACGCCGACGTCAAACTCGCCAACGCCAAATTGAGGGACTTTAGCCGCGGATTCGTCTCCCAGGGCGGCTTGCCCACCAGAGAGTTCTACAAGCATGTCGTCTTCGCGCCGGGTCTGGATACGGGCTATGCCCCGGTCGAATGGCCCGGGGTTACAGAGGCGGTTGACGGCGGTAACCTGACACTGGCGCAGCAGTGGGTCGAGAAGTCGGCGAGGGCTGTGGAGGTTGCGGCGAATATCCTGGCGCCGTGACTTGGTAGTTGTCTGACGATGAAATTGGAGTCCGCAGTCGTGCATCACTAGGTCCTTTGCGTACTCCAACACTCACGAAAAGCTTGGGCCTGGTTCGACCGACCACGGAAAGTCGCTGGCATGCTTATATATTGTGCATGTCCAGGGCATGTACAGACAGACTCCACCGAAGAGGTCTCTTTGTTGCATGCTCAGTGGAGTTACTAAACTATGTGACAAGGCAGCAGATGGAGGAGACTTTAGTTCATATATCATATCAATCAATCAGTAATGAATATCTCGTCAAAATATCGGGCGTGTTGACAAGGAGGAGTAAATGTATACATTGCAGTGTTCAATTCACCCCCCCCCCCCCCCCTTAGCGCAACAGGGAGGATGTAGGTGTGATAGTGCCAGCACTAGAGATGAGTTGTTGCAGATCATATCATGTTAACCTGAAAATTCAGTCATGGTCCAATATACCCAGCAGCCATGCCAGCAAGCTACGTTGGGCCAGGACTCTGCGTAACCATTGATCCATCTTCGCGACTAGCTTCGTCGCCGGTTGTGTTTAGACGGTGCGAAATCCTGTAGAGAGGTAGTATGTTACACGCAGCTATACAGTTCGAGCTTGGTATATGTGTCTCGATGATGAGTGAGGCCCTTCACTTTGATTTACTGGCGCCTTCCAAAGAAATGGGTGACTGGTCCCCAATTGAATGGTGTCAAACCGGCCGAGGTCGATACCTTTGAGCTGAGCAGTCTGGGTACGGACGAGTATAATGCCAGTAGACGGATACGCCACAGTGTCTCTGAAGGCACCAGGCCGATATATCCCCCTCCCGCCATTCATGACCGGGTCACGCCTAACAAGGCGGTCGGAATGGGGTACCCACGCTTTACCCAAAGAGGTCGCTGCACTAGTCCCAAGATGGAAATATTGGCAACACTTGGCACTGATGATTGTTCCATGATTGGTTCGGGGATCCCATGTGGCATGGAGTGACTGCTCTGCAAGACACAGTTCGCATGGCGCAAACAACACGCGCCCCTTAGAACGACTGGAAATGAAGCGATGAAGCAGCCACAAACGAGGTCAGAACTTCTTAGTAATGACAGCCAGCCTGTCGATCTCTTCCGATCTTGTGGAGCCCCAGAACTTCCTGGTGCTCGTTCCTGAGATGAATCTGCTAATCAGGCGAAACCCGTGAGCTCCTCGCGCGCCCCCTCGAACATGTTTAATAGTCGTGCCGTCTCTCCAGAGCTCGGCCGTCCTGTGCTCCTCTCTGCCGGACCTGGTGACTTGGAAAAGGCTCAGAGACATGGACAGTCCACCCGAGTTCGACTCGCACGCGTTTGTTTTTCTCGTGGATTTCAGCTCACTCCGTCCATCATCTCACTTCGAGCGAAAGTCGGCGATCAATAGCCATGCTGCCAGGAGAATGCACTTGAAGCGGAGAGAGTCGACAAAAGATCGACTTCGCATCAGTGGCATGTCGATCTGGACTTGGCAAGGCAAGCTGTCGAGTGGACGAATCTTGACAACAGACGAGCCTTCTTCTCTTGATGTGGCGTGCAAGAACCAAGTGAGTTACACGTTGAATAGCTCGAGCCTTTTGCTCTCTGCCTGGTGGACGATGATCCTTTACCATGTTCTGGTACCTCGAGAGTTACCCTGACGCAAGTCTCACTCCGCGCAGGAACGCAGCAGAAAGCCACCGCCACTCAGTCTTAGGGGTTGTCGACATGATCTAGAACTGGCTAGACAATGCTGTCTCAACAGCCTCACCTGTCGCCGGTCTCGAAGACGGGTTCACCGTGATGCATATACACTAGACCAGTCGACTCACGATAGTTGCTGTGAAAGCTTGGAGGATTCCAACGAGGATGACAGTCGTGGCTTGAAATCAGAGCCGCTGTCTCCAGATTCGGAAGGCGCAATCCAAAGCCCAAAGGCGGCAGCGAAGTCGGTAGCTGTCGTCGATCCAGCAGAAGGGGCTTGTTTCGCCTTGCAGTCTTTCATCTGCACAAGCGCCGAGCGCGAGCTTTTCCATTGTCGTAAGCATTCCACCCTTCCACATACTCGCTAGGGGCAAGTCATAACATACTCCGCACATTCAGTTTACAATACGACGACAAAAGTGGGCCATACTTGTGTCCCGATAGCCACTCTATGCTACTTACGACAAGTGGCGCATCAATTCGTCCATGACGAGGCCGTTATGGAGCTGAGCCGGTCATTCTCCAGTTATGTTTGGTCGACTTTCCTGGAAGGAGATGTCCACCATGAGAAACGGGCGTTGACGCATAAGATCAAGGGGATGGCGCTCGTCATCGAGCAACTGGGGCAGCCGCAATCCTCGGCCTTGGAGAGTTCCATTCAAGCGGCTTTGATCTTGTCGGCAATAGAGGTGAGTAACCCCCTCCCGCAAGTGTGGCGTACTAATATATGCCTTACAGGCCTGTGCAGGGAATATCGAGGGTTTCAGAATTCATATATCGGCTGCGAGGCAGATGGTCAAAATACGTGGCGGCCTGGACAATCTCAGCCCGCTTCTAATAGGGCAAATATGCTCGTAAGGGGCTCTTCTCTCCTGCAGTTTGATCATGGCATCTTGCTGACACGGTTTTGCTTTCCTGATGGAAGATTCGAGCCAGGTATTCACCGGGCGATTGGTACTGAGACATTTCCGTGTACGGATCGCCACTTCGGCACCTTCCTTCTCAATTGCCGGCGAGACGTTGCTACAAAGCATCCCGCATTCAACAGAATATCGCCAACTGCCAGACTACCTATTGAAGAGGTGCAGGAGTTTTGTGATCCTCTTGATCTGCCCCCAAGTCTCTACTTCTCAGCATGCATTACGGAATTTCTGTCAGTTACGAAAGAGTTTCGAGAGCTTAGTATTGCGAGGAGTCAGTTCTTGGCCGATCCATCAACCGAGTCGCGGTCCGCATACGCTTCAGCAAGGTGTCGATCAGTATCGGACGCTTTTAGCTCGGCACTCCAGTGGATCCTCAACCCAGACTACACTCCAACAGAATCAGACCGTACCAAGCAAAAGTCGACATCTGCGGCTGTGGAACAGCAGAATGCAACGGGATTAGTTTGTTTGTTCTACATACACGCCACACTTTGGAGGTATAGGTATGAGCCAGTTGAGACAGATAGATACATGAAGAGCGTGGCGGAGAAGGTGCAGCGCAATGGTCTGGAGTTGAGTAAAAGCCTGGATGCTCTGTCTGCACTGCTTGTTTGGATTTGTGTGAGCGACGAGAATTTGAAAATTGAGGACAAGCGAGTTGGCTGGAGAGGACTGACGAGGCTGGTCTCCCGTTTAAGTCGTGTTGCGTTGAGGTTGAGCAGACGCAGCCGAACGAATCTGGAGCTGGCCTTATCTGAAGGCCTGCGAGGGAGTACGCAGTCATCTATGATTGAGGAAGTTGAATGTGTCGAGAGTCCTGAAGCGACAACTGAAGATTGCATTTGGCCCGATCCCGAGAGTATCTGGAAGGAACTCATTGAGTAGCATTACCATTGGCACATATCTCAAAGATAGCAGGGGAGGAAAGTTCAGAAGTATACGGACTGAACGAGCCTCGGGCGGCGACACGGTCAAACTCTCCAGTCCATCTGCAGCCTGGCACTCAACCCGCATATTTCGCCTACTTTACCAGGTGCTATACTGTCCGTGCCATGAACCGCACGGCAGGTATCCTTATCTGCTCTGCCGAGATTGGCGACATGTTCAACCAAATCATGACTATTTTTGGCCTTCACCAGAGTGACTTGAGCGCTAGAGAGTAGTGAGTATGTATACCCTCCGCCTACGACGAAGACCAGCATGATTGGATGTGCCTACTTGACACCTGGACCGACCCCTCCGCTAAGGACGAGGGATATCTCTAGACACCGGCTACCGAAGTAAGGCAAAACTATCCTTATGGACTAACCCATTACTGTGAAAAGGAGGCGTTCTCGTCCCGCGGCTTGCAGGATAACGATAGCAAGCTGCTCTGTGGACCAACCTATGAGACATGCCCTCCCCAACTTTGGCCTTGTTTGAACAAGCAGAAGACATTGGACGGGGCCGACATATCCGTGGTCTGATAGAGGCCTTCTTTGCAGACCCAGAGTCTCAACCACTCTTGGGCATCATCGCTAAAAGCCACCTCGCTTCATGATTGATAATACCGCCACTTCAGCGATCTCCTCGTCGGGATTGGGCGCTCTTGGACTGCCCAAGGGCGTGTCAAGCGTGTCTCGCTAGTTATTGAACAAGCCTCTCCTTGGACAGTTTGGGAAATGCTTATTAAGGCCTTGGGATGTCAAAGCACCACACAAATGCTGTATAGGCACAATCTGGCTTCCGAGGCGTGAACTGGCGCAAAAGCTGACCTCTGAATGATTCAGCAAGCGGACTGGGACTTCCACACGCGCTCGTCGTGCTCGGTTTGGTCACTAAGGAGGTTCCGACGGAAAGTTCCCCAGCAGCAGCCAATGCGGGATGGTTCTAGGACTGCAGCCCTACATCAACGTCTCGGGCACCTGGTGCCAAGGTGTCTAGAGCATCTCGGCTGGGGCTGGGGAAGCTTCAAGCAATCAGCAGCAGAGCGACAACCACCTAACCCTGCCGTTGTGCGGAAACCTATTTGGTCGACACGGCCTCTCAATCGGCCTTGTAAAAAACCGCGACACACAAAAGGGGAGGGGGAGAGAGAGAGATAGACCAACGTCTTCTCTCCCGTGCTGCGCTTTGCCACCTCCCACCTTCTACCGTGGGTATGCGAGACATCATGGTGATTGTCTTTCTTCTGCCTAGAAGGATATGTCGCTGCATCAATAGGTTGAGTGCCTAGGATTTTACCAGATATTCGTGGCAAGGGGTTAGTCAACCTCTGATTTGTGGGATCCAACAACTCCATGGAGCCCATTGAACTATGCTTTGTCGAGGGCCGTCCCAGCAATCAAACCCAACGGGCCAAAGAACTGGTCAACTCGGCCATCCGCGCGCACAATGCCAAAGTCACTCACGCGAAACGCAGCAAGAATGTCGCGGCACATGTCGCCGGGCGCCAGTCAGCCTCGATTGAGCCGCTGGTCACTCGCTTTCGCGTTGTGCCGTCGGCGCGTGAGCGAGACCGCCTGCGAGCCGACGAGGAAGAGGTCTCGAAGCGGGCACAAGATATTGCCCGTGCAGAACAGATGGGCCACTTTAAAGGCAAGCAGTGGCTATACGCCATGCTGCACCGCCAATGGATGGATGCTATATGGACTCCCTTTTCGGGAAATGTTCCAAAGCACATTGCAATATGTATGCAAGCCTCGTTCATTCAATATCGCAGAATCTATCGCTACGTTTCCCTTCGGAGCTGACACGTTTTCATTTAGACCAGCAAATGATTGTACCAAACATCCAACTCGCTTTTGAAGTCTTTCACGTGCGCAACACCCACAACTACGAGTTCCTTCTCTGGATGACGCGACCCACGACGTCGGGCTATCACGCTGGGGCCGCTGGGTTGCAGCTCCTCTACGACCAGCAAGTGTCGCCTGGCTGTGGACAGACCCGCCAATGTCTCTCCCACAAAGTGCAAGCGTCTATAATCTTGAGAGAGACCTTGTCCCGGTCAATCACCAGGGTGCCTGACGACGAGTTGCTGGTCATCTTGTCCTTGGCTACGGTAGAGGTAAGGCCGACTTCATTCTAGCACGGTTACGCTGTCCGCATCTAACATTTTAAGTAGAGGACAGTGGACTTGTCGGTTCACCAGTATCATCTCGAGACATTGTCAAAGATTGTCAAGGCTCAGGGTGGTCTACATCTGGTAGCTGATCACCCCCAGTGCACGATTCTCCAGTAAGCACTATCTTTCTTAACCTCGTGGTTTCGACGGAAGCTGCGTACTTGCCAGCACCTGACCTCTCTTGTGGTAGGTTCGACGCATGGTGGAGCCTGTCAACAGGACTCCGATACTTTTCTTCACCACTGTCTCTTCCCCAACCTGAAGCCGAGCCGGAAACGCTATCGAGTCGCTTTCGGGACCAGATCCACGAGGTTCCTGTGGGCTTCCACCGCTTTATTCTCGACGGGAAATGGTCCTCCAGCACCGTCGAGATCCTGATCCGTCTCGCGTATGTCTACCAGCGAGGAGGCAAAGTGGAAAGAAATGAGGCGGGACGGATCATTGGCCTTCCCAATACGGCCCAGCCAGTATGGCGAACTTTTCAAGAGGCGTGTCCAGCGTTGGACGCTCCGGGGGCAGACCAGGAGAAGCTGCTGGCGCTGGCCCTTGTCTTGTACTGTGGCATTGGCTTCGACTCGGCGCCCGTGTCGAGCAATGGCGGTCTCGCGTCCCGGGGGGCTCTAACCAAACTACTCACTCTCGACGAGTCGTCGTCGTCGTCATCATCATCGTCCTTGCCAACGCGCTCGCCCCCGCCTCAACAATCATCATCACCAGCCAAGTCGCCGGACGATAAGCCCTTCCTCTTTTGGATATGGATGGTCGCAATCTGTGCGTGGCACAACGCCTCGAACAGCGGCTTCTTGCCCCCGGGCATCGACCTGCTGCAGAGGCTGCGCCGGAAATTTGTCAAGGTCGGCGATTGGAAGACGGCCCAGGACCTCTTGGAGCCGTTCTTCTGGAATGACAAGCTTAGCGAGTTATGCAGGCCCAGGTTTGATGGGGAGGCGTCAGCGTCTTGATATGATGCCTCTCAGTACGTTCAATTTAATACCTAGGTAGTAATCAAACTGTGAGATTTGGTCCATATCTAGGCATTATAGGTAGTCGAGTAAATTCCATCAGCACCTGGCGGCGCGGACTCGCTACAAGTACGTCAGAGTCCTGATGCCCTGTTAAGGTCTTGTCCTCTAATAGCACGTGCATGGCGTTAGGAGCTTCAACCCCCAGAATCGTGGTCGTGGCGAACGAGAGGTGATCAGAGCTTATATACCACATATCTTGGTTATTACTACAATAAAAGTTTCACCCCCTTATCAACTGCTCCATAAAACCCGAGGTCTGAACAAGGAAACGCCTGATGCTATCTGCCTTCCAAAATATGCCATCATCACTTCCCATATCGATTGTCCACCCAGCATTCAGCAGCGAGCGAGATGACTGTCCATTCCCCGACCTCCATGACAGTCCCAGTTCAGACCAGATCATGTCAGGTCGATTTCCGACTTGACGGAACTGACGTGAAAGCCGACGATCCACGAGTACGGCAGGACCTTCAGCACCAGGTTGCGGAAGTAGTAGGCCAGGGAGCTCTTGGGGATGAACATGTCGGCCATGCGCTTCGAGCGGGCCTGGAGGCGCTCGATGGCCGGACGGAGCTTGGCCTCGTGGTTGCGCAGCGCGGCGAGCACGTCGTCGGGGTCCTTTTGGAGTTCTTTCGCCAGGATCTCGGCCGACACCAGGGCCATGCCCGCGCCCTGCCCGGACAGGAGCGTCAGGCAGTGCGCGGCGTCGCCGAGCAGGAGGACCCGCCCCTCGGACCACCGCGGCAGCGTCACCAGCGTGAGGCTGTCGAGCGTGACCAGCGCGTCGGCCTGCTCGGCCTGCTCGACCGCGTCGCGCACCTGCGGCACGCTCTGCGCCGTGACTTGGCGGAGGATGTCGAATTTGGCCTCCTTGGACGTCCCTGTCGTCGACAGATCCCGCTCCTCGCGCCAGATGTTCATGCACGTCAGGCCCTTGTCGCGCAGCGAGAACAGCATGTCCAGCTGGCCGGGACGGTTGAACGAGTAGCAGTCGTGATCCTGCTGGGATTCGGTCTGCTGGTTGCTGAAGTTGTACGCCGCGTAGTAGTAGCCCAGGTGCTCGAGGAAGTCGTCCTCGCGGCCTTTCCAGAGGCTGCGGCGGATCTGGGACCGGAACCCGTCGGCCCCGATCAGCAGGTCCGCCTCGATCGTGTCGCCGCCCGCGAGGACCACGCGCACCTTGTCGCCTTGGTCGGCGAACTCGCGCACCGTCTCGCGGAACCGGATCGACGCGCCGGAAGGGAGGTGCTTCGCCAGGAGGCGCGCCAACTCGTCGCGTCGCACGGGCAGCGCTTCCAAACCCCCGCCGTGCACGTCGACGTATCTGATCCGGCACAGTTCCCTGCCGTAGCCGTCGCTGATGATGTTGTACTCGAAATGCTGCGACACGGACTGCAGCTCGGCCAGGAGGTCCATGTGTTGGACCGTCTCGTGCCCGAGCCCCGAGATGGTCATCGAGTACCCGCTGGCGCGGAGGGCGTCGTCTCGCTCAACCACGACGGACGTCCAGCCGGCCTTGTCGAGCCACCATGCGGCGGACAGGCCGGCGATGCCAGCTCCCACGATCACCGCGACTGGCTTGGTCATCCTCGATCAGAGAGCGAGTCTTGTCTCTAGAGAATAAATTGATCAGAGTACTCAGCAGAAATGGTCGATGCATACATATATGCTAGGTATATAGACCATATCAGATCAGATTAGATACTGCAAGAACATGACATGGCATGGCTGCAATAGCTCCATGGCTGCCCAGTGTCCACAGATGCGAATACGAGCTCTGGCAGTGCAGTGCAGTGCAGTGCAGTGGAGTGATTGACATCCCGATATCGGACTCCAAGACCGTCGACACATGTGTGCGTCCAAGGCTTGTCTTGTCTTGTCGCCTCGTCTCGTCTCGCTACCTACCTACCTACCTACTCGGTCCTTGTGCTGGTACCGTACCAGTGTCTTGGAACCAGCGACGCGCAGGCTCCCGGTTACGAGTGGTGCGAGGAGGCGAGCGCCACGGAGAAAATGAATGGTTGGCCTGAAGCATGAGAATAAGAATGAGGACCTTGACATGTCAGCATGTAGACAGGGATTGGGGTCTCGGGTTGACCCCATTCTCGCTTGTTGAGAAGTACGTGAAGGAGGAGGGAGGAGGGACTGTATGTGTCCCGAGAGCTGTACGAGGTATTGAGGACTGGGTATTATCCAGGGACAATCGAGCAGTGGCGCAGTCACGCAGTGTTGAGAACCAATCACCATGTCAAATCACCGGGGTGTTATTGTAACTGCCCGACGCGCAGATGACGAGTATATCAGTCCTTCTGTGAGGTCCTTGTGTCTATTTTGTATCTCATGCATGCTGAGTACCTAGCACCTACCTCCCTACCTACCTAGCTATCCAGACATCTAGGTAGCATGTACCAGACGAGGTGAAAGCCATCTCTGTCACGCCGTGTGGAGTCTGTCACTCCCATGACACACTCCCATCAATCAATGAATGATGCTGCTTAGAACATCACACAGTGTATTCCAGAGATGTGTGAAGACATGGATGCCGAGTTGGGACGTCAGCATAAACCCAGTATTTCGGCGCGCTAGGTTGTCGTCGCATGGACAAGTTGCGCATCTGGTTTCCGTTGCTGGGTTCACAGTGGGAGAGTCAGACATGACAAGTCCAAGTCCTGGAAACATCTCTATCCGATTCCGTGAAGATGACGAACCAGCAGACGTGACGTGGACTTTTACCATCTCGGACGGAGAGGATTTGATAAGTACTTTGCAGAGTTACGCTGAGGCGAAGAGGCGCGACGACACAGACAACGAGGATGAGTATATCGACGCATTCCTGCGGTTTATGACCGAATTGGATATCCATAGGCTACTCCCAAACAGAGGCGACAAGAATCTGGAAAATAACAAAATCGGCAAAGACCAATATTGACATACCTATCAAGCATCCAGTGCAAAGTCCGAAGACCACCGTATGCACCAAGACACTCCTGCAAGCTGCCACCAATCGATGACAATTGTGGCTCTTTTGTCGAATCTAGGCCGTGCTGCATGAATGAGGGGTGAGGTTGAGAAGAGAGAAGGGGGGAGAAAGGACATGCCGCTGCTTTTGGAGGTTTCTTTCGAGCATGCCAAGAACGGACTCCCTTCACACCGCAGGTACCTGGTATCCCTAGTACTAATACCTAAGCAGCCTGGCAGCCTGGCAGCGAGGGTATGTAACCTTTGTCTCAGTGAGTTCTGTCGTTGCAGCAAGCAGGCATTGCACCTTTTATATTCGCCGACCACTTGACCGATCTCGACAAGCTGGATGTAATCCCATATTCATGATTTAAAGATATGTCCAGCAATACAAGTCCCGAACGAGCGACTCCTGAGACACCGAAGCTGCGACCACTCTCGATAGATCGGCCCGACCCTGAAACACTGCGCGACATCATCGCCAATGACCACTTTGGTGGCGAAATGCCACCTTCCATTGTCGAAGCGTGGGTGATGGCACTACAGCCTGGCAGCCGTGTGCCGTTGCCTCCCAACGTGAAAGGATTCTATGGTGGAGACCTTAGGGCTTCCATGCCTATTGAAATCGCCCGCGGCTCGTACAAGTTCATTACACACGAGACTGCAGACAAGGAGAAGATCGAGAAGTACTCGAGGCGCATGTTGACGGCTTTATCGATTGTTGATATCGACGAGGTGTCTCGGCATGAGCCGACTACAGGCTTGCTCACATTGTGGCATACGACTCTCGCGCTTGTGAGACTGCCCGACGCAGCTGGTGACCTGTTGCAAACATTCAGACAGTACAAAGAGCTTCGGCCTAAATCCTCGCTGCCGGACAGCAAATTACCACTGCCAGACCGCCTAAAGGGTCGTCTTCTGAACATTGCTGAGGAACTTGGAAATACAGCTGCCGCGCAGCTCCTCTCGACACAATAGTAGCAGTGGAAACACCAGTCAAGACGTCCCTTGATGTTCTAATCTGGACCTGCGAAAGAGGTAGATGGAAGGCATCGAAATGAGTCCCCCAGGCACCAACCAAAGGATGCCTAATGGAGCAGGCTGCATGCTGACCATCGATAAGTATGTAGCGACATTAAAAGCGGCGCTACGCTAAACCTACGGCCATCTCGCAACGTGGCAGCCGCCTAAACCACCCCCAGATTTCCCAGCAACCTTTACAAAAGTTAGAAATCCAACTCAAGGCTTCACAACTTGCTTGGCACGATATCCGGCACATCAAACATGCTAGAGATTGGGATCCCCACGCCTGTATCGAACATTTTGCTCAACTCTATCCCAGGATGATGTCTCCAATGAGCGTCAGCTTTGCCGCACTTGAGTGAGTGATGAGACCAGGGCGCAGTATTGCCCAACTCAGCCTCACCCCACAAGCGCTTCTTCTACCTGTAAAAGGTTGAGTCAAGTCTAGTTTACACTATGGTCATGTCCATCTTTCTGCACAGACCGTTGTCTATGGGAACTCACCGACGACTGTGTTCGATGGGTGCAGACCCTTGGGGCCAGTTCACTTCTTGAAGCACTGACAGATTGCTTCCCTGACGACAGCAATCACAGAGTGACCTAGCCACGAAGGCGTACGAGGCCTGTCAACCACCAATCTGCCCATCCCGCCGATGTGTTGCATCTAGCCTCCGCCCCCACATCGCTCTCGTCCCTCTACAATGGCGACCCCAAAACCTTTGTCGCATGACGATTATACTGTTGGGTGGATATGTGCTTTACCTGTCGAGGCCGCGGCAGGCAAGGCTATGCTCGACGATGAGCACCAATCACTGCGTCAGGAGAAACATGACTACAACAAATACACGCTTGGACGCGTTGGGTGCCACAATGTCGTCGTCACCTGTCTTCCTGCCGGAGTTCCTGGAACGAATGCGGCTGCCATTGTGGCCACGCAGATGTTCCGAACCTTTACCCAGATCAGATTTTGTTTGATGGTGGGAACCGGAGGTGGTGTTCCCAGTCACGAACACGACATTAGACTTGGCGATGTAGCTGTTGGTCTCAGCGTTGTTCAATATGACTTCGGAAAAACTGTACAAGGTGGAAAATTTCACCACACAGGGCCGTCGAATAGACCGCCCAATTTTCTTCTCGCTGTCGTATCGGAGCTGAGAGCGAAGCACATGTTGGAGGGAACTGATTTATCGGGCCACTTATCCAAGGCCTTTGAAAAGTACACCAAGATGGCGGCGACTTTTACCTTTCCTGGGCAGGAGCACGATTTTATCTACGAGTCCGATTTTGATCACCCAGAAGGCCTCGACGACTGCTCGCAATGCGATAAACAGCGGCTGGTGCCTCGCTCAACTCGCTCTGTGCAGGAGCCGGTCATCCACTATGGTCCCATTGCCTCAGGCAATCAGGTGATGCGGCACGGCGCAACAAGAGAGAAGCTGAGGAAGCAGGAAGGGGTGGTATGTTTCGAAATGGAAGCTGCTGGACTCGTCGATGTTTTCCCATGCCTTGTGGTCAGAGGTATTTGCAACTATTCTGACTCGCACAAGAACAACAAATGGCAACCGTATGCGGCGGTCACAGCGGCTTGCTTTGCTAAGGAGTTTCTGTCAGAAATTGAGGCAGTTCATGCTCAAGAGGTGCGCACAGCGGCTGACACCACGGAAACCTTCCACGCCATTAACAGGATTCAGTCGCAAAATACTTTATTTCAGACGTCGTCGCCAATGCCGCTTGCAGAGACTCGGCAAATGCATACTGGGGCCTATCAACTTGATGATAGCTCAAATTCTGTTCTCGCCGGCTTATCCAGACTCGACAGTCAAAAGATCACATCTTTCAAAATTTGGAAGGGATGAAAGAATTGGTTGAAAAACGGGCAGCCGCGTCAGCTTTTGTCGAACATGAGCAGAACCGAGGTCCAGCCCTTACAGTTTCGGATCGTGATAAAGTGCGCTTAAGAGAGCAGGTCCTGGTGGCTTTCAGCGCTGTCAGCGCTTTCGGCGACTTTACCTGCCAAGGCAGAAATTCAGACACTTTCCCTTTCCAGTCACTCTCAGCCTCAAACTCCCAATGTGGAAACTGTTTGGTTATGACTTAATATCGTAACGCCTACCTGTCTGTGGCTACCCAATACATGGACCCAATGGGCCATTCCAGAGTCGATAAGCGTGTCTAGCTGACCACTGACCCTGAATCGCGAGGCTGGCTTGCTAGGCGATAGCTCCTCATACCAGATGTTATCAAGGAAACCGTGCAGCCCCCCTGACATGGGTCTCAGCCAGCCCTGTCCTTCTACAGTAGGTGTTGAGATCCATCACCTTCGGCTTCAGTGCTGTCAAGGTCAAGCGCCTTAGTATGAGCTCATCTATAAAGAAGAGCCACGAGCGGGTGGGTGACAGGATGGTTGACCAGTTCTGCAATCAATACTGCTTCCCGTACATTGATTGACGTTGGCAATGGCCGGTTTCATCAAAGAGACGCCCGCAGGGCAGTTCCTTCGACTGCTTGGCTTCCAGTCAGGTCTCTTGTACTCTGAAGAGAAACCCGGCTTTGAGCCTGCTGGCCTCCCTGTCGTCTGCGAACCTGCACTGTCTCCCACTGAAAGTGACCTGGAGAAAACCCTGTCCAAGCTCTCCACCACCATCCGCGCAGCTGAGAAGGACGTCACACTGCCTCCCTCGAACAGAGACGCAATCATTGTATCCTGGACCGAGAACGATCCCGAGAACCCTCGCAATTGGCCGCAGGGTAAGAAGACGTGGACCCTCGTGGTGGTCAACCTGTATACCTTCTGCGTCTACTGCACGGCCTCCATCATCACGCCCACCGCGGGAGCCATCCAGCAGCGATATGGTGTATCGATTGTGGTCGCAAGTCTGGGGCTGTCCCTGTACGTTGTTGGTTGTAAGTCTGCACCTGTTTTCCGTCAACACTATACCTGGCTGATCCTCACTGTCTACAGACGGCCTGGGTCCCATGTTTTTCTCTCCCACCAGCGAGATCCCTAGCATCGGACGGAACCCGCCTTATCTCTATTCCTTTGTGGCATTCTTCGTCGTGTCCATTGCGCTCGCTTTCGTCGACAACTTCCCTGCCATCATCGTCCTCCGATGGCTGCAGGGTCTTTTTGGAAGCCCGGCTTTGGCCAGTGGCGCGGCGTCCATCGAAGACATATACGACATTTACAGCGCGCCGTATGGCTATGTGTGGTGGGTTGCAGCCATGTATTGTGGTCCTGCGGTTGGGCCGCTGATGGCTGGATACGCTGTTCCTCACGATTGGAGGTGGCCGGTGAGTTGCCTTGACTCTTACAAAATATTGTGACCCCTGTCTTGATACCCTCGCGACTGTCTTCCCAATACTGACAGATTTTACAGCTCTACGAAGTCATCATCATGTCGGGCATCATTCTCTTCCTCCTACCCTTCCTGCCGGAGACCTACCCCGGCACCATCCTCCTTAACCGAGCAAGACGACTCCGCAAAGTGACGGGAGACGACCGATACCGTGCCGAGAGTGAACTGCACCCCATCCCGTTCCGGGCGCTCCTCTGGGAAGCTCTCGTCCGGCCATTGGAGATCACCATCAAGGACCCTGCGGTACTCTACGCGGCACTCTACGGCGGCCTTGTCTACGCCACATACTACTCCTTCTTCGAGGCCTTCCCGCTCGTCTACCTAGGCACCTACGAAATGTCTCTCGGCCAGCTCGGACTGATATTCCTCGGCTTGATGACGGGCTGCATCGTCGGTCTGGCCTGCTACTACATCTACCTACGCCGGTGGTTCATCCCGCGGGCTCGAAAATACCACGCCGACAAGGGCAAGGCTGTCGAACAGGAAGAATGGCTCCGGCCAGGCCTGGCGGGCGTGTGGGGCCCCCCGATCGGTCTGCTGTTGTTTGCCTGGACGGCGCGCGCGGACGTGCACTGGATCGCGCCCACGATCGGCATCAACATCTGGGCCGCCGGCAGCTTCTGCATGTTCCAGAGCATCATCTGCTACATCGCGCTGGCGTACCCGAAATACGTGGCCTCGCTGTTCGCCGCCAACGACTTTGCCCGCTCTATGCTGGCCGCGGGCTTCGTGCAGTTCTCCCGCTCCATGTACCTCGATCTCGGCATCGGGAAGGGTGTCACCGTCATTGCGGGCCTGTCGGGCGTCGGCGTCGCGGGTATGTACGGGTTGTATTACTTTGGGGGGTTTCTTAGGGCGAAGAGTAAGTTTACGGGGTGAGGTGATGTCCAGAGGGGTTTCTCAGAGGCGGTTGGGGCAGCTTCGGGGGGATGGTGGATGGGTGGGTGGGCTGGTCTCGAGATGGTGAATGGGTGGCGGGTCGATGGATGAATAGATGGATGAATAGATGGATGAATAGATGGAAGGATATATCGACAGATGGATTGATCAATGGACGCATGGAAGGATGGTTTGGATGAGTGGGTGGGATTTAATGTGCCATCACAGCCACAGGATGGGTTCGAAAGTCCTCGCAAGGTGTCGGCACAAGGCATACTATATGGTGATCAACTTGCCTGCTTCTTTCTGTCCCCGACTCCGTCCCTTTTTAGGGAGGAGGGTAAATCTACTTTTTCGTCTTTACATACCTAGGGGAAACCGGGAAACCGGCAAACTCGACAAATCTTAAGTGAAGCATGTCAACGTGTCAAACATTTTCTCTATTTCCTATTTCCCCCTTTTCATATCTCCCTCGACTCGATCGTATGCCATCTCACAGACTCCCGTGAGGTCAAGTTACAGCCCTCGAGACGCTTTGGTCCTGTGCGAGGATATAACGCTGATTAAACGTCGCTGGTGTTGATGTGAGTATTCGTACGCGGATAGTTAGTCCTACTTCCTACTTCCAACCTCCAACCTCCAACTTTCAATCTGGGTTTGAAGCCTTGCCTTGCCTTGTCTGGTTGGCTTGGGTCATCAGGACGTATGTATAGCTTGAGCTCCGCCGTTGGGAGTCTCCCTCGGAGAGTGCTGGACGAGGGAGCCGTAGGAGAGAATAGGATGGAATGTTGTGCAATTTCTTGCGAAGGCCGCCTGGAGCTGGCTGATGGGTGTGTGCGTGCGTGATTGCTTTGCAGACAGGATGGCTTCGTTGGTGACTCTGCAATTTCTTGGTCTTGTTCTTTCTTGAATGTGATTGGCATGTGGGTTGCCAGATCAGGTCGCGAGGTGGGCGGAGCGCAAGTGGCTATACCTCGTAGTGACCACCGCAGGGATCTGCCCAGTCTTATCCCGAATATACTTAACTAGGACCCCTTGCGACTTTTGAAATGCATCTTCCTCAGAACCTGGTACGACAGCCTCTCGTTCCAGAAGAACCTCTCACAAATCCTGATCCGCTCCATCCAGCTGCGCTTCTCCTCCTGCTTGCCCAAAATCCTCGTGCCGAGCGACCAGGTGAGGTCGTTGGTGTGCGAGCTCGCGAGCATCGTCATGCCGACCCACGTCAGCCACTCGGCCTGGTGTCTCCGCGGGGAGGAGGTGTCGAGGAAGCAGGGGCTCGAGGGGAGGAGGCCCGCGTGGACCTGGAGATAGGCCATGTTGAGGAAGCGGCCGCGCTCGCTCCAGTCCATCACCGAGCAGTGGGCTTGCAGGGCCATGAGGACGAATTGGTCGTGCAGTGGCAAGTGCGGGTGCTGAAGCAGTTCCATGCATCGAGTGGCGTTGGTGAGGTTCGCTTCGACAAGTCCCCGGCTCGCGAGGAGGTAGCTCTCTTCGCCTCGTGAAATGGCTGCTCTGACGGAGTCCATCCATGTGGTGATGGCGAGAAAGATGTCGATCACTGCGGCCACAGGGCGTTCGCTGATGCAAAAGTCCTCGAAGCCTTGAGGGAGCCTCGATATCTTCGCACACAGAGCCGGTGGGAATGGGTGGACTGGACGGCGTAGGTGTTTGGCCGTGTAAGCTTTGCCACCGAGTTGACGGAACACGGCCCGCTGACACTCTGCGTGTGATATGAAGCTGGAGAGAAATGGTCCTGTAAGCCTGGGCTCTTCCTACGATACAAATGGGGCCACCCACCTGTCCGTCACGGTCGCAAGCCAGCCATCAAACGCCATCTGCTCGGGGCCACCTCTGCGGTCGATCGCTTCCCTGATGGCTTGTAAATGGATCCAGGCACTGTCGTGGTTCGACGTCAATTTCTGCACCGTGGTCAGCTCGTCAGGTCGCGTCCTCGAACACAAGAGCGCTTTTTACGTCAAAGGTCGCCAAAAACATCATGGTACATATGACCAAGTCCGACACCTTATCCGCAGTCGACTGCAGGTACTGACGAAGCAGTCGAATGCTGGTATCGTACAGTCCCTTTGCCTGTGGAGAAGGCCCATCACGTTCTCGGTCCATCAAGTCGAACTGCAGCGTCGAGTTTGCTAGCATAGCGACAAACGAGACGTGGTGGCTGAGGATCAGGGGGATGTAGTGACGCAGAAGGGGTCCGTCCTCTGCCTCGCCCTGGATTTGAAGTCGACGGAACGTGGTCGGCGCATAGATGTCAGTGTCTGCGACAGCAAGTGAGCATTCTCGTTGAACCATGTCCGACAGAGAGAATTCTCGACGCACAGTACCTGCAGGCAGCCTTTGCCATCCCTTCAACTCGAATGGGAAAGATATCAAGCTCCAAGTGCGTGAGTTTTAACAGTCCATGTTGAGTACCTTGCTGGTCCGCATCACGACCACGTTCAGACTCGTACCAGACTGTCTTGGCCTCGTCCTTGAACAGCACCATTCCAACCTCATGCCTGCTCTCCATTCTCCCAGACTTCTCACAGAGGATGTTCTGGTGGGGAGTGCGCCTGGGCCATTTCAACGTTGGTCGTGTTTGAGACTGATGGCTCCGCCTCCAGGATATATCTCTATGGCAGTTCGTCAAGTTGATGGATGCCCTATTCACCAAGACGTTGATAATTTGGAAAAGCTCCTTTGCGACGGGTGATGGCGAAGAAATGTCCGGCGTCGAGCCCCAGGCAAGATAATGTGCTCCCCGTCAATCTGATATAGTCTCGTTCGCACTGAGCATCAACAAGACAAATAGTAAAAGTAAATTCCCAGTCCATCTAGAGCATAGACAGAGGTAATATCGTCAAAGATGATTATCTCAGCGCACCCTGTTTAGTCCTAGCGGTTCTCTCACCCTCGTATTCTGAACGACGGAAAGTGGCCGGGAATGCACTGGTAGGGTAAGTATACGAGCAGAAGTAACATAACCAGCTACTTGGAATGGCATTTTTGGGAGCGATTCGTCCGTCTCGTGGGCTATTGGCCCAAAAGAGCTGGAGGCTACATCATTCGTTATTCGCTCGGCTGCTGGTGCGTCCAGCCCTGGTGTTTCGATCCGGATCCAAGATCAAGCGGTAGGTCGTGAGCGGACCGCTCCTCCGACGGTTGAGGAATTGTTGCTATCAATCAGTGACCATTCTCATATGAGGCGCATGGCTTACAGTCTGTGAAGAGCCGGTAGGGACACAATCAGACCTGTTTGGTGCGCCCTCGGCGTTTCAACGACAACAAGACATGGAGTTCTCTGGAAAAAGGCGATATACTTTCGATAGGGGTCCCGAGTGGGGGAATACCACCCACTCGCCTAATTATGTGGGAAGCCGCTTGATTCCGGGGCAGCTCCAGGGGGGATCGTCTGTCGTTAGTCATGTGCCTGCATATGCCGACCCAACGACGGGCACCGAGAGTGCGGCCCTCAGCCCTGTAGCATTACCGCCAGCATACGATCAAGCATAGTGCAGGTAGAGCGTGCTGGTCAGTGAAAGGTGCGTGGAAGCGGAATGAGGCACTCACAAGAGGAGTGAGGGGGATGAGGCGTCATTTTTTAGGGAGAGGAAGAGACGAGAACAAGAACAAGAAAGTGTAGCACAAGTAGCAAGGAATTGCATTTCCATTCCCGATAGTGTTGGTCCAGTCCTTGAGGGTGTGCAACTGTTGATTTTCAACCTTGTGGATCAGTATCTCCGGCCCAAGATGCTCTTTGCCTCTGTCCTTTGTCTTGAACGTTCCCAATCAACCATATCCACCCATTCTCAGTAGTGTCTCCCAACGTTTCGTATGTCTTCAGCTGTTGTCAACTAGTCGCCCTGGAGCCGAGCTCCTATCTTCGCCGCCGTATGAAGCAATAATCCTGCTTCAACATCCTCGACCTCTCAGTTCTTTCAAGATGCAGAGTTCTGGGAGACAGAGCCTCGTCTCTCCTTGACAATGGATCGCAGAATGTCGTCGACCACCCAACTGATTCGCCGTGGCAACATAGCTGTCAACACGCTGAGTGCCCGCTTACCATCGCTTTGGTCGCCTAGCTCTCCTCCTTCTTGTCGCTGCTGCACCGGACGTGTCGACGATACTCGGAGGATTCCGTGGCACGTAGACCCCATAGCATGCGTGGGCACAGGTTTTGTCAATCGCAGCTACGCCTAAATTCTCGTCAGTCATCGAGGCCACTCCCCTATCCCTAGATGGACGGCACTTACGCAGAGTCTGCATCGCCATTCCCCAAGTGTCTGGTCTCTTCTTCTTATCCTCATCCGAAAGGCCGTGTCCATTTTTCTCCGCAAAGCCTGCATCGGCACCGGGGTGGGCGAACACTGGATGCTCGGGAGCCTGGTCAGCGATGGTCGCGCCTGTGATTGCGGCAAGGCGATCGCTCTGCTGCAAAAGTGGCAGCCAGTCGCGCTTCCTGGCAGCTTTCGGCATCCAATATGTGATGTGTCCGGCGACGTAGGTGTGGAGAGCCTCTGCGTCACGGTGCTGGTAGAGTGCGTCGATGAAGGTGGGATTGGGGATGGTGGATTCTGTCGCGGTGAACATGCTTGTGATTTCGTCAAAAGCAATCGTCTTCACACCGCGCATCATGAATTTGTCCGCGGCGATGTAAACCTTGAGCCAGAACGTATCTGGTTCCCATGGGGCTGGAGGGGACCATTCTTTCTCGGGAACGGACTTGATGTAGAGCCAGTCGCACAAGAACTTGATGATATCTGGTTCGTCCTCTGGTAGTTTGAGCTCTTGGGTCGCTGCCTCGAGGAAGATTCCGTTGAAGGTCGCCTCGAAGAATTTGGAAGCTGCGCAGAGTGAAGTTTTGTGGACGACATACTTGACCTGATCAGCCCCAACCATGATGTTCACCTCTGCATCGTCTGGAGGAAGTCGTGTTCCAGAAGACGCAGACTATGACTGGAGCCCGTCTGGAGCCATTGCCGCAGAAAGGAAAAGAAAATAAGCAAAGGACTGAACCCAGGAGGAAGGATGTGCTGGGAAAGAAACGAGGAAGAGAAAGAACAATGATAATCACGCAAGCTCGGGCAGTGAAAATTGCGGAGAAGCTTTGAAAAGCAATCGAGGTGAATGAATACACTGTGGTGCGCATGAGGACCCTGCCTTGATGTTTGTGTCGAGAAACATGAGGTCCAGTTCTGTGAAAGGGTTGTTGCGCTCTTCGCACTCCCAATATGCCACCGCGCCATGTGCCGATGTGCTCCTCCCAGGTATCTTCTGCTGCTTGCAGACCTCCATTCTCCACGGCCAGTTCACACTAAAGGTCTCGCATTGATGTTTGCTCTGTCTCCGGCCGAGAGCCACAAAACAGCTCCGAATTGTGAAATGCTCAGGATATCGTCAATGTAGGATCGTTGAGGGAAACCGTGTGGCAGGGTATTGCCTATTTGATCATGTCGTTTGCTGGGATTCCGGAGCTGGTGCGTGTTGTTGTTGGTGTGTCTTGTTGTTTGTCTGTTGGCTAATGTGACTACCATGCATTTTATTCATATGCAGATCTCTCGCCCCCTGCAGCTGTCAGCCAGGTTATTTTGGGTCTATGACCTATATCGTGATGCAAACTCTGAAAAGAGGGACATCTACTTACTTAGTCTTGCATCATGTAGCTCCTTTCCGGAAGGGGTGAAAGGATCTCGTCTGCTCTTCTGGCCTCTACGTACATCTCACAAAGATCCAGACCATGCTTTTCATCAAACTGATATTGGTCATCTGGATGAGGCGTAGAATCCCTCTCGGTTTCAGCGCGTATCATGGCGGAGGCTATCGCCATGCCAAACCGTTCAGTGACGTTGAAGAGTCGAGCCCAATCTTGCTTCTCTTGTGGTTGTGTTCTGTAAAACCAGAATACCACATGTTCGACCACGTATATTTCCATGGCACCGAGATCGCCGCCAGCGAATAGTGAGTGGATGAACTCGCGCGACGGGAGCGTCGGCTTATAGGAGAAGACACCTTTGAGTTCGAGATACGCAGACAGTTGTAGTCCAGGACTCAGAAGACGATCAGCCATGCGATATACCTTGAGCCAGAAGACATCGGTATACCATAGATTATTGGCTGTCATGAACGCCTTGCCGCAGACTGCCTCATCCCCAACATAGAGCCAGTCAACGAAGAAGGCGAAGATTTCGGCCTCTTCTTCGGGTAATTTCATCTCTTGAGTTCTCCCTTCAATGAATTCTCCAGCGAAGGCTCGTGCGAAGAATTTGGAGGATGCGCACAGAGGGTCTCGATGAAGGACAAATTCGCGTTGATCATCTTCGGGTCCGACAACCAGCTTGACAATGCGTGTTCCGCGGTCGACCCTAGGTGGGGGTACCATCGCGCGACAACAAGTAGAGATCCGACGATGAAACGTGGGGGAGAAATCCGGGTAAGTGAACAGACGAGGAGAGCGCGACAAGGACGTGAGTAGTAGAATGAGAATTGCTGAGGTTGGTGACTTACAAGGCACCTAGTGAGGACAGAGTGAAACGAAAGTGACAACAGATTTGAACAGAATCATCGATGGGATGTGAAGAGAGACACACAATTACCGGGCGGCCGCACCCAGTTGCAAACAGTGCAAAATTCAACGTTGACCACCAACGTCCGCCAGTTTATGAAAATCTGGCAAGGAAAAGAATTTCCCTCTCAATGCCCTTTCATTCCACCCAGACACCACAAAGAGAAATCCCGATCATGGATACGTCATCTGTCCTGGACTCACATAGGGCTGCTTGGTCTTTGGATTCATGCCCGTCGTCCTCACAACGGCTTCCTTGTCTTCCTGAATCAAGGTGCAACATCCGCACCAGCAAGATGTGCAGAAGTCACCCACGCTCCCCCCCTCGATACCATATCTGTCACGTGTGGAGCCCCGATTGATGCACTGGAGAATGCAATGTCCTCCAAGGTGCATCAAACAGTAGAATGCGCAGCACTGGATGAGTGTCAGTCAGAGAAACCGGGGTCATAAAGAGATTGGGAACACAATGCTGATTGAGAGAGCAATTGGAACATAAACACATACCTGTCCGTTGATGCCACTGGAGTCATTATCGCCCTTGTACCGATCTTGTGTCTTCCCGTAGAGAATGCAGGGACACCAACATGCCAAACAACCTATTCAGCAGGGTCAAGATCAGCAGATATTCCCCGGCGACGTTGAGCAAGTGGAGCACACAGGTACTAAATGGAGAGAAACAGTCAAAAAGTCCGAACGACCATTTTCCCGGAGCTCCGCCGGGGTACGCTCCAGCAGTTCCGTTAATGGGTTTGTCATTGGACATTCCCATGGGTTGTTGTGCCATTGTCGCTTTGAATAAAGAATGTCTTGGGTGAGAGAGTATGTGAATGAGGCGAGCGGGCTCGGTATCAACAACGACCGTAGGGAAAGAACAAGAGTTGAAAACCTCAGGTGTCAAAAAGACAATTCAGTCAAAGGAGGCGAAATATCAGCATATTTCAGTCATCCACGAGTCATGATTCCGGGCAGCCGTTTGATTGAACATTCCAGGAGACGCGCGGACGGCCCAGACATCTGATCATTGCGGAAGTCTCCGTTAGAGTCTACACCAGTGAAAACGCTGGGGGCTTCAGCTCAAGAAAGAGTTCAGCCCCCTCGTGGACACGAATATCGTTCTCGCAGGAGTGAAGGCTGCATGATTGTCAGCCTCCTGACCCTTTGCTTGATCACGGCATATCAACTTCTTGGAAGCTATCATTGGACCAAAAGATGTCAGGGCGCCGCATAGGGCTGGATTGGGGAAGGTCAGAGCTGGTGGAAGGGGTCCTGATGTCGGAAGTTTGGTCGCCTTAAAGTTTCAGCAGAGACAGAACGAGATGGTAACATACGAACTGGCAAAGTTTTGGGATACAGCTTCTGCCATAGAGAACTTGAAGGCATTGATAGTGGTCCAGAGCGTTCCACAAATTTGTGGGCCAGCAATACAGATGTTCACCATTGCAACTTGTGGAGATTTGACTCAGCGACCAGCCTAGTCGATCTTAGAACTTGCCGGGTCTGGCTGCTTCACGGCTTTGAGATGCTGCTATTGCTTCTTGCACTTGATGTCAACGAGTTAGGAGAGTCTAAAGGCTTGAGACTCGGTCCCGGGAGATGAATGCGCAGATTTCTAAGTCTTTTGGAGGATGACTTTGCGGCTTCTTTCACGAGTACGAGTTGGGAAATCCGAGGGCTGCTCAGCTCCAAACTGGCCCCCTGGGACAAGGCCACCTCCAGCTGCTCCGTGCATTCAAAAAGCACATGATTCTGCTAGGGTGTGGTTCGTCGATGAGGCCCGAGCTTGGGTTCCAACATCGTACGAGGCAATTTTCAATAGTTTCGGGTTTGAGAAAGGGATCTTTCTTCTCATTAGCGAAACCCCACAGTTGGGGGCTGAAAAACTTTGAGGCTGAAAATAGGAGGTGGAGATCAGAAGTACGAATAGGTACATCCAACTGTCGAATCAATGAGAAGGGCCTCTTGGACGCACGACGCACAAACGGGCGAGTCTCGTACCTCCTCGAGAGTACGAGTACTTCTGCAGCTCGAGCATAGGATAGATAGCACGGTATCCGCTGTCGTGTTAGGCTGACTGACTGCAGTATGACTGTCCAGGATTGTTGAAACAGCTGGTCTTGACCCAACGTGCGTCGGCGTGGTTTCTGGTCAATCGCATGATTGGAGGCTCCGATCTTCGCCCTCATGGGTGTGTTCGAGCCTGAAGTTTGTCCGGTTTGGCCTCAAAAGATATGTTCGCCGAGCCATCCTGTTGAAACCATCACCGATTGACATACAGGACGCGATCCGTTGCAGGGTGCGCAGAGTGATTGTTTTGTCTTTAGTCGAAGACAAGCTCGGATAGGCAACTTGCAGGCACTCGAGATGGTAAGGGTTTCAACAGTTGAGGACTGTCTCAATATTCTCCAAGTCGAAGTCCTTGGCTCTGAAGACAACAATGGGCTGCCAGGTAGCTCGCTTCCGCAATTTCGTCGACCTTTGTCGCCGGTCGTTATATATTCCTCTCGCCTTCATGAACTTTCGTGTCTCCGTTTGTTGAAGCGTTCGTTGCGTGGGCTCGATTGTATTCTTCCCGCATAGTCTCCAATATCTGCTGAATCCTCGCTTCGCCTTCTTCACCGGGAAATCGTTCCTCTAGCTCTTCTATCACGAGAGAAAGAAATTGGCGATCGTCGGGTTCCTGTGGCTCTTCGTCCCCCTCTGCAGTTCCATCGACGCCGTCAACGTCGGCATCGCCGCCACCGTCATCTTCATCACCATCACCCTCGCCATTGACTCTCTCTGGTTGTGCGTCGCCATCCGTAGTTTGCCGTAGATGCTGCCCCCTCGGCAATCCTAATCCTAAATTGATCAAGACGAACGCTTCGGTTTTCGTCAACCCAAATGCTCGCAGTCTAGGCACGACATTTTTAATAAAGATCTCTGGCGGTGGGTATCGGGCGATGAAAGGGACCGTATTCGTGACATAATGTTGGAACTAGACACAGACACAGGTCGTCAGCGATAATTCGTCTCTTAGGGGGATATTTCAGTCCCAAGGACATATCCCCTGCGCCGTAGACATACGTCGTCTCGCACGCGCTCATAATCCTTCAAATTGACCTGTTTGTAGGAGCCTATCTTCCGAGGCGGAGGGCGAGGCGGATTTTGGGACAGGAATTGATGCACTTCAGAAGTTGTCAGGAGGGCGGATTGGGGATCGAGGACCTATGGACTTGTCAGTCATTTTTCTCTCTACCTGGTGGTAAAGTGGTGGGGGTCCAAGGTCATCAGAAGACACGTACCCGCATTCTGCCTAGCCCTGCTGCTGAATGGCAATCTGAAGTCAGATCAAGCTTGGAAATACATGCTCTTCGACTTGTCCTGAGGAAAGCAAGATGTCTGGAACTGGAGACTCTTCTGAGCGAGCCCAAAAGCGCAGGTGAAATGCGGAGAAATTTTTCCAGGACCAGAATCTGCTGCGGGGAATCTTCAGCCTGACGGTGTCAACGAGGCTGCGCAATTGATGCATCCACTAGCAACGCTTTACCACCCATCCGGTCCCTTACACAGAGAGAGCTAACAGTGCATTTGTATTGGAACACCAACACTAAACTGGCTATCTAAAAGTAGGCTCATCCAGTAGTACGGCCTTGTCCTTGTAGATTGTACATTTTTCTCGTCGACAGCATTACTCCGGCCAGCTAGAACACCCCATCCCTCCGACGCCATGCAGTAACCTGAGATGCAGAAAGACACAAGACAGCGAAGATAGCAGTCAGCACATTATGCCTTCTCTTTCCGCTTCTTTTTCTTCTCTGACTTCGACGTGTCGGCATCTTCTTCAACTCGTTTTCGCTTTTTGGTCCCCTCAACTTCGCCATTTGCCTCCTTCGCCGAAGCCTTTTCGGCAGCTTTCTTAGCCTTCTTGACCTCTTTCTTTGAGACCGCTACAGGTGTGCCGTCCTCTTGAAACTGGATCTCGCCTCGTGCTAGCTTCCGCTTGTATCTTTCCACGCTCAATCCACACTGGGCAGCTAATGTTTCAATCTTATCCTCCTGACCGGCTGTTGCCGACTTCTCTGCTCCGGCCTTCTTTTCTTTTTTCGCAGCCTTGCGAGCAGCTTTCTCTGCATGTTTTCTCTCCTTCTCAGCCTTTTTGGCTTCCTTTTTGGACAATCCGTTAACACCGTTGACAGAGGATGGCACTATCGCTTCAACCTCGTCCGCAGTTATTGGCTCATCGGGTTGAGACTCAGCTTCATCGTTATCCAATTCGCCGTCCTCTTTCATATCGACATCCTCGGAAACCTCCTCGATGAGCTTCTTTTCCTTCTTGGACTTCTTTGGTGCTTTGGCTGGAGCCTCATCACCAGCCAACCCATCAGCATCAGGGTTGTATTTCCGCGCTTCTTTGATCTCCCATTTCTTGGGTTGTGGTGTAGTGGAAGTGCCATTGGGCGCAATGGCGACACCTCGAGGTTTCAGTGGCTTGCCCTCCATAGCAGCTAGCTTGCGCTCAAGGTTCGCTCGTGCGGATAATCCAAGAGCGGCCTTCTCGTCCTCGGGAATGTTGACTTCATCATCCCCCCATTCTTGCAGAGCGTCTACTCTCAATCCCAGTGCGGCCTTTGCGGCAAGCACTCTTGCCATCTTGCCCTTGTTTTTGCCACTCGCTTGGCCAATCAAGGACGCATGGTAAATAAGACCGTATTTGGGGGTATCATGCTTCGTCTTCAGTGCACGGAAGAGTGCCTTCTCAGCTCCGAGAATTTGTATCGTACTCGCGGGGCTTTTGGACAAATTCATCAGACTTCCAGCGTGGGCGATCAGCCGAGCACCCACAAGATCACCGACAAGGGTTGTTAAATTGGGGGCGATAGCTGTCATTCTTGCTGACAGATAGCTGGCAAGCTGTGTGCGGTATTCTGTGAATTGCACCACCTGCTCGGCTAAGCTCTGTATATTCTCCAAATCTTCGTCAGTGATCTCGGTGCCCATCGATCTGTCGGCAGCGGCCTTTACTGCGGCTTCAATCTCTTCTGGTAGAATTTCCGCAAGATCACAGGTTTCCCAATTTGTCCGCATGCCCATCTTCAACACCACTTTCGCATATGCGAGGTTGTCGTTCAGAATCTTTGCCATCTCGGGGAAATGCCAACCGTACCATTCCTTTACTCTCATGGCATATGTGTTCAGCTCTTTATCCAGATCATCCAGTAGGCCGATCGCCTGTACGATCATGACATCGATTTTGTCCGGAGAGAATTTAAGCTTGTGTCTCGCAAGGGAGTGTGAAAGACCCAGGGACATGGTCTTAACATCGTCCGGCAACAGACCAGGAATGAGAGAGGGCAGATATTCTCGGATGGCTCGATACAGGTCGGCGGTGGTGGAATCAGCGACGGCTTTGATCTCCAGGCCAGGAATTTTTCCAATTGCGTTTCCCAGCTTTGGGTCTGCGACGGCAAGAGATATCTTTTTCTCGTCTTTCAAGGTATTCAGTAGAGAGGAAAGTTTCGGGGTGACTTTGCCTTCCACAATTGCGGCCGCTTCTTCCAGTGCCGCAGCCGCGCTATCGAATTTCTGGAACTCCTTCAATTTGAGCATAGACGTGACATTTTCGACATTGCTCAATTCAGAAGCAAGGTCGTCGTGCTTGAGCAGTTTCTTGTCTTTGGCCTTGAGCAAGGCATAACCCGCAGAGGTTTCGGTGAGGATGAGGAGAGTCATGGTGAGGATATGCGCAACACGCGCCTCTAATGAATGTGGGAGATATTAGGATATCGGATGTGCCTCGAAAGAAATATCAAAAAGCTCTCCAAAATTTCGCGAACCTCAAACTGCACAATTTTGCGGAGCGGACCCACCTGTGCCAAGCCTTTCTGTAAAGAGCAAGTGCGGCGAGGAAATCAATGCCGACGAGGTCTTCTACGAGGACGCTCCCTGATGATGTGGCACGCGACATCTATCCCTTTGCTATCGAACTTCAGCGACCCCATCACTATAATTCCATGTGTGCAGCAGCCCATAGTCGGTCTATTTCCGCCTCCGGATCATGTCCATACGCCCACTCGGTCAACACTGGGTCACTCCACTGGTTGGGACTTTCCTTGATCTCTGCCTGCTGAAGCTCCGCCTTCATAGCTTCATCACGGGCTCGCTGCACTGGTCCGTCCGGAAGATGTAAGATCAGGCCATGACCAAAACTGGCTTCATAGACTCTCTTGACCCGAGGTTTCCGCGCTTCTTCCCACCTGGATATCGCTACTGGCAGGCCTTCTATTGATCCGACATGCTTCAACGTGGCAGCGAGTGCAGCAGCATCTTCCACTGCCATTGCAGCCCCCAATGCCATGTACGGTACCATTGCATGAGCTGCGTCGCCTGTGATCAGAAATTTACCTGATGGAGATGACCAGATTTCAGGAATATCGATGCAGTTGATAGGCCAGTCTAGTGTTGAAGTCACCATCTCCAGGAGTCGCCTCAGACTTTATTTGATGGACAGTGGCCTCCCAGTCAGCACAATTCGGTTCCAGAACCAAAGGTTATGCTCTAAAGGGGAGACTTACCATGGATCCCATCCAGCATATTGTGCCCTCATCTTCTCTAGCACTTGAGGCATGGTTTGCTCAGGACCCTCATGGTGATTTTGCGGATGAGTGACAACCAAATTAAAACGTTCTCCTCCAGCAATGGCATAGCTCATTACATGTAGGTTATGTCCGACCCTTGGTTAAAGTCAGCTAAGTCGTGCGTTGCACATTCTGAATACTCCCTCAAATGTCTCGTACCACAAATGGAGATTGGGCTGCTCGGCAATCCACCTGGTCAACGAGTCTGCCCTTATATCAGCAATGGAGATTGTTCCTCGATATGCAGAAAGCCCATGGCTCCAAGGCCCTTTGTCTTTGTCGCCATTGAGCTCCCGGCGAGCCAACGACTTCAATCCTGCGGGAGTATGTTTCAGTTCACATGCAGTAGAAATCTGATCTTGGGTTGCTTCTTACCGTCAGCAGCGACAATGAGATCCGCGTGGATCATCTGGCCATCGACAAATGTCACTTCGCCATTTTGCGTGTCGTACTTCTGCACTCTTTTCGACAAATACACAGAAACACCCAGTTCAACTGTGCGTTCATGCAAGACTTCATGCAAGTGCGCCCTATGGGTAACATAATACGGCGAGCCAAACCGTTCCTTGATGTCAGGATTGAGCCTCGCTTTGCCAATGACAGAGCCATCCTCCCAGCGTCGCCAAATCAGAGCCGCTGGCTTGACAGACCGCCGTTCAAGTGCAGAACATAAGCCCCAGGAATGGAGAATCCGGGCTGAATTCGGGGGAATCTGGATACCAGCTCCTACCTGCATCAATCCATGAGTTGAGAGATCGCATCAACACCTTCGCACAGCGGAACAAAGCCACCAAGACAGATCAGCGCCATGGAGAGCTTACCTCACTCAAAGCAGAAGCCTGTTCATACACCGACACATCATGGCCTATTTGAGCCAAAGCAATCGCATTCGAGAGTCCCCCAACGCCGGCGCCGATGATGGCCACTTTCAGTTTCACCCATCGATGCTCACGTGTCCCGCTTGTTCCATTCGTTACAACGGAGTCCGTTCGTCCGTGTGCGATTGCAGCTGCTCCATTCGATAGACTGCTTTTGACCAGTGTCGGCCCTGTCCATTCCTTCTCTTTGCGAAGACGTCGGATAAAATTGTACGATCCTGATGGATAATCAGGTATCTAAAAGATATTTTTCACCTGTCAGTGTTCCTCGACCTGGAATCAGTGTGCTTGGCCAACAAGACCATGCTCACTTACCTCGATCTTATCCAACTCCACATTCATCTTCGTTCTTCAGTTTCCCTACGTGTGTGTTGACGGTGGAGAAAGTGATAGCCACTTTCTTCGGCACTGCTTCTGCACTCCTCCTTTTCGACTCAGAAATATTGCGTGCGTATCATCAGGCCCTGCAGGCGATTCTGCCCTTCTGCTGATCATGATGCTTTTATACCGACACTCGGATTTCCCGCGATCAAGGCAGAGAGAGGACCCTTTCGTGGCTGCGAACAAAAACGCCAAGTGCAATGACACGAGTTCCCGTGTCAGCAACCGTTCTGGAGCATCCAGTAGGAGCGTTACATGGGCAGATCGTGGACATATACTATGTACCTGCCAAGGTCTGATAGCCCGTAAGATTTCTGGGAGCCACCTGAAGCGTTGATTACATACGCAAACTCTATGCAATTGGTATGCATTCACTTTCTTATGAAGCCAGCCAGCTTTTCCCTGAACAATGCACCAGAGCGCACGAATGCCGCCGGTTTTATCTTCCATTTTGGGCAGAGAGGTTAATCTTATCAGCGTCGTCACTCCGGAGCTAATTTTGGTGTTGAGCGGATTCAGAGGACGAAAGGTATTATTATTACTACAGGCGACTTACCTCTGTGGGATAATGTTTCATCTTGCTGAGATGAGAAGGCTTGCCACTCTTCGAATCAGATCAGAGCAAATACTGGCTAACAGCTTCTTGGTTGCAATGAGGCTGTACATACTCGCCCTCGCTGCCTGGCGTCTCTGGTACAGTACACCGCCGGCATTTGTTGCTCGTCTCGCAAGAAAAGATTTTTTACGGCCCGGTCAGAGGTCTAAGGCTAAGCAACAAGCCCTGCTGACAACATGAACAGATGACAATCTTAGCAACACAAGGAGTATATGTACTGACTCTCCTCCTGCTGCCAGCTCGCGGCCGCTCTCCCGCTTCCGCTTGCACCAGGTATTCCTCATATGCGGGAAGCCCCGTGTCACGCTGTGGCGTCTGACAAGTGTCTTCACAGGAGAAGAAGAGAGTACTGCTTATTGAGAGCCTGTGTGGGAAGGAGGTGCTCTAAGTGGTTTGTCTCTCATTATTCTTGCTGCTCTATCGTTGAGGATGGAAAATGCCGCTGTTCAACAGGGGGACTACTCGCTCACCTGTATATTTCCTTTCTCCACCGCACATTCTTTGCCAAAACAAGTCGAGTGTTCGTGGTATAGAGGCGGGTCCAGGCAAGCAGGGCAGTAGTTACCTCTTATCCATGGCCATGCCATTGCCGTTCAGACCACAGCCCCAGCTTGCCCTCTGACCTCAGACATTCGGACAGCATTGATGGTTTGCGATGATCTTCAGTATCACCATCTAGTCAGAGCCTCATTTCGAAGACCCGGCTGGCAGTCAATGAGTAGCTCTTCAGCGCCCCTCGATTCATACTATCCCCACGATTCATCTCTTCGGCCTCAGGAGAACAGGACGTCAGATCCGCAGAAAGACAGGAAGACTGCTTTCTGTCGTGACTCTGACACCACTTTCTTCCCTTTATACTTAACCAAGCCTTGTTCTCGGGGCTTACCACACCACCATTCGTACTTCAACCTCATTGTCAGTGGTCAAGTCTCTTGATATATTCCTCGGCAGAGCTCAGGGTTCAGTCGTATCCTTTCAGCAACATTGTCCCTGTCCTCGATTCCCGTTGGTTGAAGAACACCATGCATATACAAACTAGCAAAAACCCCAGATCAGAAAACCCCACATTGTGGTCATTCCTGGGGATCTATCGGACGATTGTATTGTCTGAATTCGATATTGTATGGACTCACTGCGATGTCGGAGGGAATCTGGCATCAATAGGCTTTCCTTTCAGTCACGGACCTATTGGCTCTGCCCATTTGCAACTAACATACGAGGAGTTGCCGGCTCTCTTCCGAACCTTTCTCGCTGCCCATCATTATTCCCCAAGGCGGGTTCCCCAATTTCTAGGCGCATCCTCGGTATATCATCAAAGGTTAATTATCAAGCCTGCCCAAGAATCCACGTTAGGAGTATATTGTGCTGGTCAAAGAAACATATCGCTGGATCTCTAAACATCTGGCCGTCTCAAAGAGTATCCAATCCAAGATGACCACGGGGAACGAGAAGGGATCGGTGAGATTTCCCCTTTCAATTATATCACGGTATATTTGGCTAACTCTTCTGTTATATACCAGACTCGCACGGAGACGGATGCGATTGGCTCCATCGAGGTAGCCCTGTCCTTTGAAAGCTATGCGTTGACGAGGACACTCCTGACTTGTTACACTGTGGTTAGGTCCCTTCTGACAAATACTGGGGTGCTCAAACGCAACGGTTAGTATCAGCACCCCCTGTTCTTTGTGCTTGTCCTGATGTCAGAGCGGGTACATAGCTCATTTCAGAATTTTCGGATCAACCAGGAACGCGATCGCATGCCAACCTCGGTGATCCGTGCCTTTGGTATCATCAAGGGTTCTGCAGCAAAGGTCAATGTGGAGCATAACGCACTGGGTAAGTTTGTATATACTTCTTTCGTACCAAGGCTTTGCAGACGGTGATGACCAGGGATGACTGAAGGATGACGATAACAGACGCGAAACTTGGGCAAGCCATTCAGCAGGCAGCCGGGGAAGTGGCTTCGCTGGCACTGATAGACCACTTCCCTTTGGTGGTATGGCAGACTGGGTCAGGCACGCAGACCAACATGAACTCCAACGAAGTCATCTCGAATAGAGCCAACGAGATTCTTGGCCATCCGCTCGGCCAGAAGAAGCCGGTCCATCCCAATGACCATGTCAACATGTCCGGCTCTTCAAACGACGGGTTTGCAACTGCCATGCATATCGCTGCTGTACTGGACCTGGAGGACCTGTTACTCCCAGCATTGACTAGCCTCCGCGACATCATGAAGAAGAAGAGCGAGCAATTCGCTCATATCATCAAGATCGGCCGGACTCACCTCCAAGATGCCGTGCCACTCTCACTGGGACAGGAATTCTCTGGCTTCGAGAAACAACTCGAGCTAGGGATCCAGCGGGTCGAACAGGGGCTCGAAGGTCTCCGCTTTTTGGCCATGGGTGGCACGGCCGTGGGGACGGGTTTGAATACATACAAGGGATTCGACGAGGCTTTTGCGGCTGAAGTCAGTCGGGTCACAGGCAAACGCTTCTTCACGGCACCCAACAAATTCGAAGCCATTTCCGCCAACGATGCCATTGTCTATGCCTCTGGCGCACTCAACACGGTGGCCTGCTCCCTGTTCAAGATCGCCCAGGATATCCGCTTCGAAGGCAGCGGGCCGCGGTGTGGCTTGGGGGAATTGCTCTTACCCGAGAACGAACCAGGCTCGTCCTTCATGCCGGGTAAAGTGAATCCGACGCAATGCGAAGCCATGACCATGGTCTGTGCGAAGGTCGTAGCGAACCACGCCGCCATCACTCTGGGAGGTCTGAGCGGACAGTTTCAGCTGAACGCGTTCAAGCCCCTCTTGATCTCTGATTTCCTTCACTCGGTGCGAATCTTGAGCGACGCCATGCGCAGTTTCGAGAAGAACCTTTTAGAAGGCCTCCGCGCGGACGAGAGACGCATCAACTACCTGTTGGGACAGAGGTGAGTTCACATCCATCTCCCGGTTATCCGGCCTTCACAAAGGTGCCGTTTCTCTAACATACACACAGCCTGATGCTCGTGACGTGCCTTAGCGGTAGACTGGGGTATGACTTGGCCTCAAAGGTCGCGAAGCATGCTTATAAGCACGATCTCACCCTCAAGGCCAGCGCGGTCGAGCTCAACGCTCTGAGCGAAGAAGAATTCGACCTTCTCGTACGGCCTGAGAATATGATTGCTCCGTCATAGTCATCCCGGAAGAAGTGCCAAGGCGGGTAGACGTCGAGATTGGTGATGGTGATAGCGCGTCTAGAGGAATCGCGGAGTTCATTTCGAAGTATCTTTTCTGGTTTGGGTTTGATCAACTGGTTTGCTGGTTGGTAGGAACTCGACTATACGAGGTGCATGCGATCTCACAACAACCCACCTGCCTGATTATCTTAGATCTAGGGCGGCGAATGCGGCCAACGAGCTGGGTAAGATCTCGGCGCATGTCCGAGTTTCTAGCCGCCTTACGTCTCAATAAACAAATAGAATTCAATGGGCGATTGGGACAGAACTCTCCACAACAGCTGTTTCAGGTCCTTATATAGTCATTACCCGAGGTAATACCAGGTCCCCTTCCATCATTCTGGGGATACAAGGCCCAAGACGCAATACATCGAACAAAGACACCCTTTCTTGAAATCGAAAGCGAAGGCGATAAGATAGACGTGTCGTTGGGCTGACTCCAGCAAGCTAAGCTGCCACTTACACTTCACTTGGTATTTTGGGGTTTCTTAAGCTGTGATTATCAAAACCATCACAGCCTTGCTACCGAGGATTTCCCCTCTTTCTCATTTCCAAGATATAGGAGGCCATGAGCCGCAAGACTCAACGACCATCACCCTCTCCTCTTCGGGACATAATTGTTGTAGCCGAACAACCTCGGGTCTACATTCCAGACACGGAACATCTCTCGTCATCTTCGACCTACGCTTTACGATTGACGATCGACAGGGACATGAGATAGGGAGCCATTTATTGCAAAAAGTCATCATTAAGGGGTCCGTTATCACCCATTACCTACCGGAGGCAGTCAAACATGGCGACTCCCACCGCGGATAGTCTAGCGTCGCGGCATGGCCTTGACGATGCTGCTCTCGGCCAGTACCTCGTGGGAACACCCTCGATGCCGCCGCTGAAGCTGCCCGTGGTGTCGACAAAGATTGGCTACGGTCAGAGTAATCCGACGTACTATGTCGACGATGCTGCGTAGGTGGTCTCTACGCAAAAGCTATGGCTCTGTTCGACACAACTAATACGGTGCTTTGTCAGAGGTACCCGATTGATTCTCAGAAAAAAGCCAGCCGGCCAAATCATCAGCAAGGTCGCACATCAGGTTGACCGCGAGTATCGCGTGTTGAAAGCCCTGGGCACCGTGGAAGGGTTTCCCGTGCCCAAGGTGTACGCGCTATGTATGGACGATTCTGTCATCGGCACAGCGTTTTACGTACGTTATGCCTCCTTAATGATCCGACAATCTTTCGTGAAAGCTTTGGCTCGGGCTAACTGAGAATGAAATGCTGGGACAGGTCATGGAGTTTGTCAAAGGGAGGATATTCACCGATTATAGCCTCCCAGAGCTATCGCCTTCGGATCGGCGCAAGGCGTGAGTTTTGTGAAAAGCAATGTGTGCTTGTCTCGAGAGTCAGGGCTAACACCGCGTCTTGTTCGCTAGCTGGTTCTCGCTGGTCGAGACCCTCGCGTGGCTGCATTCCATTGACCCGTTTTCCATCGGCTTGGAAGGATTCGGCAAGACCACGGGGTTTTACGCGCGGCATTGCAACACCTTTGCGAGGATCGAGGCCGAACAGGCCAAGATCACAGATAGCGAGGGAAAGCCGCTGGGCCGGGCGCACGAGCACTACGATGAAATTCTCGACTACGTGAGGAGGAATCTACCTGGTGACCGCTACGCGATTGTCCACGGGGACTATAAATTTGACAATGTTGTGAGTGACTGCCTCGCTCGAAGCCCGTCGACAGACTTGTATATCCTTGCTTAATGTCTCGTCACTCACTTACTTATACAGATCCTGCACCCTACCGAGCCACGAGTCATCGCGATCCTGGACTGGGAACTTTCCACCATTGGACACCCGCTAATGGACGCCGTCTTTATCGTCTCATCTTTCTGGAACGAAAAATACAAGAACGCCACCGGCGGCTCTGGTGTCGTTGGCGCCGCACGCTCCTCGACACCTCTCTCCACCGTCAGTGGTGTCCCCAGCGCCGACGAGCTGATAGACCGGTACAGCGAGATCGTCGGGTTCGATCCGCGCAAGGAAGGGGGGGGCAAGGACTGGGAAGTCGCCAAGATCTTTCACCATGTCCGTGGGAGCACGATCACGCATGGGATCCAGGCGAGGACGATCCGCGGCCAGGCAAGTAGCGAGTTCAGCCATTTGTATTTCGAGTACACCAAGTCAGGTCTGGACATTGCGTGGAGAATTGTGCAGGAGTTGAAGGCAAGCGAGACGCCGTTGGCGAAGATCTGATGGCATGGCTTGATGTGATGGTCCTTCGTGGGTATCTATATAAAACTTGAAATGCTTGGTTTCAAACTGCGGAATGGTGGTTGGGTGGGTGGCCTTCAACTCGGCCTCTCTCAGCAGAGGGAAACTTGTGCTCAAGCGGTTTTGTGATAGTTATTATTCGAGAAGGGTTCAGTGCAATGCCTGATAAATAATGCATCGCAACGCCTTCTTGATCACCATCGAAAGCAGAGTGGGTTCCGTCAACCCCACAAACTGGGACCCTCCGTCCCAATTCAGCCTCGTTCCGAAAGCGGATTTGTCATTTCCCAGCAAAAATCGTTAAACTTTTGGCCCGGCAGCATCTTCAAACCTCTGTTTGAGGATAAGAAGAACAACTTTCTAATCCTCGAGAATATAACTATGTCTCGTCTTTTCGGGATATATTCCCTTGGCCGTGCCGTATCGCTAAGCCTCCGGGTTTCCCGAGGTCGCGGCTTGTTCAAACATGGGGAACCCTTGGCGATGGTCACAACCAATCCTTTCATTCTGGACCTGCTTGACTCCCACACGTCGTCGCATTCGCTAAACGATCTTGGAGATTGGTAGACACATGTATACATCTCCTTGCACGCACAGACTCTCCATCGGTACCACCATTTACAGTTAACCGACAAGCAGAGGTGGGCATCGGACACCGTAGCTCTCCCGTCCTGCTTAATCTGACCCCATTCGTACGGTGTATGTCTCAAAGCACGCAACATTGACCACTCACTCGGCCTGAATGATGGCCACATTCGTCAGGACCCTGGGTGTTCTTCCCCATTGGGTACCGTCGACTTCGGGTATGTATACAATCGGCATGGCCGAGGCTATCTACACAGAGATTCTCATCTTCAAGACCAACATCAAGGGGTTCAACCCCGCCTTTCAAGGAATTTGATAAACGAGACCTTCAAAGCTCAGTGAGAGTCTCTCTTCTGCTCCTTCGAATCTGTCCATAGAGGACGTCGTCTGTCTCTGGGATTGGCCCTCAAAATGCAGAAATACCAACTCCTGTGCATCATTTTCGTCACCTTTGGCTCCTTCTTCTACGGCTATGACTCTGGTGAAGAGACTCCAAAGATCCCTCGTTATGGCGTGTCAGTGTACTGACTCTCTCCAGGCTGTACAACATCGGTCTTGGGCTATTCGTCCTTCATCGAATACTTCGACCTGAATGCAACGACCATTGGAGCCTTCGGATCTGCCTACTATGGCGGCGGTGCCGTTGGCTGTTTCCTCAATTACTATCTGCCCGACAAGTTTGGACGTCTACGGACCATCCAGGCGTCCTGCGTCCTCGGGTTGATCGGCTCTGCAATGCAAGCTGGGGCAACCAACTTCCCTGTCTTCTGTACCGGACGTGTCATCACTGGCATCGCAACAGGAACTATCTTTTCTGTGTGTCCGACATACGCTTCAGAGATAGCGACTCCAGAGATCAGAGGACGTGTTGGCTCGCTCTACGCGTTCAATGTCAACTTCGCCTACATGCTGACCGAGTGGGTGGGTCTCGGCTTCTACTACATCAAAGGCAACGCCGCATGGCGCACTCTGCTGGGGCTCCAGCTCGCCCCGGCCGCCTTCATGCTGGTTGCCTCGTTCTGGATGCCCTTCTCGCCTCGGTGGCTGATCATGAAGGGACGAGAGGATGAAGCGCTCGAAGTGCTCCGGAAGCTGCACGAGGGCATCGAGGGATACGAAGAGGACTTTTACGTCAAGGAGTTCCACCAGATAAAGACGCAGTACCAGATCGACAAGGCCAACAAGCTCGGCCTCGTCGCCATCTTCAAGAAAAAGTCATACCGGAAACGCATGTACCTGATCTTGTTGTTTGTGAGCTTCTGCCAGTTCACCGGCATCATCCCGCTCCAGAACTACCAGGTCACAATCTACACGAAGCTGGGCTTCACCAATGTCTTCAGCCTGATCCTGACAGGTATTTGGGGTACTTTGGGATGCTTGTCGACCATCACCGCCAGTCAAATCGTCGACAGGCTGGGTCGACGACATCTGATGGTATGTACACGACACGACACCTCACATATATTCAGCAATACCACCTACTGACACAACCCAAAAAAACAGTTTGTATCATATAGCTTCATGATCCCCGGGGGCATCCTGCTCGTGGCCCTCTGGGCCAGCTTCGAAGCCACGCACAGCACCAACTTCGCGCTGGGCAAGGCCGTCATCTTCGGCATGTTCTTCTACGGCTTCGGCTACGGCGGCTTCATGAACACCTTCTTCCCCGTCTACTGCACCGAGATCATGCCGACCAACATCCGCGCCACGGGCACCGCCAGCGGCTACGCGCTGTTCAACCTCATCGTCATCATGCTGGTCCAGGTGACACCCATGGCCATCGAGGCCATCAGCTGGAAGTACTTTATGATCTTTGTCATCTGCGACGTCATCTTCATCGTCATCTTCATCCTCTTCTACCCGGAGACCAAGAATAAGACGTTGGATGAGATCAGTGCCATTTTTGGCGCTGAGGTATGTATCAAAAACCCTCTTTCTCTCCTCCCTTCCTTCTCTCTCTCGTTCTATCTCTCTATCTATCTCACTCTCTCTCCCTCCATATATCACAAATGGACACGAACAAAACACATAGCAAGACAACAAAAAAAAAAAAAAGGA